AGGAAATAGCCTCAGTGGATAAGAGTGTTCTTACGCAACAGAAAACGGTGACATGGAGGGGAAAGACCTCAGAGGTGCTGGCTGTTACTTCCCCGTAAGTTACTGTTACAGCCAATCCTCTCCTGTTCCTAATCGATCTGCATTACTTAGCAGAGCGGATATACTCCTCACAATGCTTCCTGGTGATGCCAGAGTTGTGAGGATATCTTAAATGGTAGACAAAGAAACTACTGAATGAACTTGACAAAAAAAAGAATGATCCAAGAAATGGTTAACTTTAATAACCATTCCAAGAGTTCTTAACTTTATTAAGTGCAACATAATGAAGGTGGATGGTGGTTAGAGAAGATAGGACACAATTAAGGTCGCATACGAGAGAGGAAACCCTTCCTGGAACCTGATAAACAACAATAATTAAGCGTTAATTTTATAACAAACCTGTCATCTAAAGCACACATAAAACTTACGTTATCAGGTGAACATGTTCAAGACAGAGGCCACAGAACCTATGCTGGAGATACACACAGAAATCACAATAGCGTAATGCATCAAATGAACAAATCCCCAAGGGCCGTGACGAGGGTTCGAACCTACGTCCGAGAGCATCCTTGATTGTTCAATAAACCCCTGAACTATATGTTTAACACATCTCTCACCCTGTCCATGGAGGACAGAAGAAAATGTATATATGCTGTTTAGCATTGTAAATGTGTGGCCACGTCTGTGGTAGAAAAATAAAAGCATCCCAGACGCTGCCTTAATCGATTAAGGCAGCGTCTGTGATGCTCTCAGACGTAGGTTCGAACCCACGTTACGTCCCTTGTAGATTTGCTTATGCTGGAGATAGTTCAAAGGCATGTCTTCAGACTAGTCCTCGAGATGAGGGGTATGAGATAATAGGAAAGACGTAAGTAATTCAACCTTATGCCTCTGGAAGACAGAAAAAAACGGGGATATATGTTCACCACATACAAAATTCACATAAGGAAGTTGACCAGACCACACACTAGAAGGTGAAGGGACGACGACGTTTCGGTCCATCGTGGACCATTCTCAAGTCGATTGTAAAGATCACAATCGACTTTAGAATGGTCCAGGACAGACCGAAACGTCGTCGTCCCTTCACCTTCTAGTGTGTGGTCTGGTCAACATACTTTAGCCACGTTATTGTGACTCATCGCCAGCATTCACATAAGGAATAGACTATTTTACACGGGTGGTACACGAACAAGCGCAGTGGTCAACTTTACAACCGAAAGGTCTCTGGTTCAGTTGACTCCCTCGTGACGTAGATGTTGGGATACATTGCTAAAGGAAAAAAAAGAGTTCTGGAATGTGGAGTCTTGTTAAAGAGCTCGGGAGTACTATCCGCCGACAGTAGCGACACAGTCCTGGCGGCGATGTGTACAAATTGCTTTATCTCGTCGGTTATGCAAATCAACTAATGTAAAGAACGTCAGCCTCGCCTAAATTACCGCCGAGAATAAAGGTAATCTTCAGAATGCGGGTTGAGTTGCTGCGCCAGTTTTTGTGGCTACACAGAAGTGCAAATGGGTCAAGACGGGCGGAGTGCTAGCGGGGCGTGGTGGAGGGGTGGGTGGAGGCGGGGTAGCTCAACACTCTAGCAGGTGAGGAAGCAGTCGAGGAATTACGGGCTATTCATGCCCGTGCCACCTATTGGGTGGCTTAATCTTCGTCAATCAGTGAGGGGAAAATAAAGGAACAGTATGCGGGAAGAGGGGAGGTGGTAGCGAGGGGAAAGGAAGGGGTGGGATTGAGGAGCTTAGAGGAGGGAAGGATGGCAGAGGATAGTGAATAGGAGGATAGGAGAGCGTGGTGTTGCACTTGCTTTCCGTCAATAGTGGCTTATTTAATAAGTGCATATGTGACATACTAATTGATTGTGAATATATTAGTTTACCTTGAAGAGCTTCATAGAAAACACCGACCTCACCTAACCTTCTTAGTATGTTAAGATAAGCATCTTATTGCTTCTTATTTACAATTATTACTTAACCTATACTGGGAGGGGTGGTAGATGGATGTGTGTGTGGGGGGGGGGGGAGTAACGGAGCGAGGTGTGGTGAAGGAATATGTAATAAATGTTACTTGATGTACTTTGAGGTGCCGGACAAAAAAAAATAATTGTAGGATAGGAGGTTAGGGAAGAGAGGCGGGGGTAGGGGTGGAGTAGGGGGACAGCTGAGAGAGAGGCGTGGGGGCAGGAAAGCGCTCCACCACCGACCATGACCACATACTAACCTTGTCTGGGACGAGGTCAACACCGGCCTCTCCCACCACCATGGTGTCAGAGCCCGCGCCAGCCGCGAAATCACCATGGATTTACAACTGGAAAATAATGCCTGACACACTGGAGTGAGTAAGATGACGGCGTTACTCAAATGAGACAGGGAAAGAAAGGCTGGGTAGAATGTAGTTGTTCTAGACTGTCAAAAGGCATTTGACAGTGTTCCCCCTTGAAAGACTGTTGTACAAGATGACGCGGGAAGTCTAGTCTGAGGGAAGGTCAGGCCAGATATTACCATGAATACTGAGGGAAGATCCGGCCAGATATGACCATGTATACTGAGGGAAGATCCGGCCAGATATGACCATGTATACTGAGGGAAGATCCGGCCAGATATGACCATGTATACTGAGGGAAGATCCGGCCTGATATGACCATGTATACTGAGGGAAGATCCGGCCAGATATGACCATGTATACTGAGGGAAGATCCGGCCTGATATTACCATGTATACTGAGGGAAGATCCGGCCTGATATTGCCATGTATACTGAGGGAAGATCCGGCCAGATATGACCATGTATACTGAGGGAAGATCCGGCCAGATATGACCATGTATACTGAGGGAAGATCCGGCCTGATATTACCATGTATACTGAGGGAAGATCCGGCCTGATATTACCATGTATACTGAGGGAAGATCCGGCCAGATATGACCATGTATACTGAGGGAAGATCCGGCCTGATATTACCATGTATACTGAGGGAAGATCAGGCCTGATATTACCATGTATACTGGGGGAAGATCCGGCCAGATATGACCATGTATACTGAGGGAAGATCCGGCCAGATATTACCATGTATACTGAGGGAAGATCCGGCCTGATATGACCATGTATACTGAGGGAAGATCCGGCCAGATATTACCATGTATACTGAGGGAAGATCCGGCCAGATATTACCATGTATACTGAGGGAAGATCCGGCCAGATATTACCATGTATACTGAGGGAAGATCCGGCCTGATATGACCATGTATACTGAGGGAAGATCCGGCCAGATATTACCATGTATACTGAGGGAAGATCCGGCCGCTGTCTCAACAAACCTCAGGCCAGTGTGTACAATCATTAAAAACAATAATTATCATTAATTAGACAAATCTAGTTAAACATTGATCCTTAAAGAAATGAGATGAGTAAAAGCTATTGAACTGGCCATCATCGTCCCTAACAGCCTGCAAGATATCAGAATGAATAGTGAATAGGTCAAAGAATAGTGACGCACCTGTCATCCACCCGGGAATAGAGGAGAATGAGAGACTGAATATGTTGCATATTCCCAGACAAGAGGCAGGCTCGGGCGAGGTTGGAATTGTAAGTGGAGAGTAGAAGGCCGCGGGGCAAAGTAGATAATAAACAGCAGGCCAAAGGGAAGGTGTAAGTTGGCCAAGGAATCAAAACGTGGCCACAGAATTCTGATACGCCAGCAGTACTTGTCAAGTTTAGATGTGAACACAGACGAGGAGCAGGAATTGTCGAACGTGGCCGGTCCATACCAGTACCCATGGTAGCCCTCCAGGGGTGACTCAGACCCATACCAGTACCCATGGTAGCCCTCCAGGGTGACTCCAGACCCATACCAGTACCCATGGTAGCCTCCCAGGGTGACTCAGACCCATACCAGTACCCATGGTAGTCCTCCAGGGGTGACTCAGACCCATACCAGTACCCATGGTAGCCCTCCAGGGTGACTCAGAGCCATACCAGTACCCATGGTAGCCCTCCAGGGTGACTCAGACCCATACCAGTACCCATGGTAGCCCCCAGGGTGACTCAGACCCATACCAGTACCCATGGTAGCCCTTCAGGGTGACTCAGACCCATACCAGTACCCATGGTAGCCTTCCAGGGTGACTCCAGACCCATACCAGCACCCATGGTAGCCCCCCAGGGTGACTCAGACCCATACCAGTACCCATGGTAGCCCTCCAGGGGGACTCGGACCCACACCAGTACCCATGGTAGCCCCCCAGGGTGACTCAGACCCATACCAGTACCCATGGTAGCCCTCCAGGGGGACTCAGACCCACACCAGTACCCATGGTAGCCCCCCAGGGTGACTCAGACCCACACCAGTACCCATGGTAGCCCTCCAGGGGGACTCAGACCCACACCAGCACCCATGGTAGCCCCCCAGGGTGACTCAGACCCACACCAGCACCCATGGTAGCCCCCCAGGGGGACTCAGACCCACACCAGCACCCATGGTAGCCCTCCAGGGGGACTCAGACCCACACCAGCACCCATGGTAGCCCCCCAGGGTGATTCAGAGCCATACCAGCACCCATGGTAGCCCCCCAGGGTGACTCAGACCCACACCAGTACCCATGGTAGCCTCCCAGGGTGACTCAGACCCATACCAGCACCCATGGTAGCCCTCCAGGGGGACTCAGACCCACACCAGTACCCATGGTAGTCCTCCAGGGGTGACTCAGACCCATACCAGTACCCATGGTAGTCAGTTCACGTCCCCATAATACTTCTAGTACATATTTGCCAGATCACATCCGCCGCCAAAGACGATTAATGATTAATATAAAACAATAATATAATCCAATATATAAATACAGGTATATAAAGCACGAATTAAAATTCATCTAAGAAGCCGTGGGCGTGCAGGCGCGCGTGGACGAGCGTGTTGGACCTACGCCTGCCCGCCCACACGCCCACCAGGCGATGCCCCAAGACTCACCTGGCATGAACGGCAGGAGCAGCGTCATGGTGAAAAGAACGAGCCAGATCCACTTTCCCCAGCGCGTCCACGGCACCTTCTGCCCTCCGGCCCCGCACTGGGAGGAACCCACGCCTCCTCTGCCTCTCTCAGGACTCTCACTGGGGAGAACCCACAGCTTCTGTCACCCTCTTCACCCTCTCATCTCTCCCGGGTCTCTTCTGTCACTGTAGCTTGCCTCGTTAAGTCCTCGTAGTTATGTAGCCATTGTGCTGTACCATCCAACACCCGCGTCCACGGATACCTGTAGCTGCCCTCAGTGCGTCACACCGGCACCCAGACACCTGTAGCTGCCCTCAATGGGTCACACCGGCACCCAGACACCTGTAGCTGCCCTCAGTGCGTCACACCGGCACCCAGACACCTGTAGCTGCCCTCAGTGCGTCACACCGGCACCCAGACACCTGTAGCTGCCCTCAGTGCGTCACACCGGCACCCAGACACCTGTAGCTGCCCTCAGTGCGTCACACCGGCACCCAGACACCTGTAGCTGCCCTCAGTGCGTCACACCGGCACCCAGACACCTGTAGCTGCCCTCGGTGCGTCACACCGGCACCCAGACACCTGTAGCTGCCCTCAGTGCGTCACACCGGCGCCCAGACACCTGTAGCTGCCCTCGGTGCGTCACACCGGCGCCCAGACACCTGTAGCTGCCGTCAATATCTGCGTCACTCTTTACTCTGTGGTGGAGCTTCTTTGGTGCCGCGAGTGTACCTTTTTTCGGTGTGTGTATGTGTGTTTGCGAGTGCGTGAGCGCGTGCAAGAGTATGCCTGCGTGCGAGTGCGTGCGTGCGTGCGTGCCGCTCCCGGAACTAGTCCTCACACACGCCACTCTGCTTGTTTGGATCTTCCAGTGGATGACTGGGTGAGATTCAAGAAGAGCTTTATCTTCTCCAATGTTTGTTCTTACAAGCTAGAGTGATGTAGAGTTATTCCAAAACTTGCACTTTCACCATTAATATTAATCTATTCTAATGACCTTATATCACCATCTGGCTGTTTTGTCAGTGCTCTACTTGGGCTGGAGGGTGTGAGCCTGTCAGACGGGCTCACCATAGCCCGTGCTACTTGGAACTTGTGTTCCGAGTAGCTGAATCTATAACAACAACAACCACCTGAGGTAGGCAATGTTTACATCCCGTCAGGCGTGGGGCGGTTGTACTGCTCTACGGGAAGGCCTCACTCACTCACAGATCATGTAACTAGTATTTTGTTATCAGTTGCCAGAGGCAGAACTCCTCGAATTGTAGAGCACTGCTTCACAGTAACTAGTATCAACTAAGCATTTGTAAGTTCCATCAATTGAACACTTCACCGTAACTACCACCAACTGAACACTTCACCGTAACTACCACTAACTGGCCACTTGCGCGTGGCTGTCCACCGAGCTACACCCGTCCGTATGGATGGTGTGAGTGGCGAGCGAGAGAATACACTAGACCAGAGTGTACTAAGTGATCACAGAGGTCCACCTACTGTGAGCTCACATGCGCCCTCTCCTTTATATGAGGCGCGCATCAGGTTGCCACATTCCGTTTTCTGTTGACGTATTCAGCTATCCTATCTTCGAATGTAACCCAGAAAAAATAAGTTTGATTTAGATCATATGTAAAGTCACACTGTGGTTACTCAGGTGCTGAAAAGTTTTGTGTTGTTAGATATTAAAGACTTTCAGTTTTGTTTAGTGTAAGAAAAGGAGTGTGGAGAGAGAGGGAGTGGCTCGAGGAGCCCCACGATGATAGCAACTAAAATATGCACATGAAACTAGTGCTAAGGACTAATATAGTGTCTTCCACGGGCAGTTTAGTTCCGTCAGAACTAATATATTCCTTGGGTGGTAATCTAACATTTTCCTGTAATATATAATACATAATTACAAATCATGGCACAGCTGATAATTTCTCCTTAACTGGGATGCTTCTTAACGCCTGCCGAGGCTGTAGCTTGGAATACAATAAGAGAACTTGCTTAACAATCTATGTAATTATTTCCTGTAGGCTGTAACTTGCTTATCTAAATAAACTAGGGTTCAGTTCCTGAACCGTACGAGTCACAAACGCTCATACTCCGCCTTAATAAGACAGAAACGAGAAACAAGTAACACTTAGTGAGAGCCGGTCGGCCGAGCCGGACAGCACGCTGGACTTGTGATCCTGTGGTCCCGGGTTCGATCCCGGGCACCGGCGAGAAACAATGGGCAGAGTTTCTTTCACCCTATGCCCCTGTTACCTAGCAGTAAAATAGGTACCTGGGTGTTAGTCAGCTGTCACGGGCTGCTTCCTGGGAGTGGAGGCCTGGTCGAGGACCGGGCCGCGGGGACACTAAAAAGCCCCGAAATCATCTCAAGATAACCTCAAGATAAGATAGTGGGGCCAGCCAGAGGCTTAGGGCCCGCGCAAGAATATCCCTGCAGAAAAAAAAGTTCCCTAGCCCATTATATGTGCCCCTATAACATTTCCCCTGCCACTCACAAGATTGGTATAAGGGAGTGGGGGAGCATAGTATATGAAGTAAACTTGTATACCAAGGCAACTTGTCCGCCATACCTCCTGGAGCTAGGCCACACTGTACAATATTTAGATATGTAAATATATTTGTTTACGTGTACTTAACTCTTCACCATGGTGAACTCTACAACAATTCGTCATTTTACCTTTTTATGTTTCACAATGTTTCAGCGAGCCATGGCTGGAGACACGTTGACGAGAGTGGTGCAGTACCCGGTGCAATGGTCCTTCACTACCACACCACTCACACCTGGTCCGGCAATGAAGGACTCGACGTTTATGGAGAGATGTAGAGTATGAAGTCAGTAACCCAGAAGATTGAAGAGAACATTCTGAGATGATTTGGCAGCGTTGAATATCTGACTGTAGAATAGTAAGGATAGTGTATCCTCTAGCAGGATGGGAAGAGGATGGCTGGGACGTGCTACAGGCCGCCAGAGGTGGTGAGTTTGGCGGGACCAATTCATAGGATATAATGATTTTGAACAAGACTGGATGATGATGATGATGGATGATTATAAATAGGAGCTGCCTCGTATGGACCAATAGGCCTTCTGCAGTTACCTTATTCTTATGTTCCTATGATAGTTTATGAAGAGGGGAGTCACTGTATTGATATATAATGCATGAGACAATTCACCACAAGGAACACTGAACACTCGGCCTTATGAAGCGGTGTTGTGGAGGACAGCTGCAGTGTGGTGCTGCTTGTCCATGATGAGACGATTGTATTATTAAAATTGAAATAGAAATAAGTTTATTGAGATAAAATACACACAAAGGGATGAGGTAGCTCAAGCTATTCTCACGCCGTTCAGTACAACGTGTTCATACATGTATAGACACACATCACAAACAATAAACATATTCAGGCTGTTCAATCGACTTGAGAATGGTCCAGGACGGACCGAAACGTCGTCGTCCCTTCACCTTCTAGTGTGTGGTCTGGTCAATAAACATATTACCGAACATTCTGAGAGATAAACATATACATTTCTTTATTATGATTGTATATTATAGTGTGGAAAATATAATGGACAAGATATATTTATATTTTATATTGTCTATAGCAGTATTAAACTATATTGCTGTGTTGCACCCCTACGGGCTCATGTCTGCTAAGCCTATAAAACTGAAACTGCTGATTAATTACAAGATTTACAGCGTGACTTCATGTAAGGACGCTCATATTTGTTAAATTTATTTTAATATCCAACAGTCAAATTAACCTAAATATTAACAATACCCAAATTATGCACGGAGTAGGTTGGGAAGTTCTTCAGTGTTCACATTGATAACAAGTTTAATTAACGATACCATATACAATATATAACTAAAAAGTTCCTTAAAATCATTCTCTCTAAAGGCAGATACTAAGCACCTCGCCCTGTCATAGTAACTCTTGTGTTATCCACTCGTGTATCTATATCTGGCCTATGGTATCTGTGCCTGGGAAGCTACCACCCTTCATTATCTCCAACCCCTAATTACTCAACACAAACCTCCAGCCCCAGACACCACTCTGTGATGTCATATAATATATAATACACTCACCCACTGGGCGGCAGCTTTACAGTCATGTGCAGCCTGCACCTACAGTAAGCACATTTTGTATATTTGGCTAAGATTCCTGGCAGTACATCATTATGAACGAAGTACTTACACATTCCTTGGACACCATTTGTTGTGATCCCCTTACGCAGACCACTGTGCTACAAGACACTATATATATATATATATATATATATATATATATATATATATATATATATATATATATATATATATATATATATATATATATATATATATATATAAGTTTGGGGAATATATTTACCATACAATATATACCCGTTGTCAGACCTGAAACACATTCCTCATCGAGAAAAGCCACGACCAGTAAAAAGAAAAAGGAAAGTATACGTTCTTTGAGAGGAGTTTCCTTCAGCAGTTTGAGGTCATTTGTAGTAGGGAGGGGAGGCGGAGAGCGCGTCACAGAGAGGGAGGCCCCGTGGAATAATACATGCTGGTGAGGCGGATCTTCATTCCAGTGACATTTCGACAGTGTATCGACTAGGAAGTATGGAATCAAGCAGGTGTGGAATGCTTGCTTCAGTGGTAGCATAGTGCTGCAGGCATTGTCCTGCTGCTATCATGTCTACAGCGCTGGTTAACATGATTAAGAGTTTTTCTTTTCCACCCCCCCCCCCTGGTCCTCTGTGCAACATGGCCCACTGTTCCCCCGGTGCAACATGGTCTTAAAGTCTTAAGACTTTAAGATAAAGTCTTCATGACTAAGTCTTAAGTGGTTTATACAAGTCATTAGAGTTGTGGCTGGAGGGACCAGGGGTCAGATTCACGAAGCAGTTACGCAAGTACTTACGGACGTGAACATCTTTCCTCAATCTTTGACGGCTTTGGTTACATTTATTAAACAGTTTACAAGCATGGAAACTTGCCAATCAACTGTTGTTATTGTTATAAACAGCCTCCTAGTGCTTCGGAGCTCATTAACTGTTTAATAATTGTAAACAAAGCCGCCAAAGATTGAGAAAAGATGTACAGGTTCGTAAGTGCTTGCGTAACAGCTTCGTGAATCTGGCCCCAGGCACACAGCTGTGTACAACGTACAGCTGAAAAGTTAAGATCGGTGCGGCTAATACTGGCAAAACATGTGCCAGAAAAAATATCATAATGAATCTTACGTACCTTGAGGTGCTTCCTCAAGGTACGTAGGTTAAATATATTACGGCAAGCGGCCATCTTTACCGAGCTCTTTTTTGAGAGTAAGACACCGATTCTTCTCCAAGCAGACATTGAAGGAATGGTCAGAACGAATCTAGCTCACACATCTCTTCCACCACTCTCTCGCTCCTTCCCGGTCTTCCCTCCCTCCCTTTCCATTTTACCCTTTCTTCCTTTCGTCCTTTTCTTCCCGTCATTTCATCTCTTCCCACACCCCTCACCTTCTCTCTGTCCCCCTCTCCGCTCATCTTAAATTTTCACTACACACTATCTTCACTGTATACATTATTTTCATCGCCATAACCATCTTCCCTACTCACTCTCTCCGTCAATAACGCGAATGAATTCCCCCCTTCTCTTCCCCCACCCCCTTGGTCCCTCACTTAGTCCTTACCCATCTTATCCTCCCCCTCTTCCTCCTCCTCTTTCACCCCATTTTTCCATTTTTTCAGAAACTATATTAGGAAGCACTGAAACAACTGTATGGGTCTCAGAAACTATATTAGGAAGCACTGAAACAACTGTATGGGTCTCAGAAACTATATTAGGAAGCACTGAAACAACTGTATGGGTCTCAGAAAATGTATTGCAATGCACTGGAAGCTCTATGGGAAGCACGCCAAGTGTTACACACATGACTCCACGAAAATCGCATGAAGGTCTCGATAAATATTTCTTAAAGAATGTAACTTGTGCTAGTCGGGTTCGACCTATGTCCATCCTGTACCCCAGACCACTCCCCCTGCAAAATTTGATGAGGCTATTCCCCCAACAGTCTAGCCTCGAACCCTAGACAGAGATACAGACATTCTCATTTATAATATTGATGAGTGATATTAAGGTTGCAGTACCCTATTATTTATTTCGAAATTTGTGTGTTTTAGTATATTCTCTATAGCGTGAACCAAATATATGACGAATGAAAGCTTGAATTGAGGTAATGTAAGTCTACAACATAATAGCAACTCTGCCCACGTATATCATAAGACTGTTAGAGGAAACTATCAAGTTACAGCCCCGCTCCTGTGCCAGGTAAGTCCACTACGGGCTCACCATAGCCCGTGCTACTTGGAACATTTTGTTCCGAGTAACGAATCTTAAACAAGAACAACAACAGGAAACTATCTCATAGCTGGAAGTGGGTCGACGTGGGCGTGGTGACAGGAGCCAGTTTTTCCACCGCTGACGTCCGGCCGATACATTCACCATTTATCATCACTCTGTAGCGAGGATGGCTAGTGTAGAATCAATCTGGAAATAATAGTTACTTCATAGCATTAAATAATGCGTGTGGTCTCGGACAGCGCGGGCATGTTGATTGGGGCGACACTGACGCCCCCAGCATGATAACGGCGCCACCGCGTCCCGGAACCTGCGTCAGGAGGACCCGACCTACCCTGTTTGCATGGTGAGGGCGGTTACTAGCCCTCACCATCACATCAAAAACCCTCACCAGCATCACCATCAGCAGCATAATCATCATCATCGTCACCACAGTGGAGAAATGCCCGACAGACCACTGGTACATTGTCTAACACAGTGCACAGTTACACACCCAATAAGATTTCAACTAAGATTCAGCAGAGCAGAAGAAGTTGTTAAACACATGGGTCGCGCCATAATCTTACTGAAGTAAACATAATAAATACTCATACTCCGCCTAAGTAAAACAAACAGAAACAAGAAACAAGTAACACTTAGTGGGCCAACCAGAGGCTATAGGGCCTGAGCAGGAATATCTCAGCCCCCCCCCCAAAAAATATGCATAATCAACATCACCAGCCACACCATACAAATTTCACCATCATCATCACTAACACCACCATCACCACAAGCACTACCATCACCACTAACACCATCAGCATCACCAAAACCACCAGCACCAGCATCACCAAAACCACCAGCACCAGCATCACCAAAACCACCAGCACCAGCATCACCAATACCCTCCACCATCATCATTATCATCAACAGCATCACTATCATCAACATCACTGACACCACCATCTTCATTGTGATGTGATAATGCTGTTGATGGTCACTATGACCATCAACAGCATTATCACTACCACCACCACCATCATCATCAGCACCATCACTATACCATTGCTAGCACCATTTTCATCACTAACGCCACCAACATCACTATATCACGTATTTATCATTACTAACACACCATCAACAGCTTCAATATCGCCACCATCTGCAGCAGCACAATAACACCATCAGTAATGGCATCACTATCACCAACACCATCACTAACACCATTACTCATAATCAGGTTTTTATTGATTTATTCGAGTATCCCTTTATTAAGCTAAGGATTGTTAACCCCTTTGATTGTCAATTGTTTAGTTAGCAAGGGATAGTGAGTATTACAGAGCCTTTGTGAAGAAATGTTTGTACACCTAAATTAATTAAGCTGCTACATGTGGCTTGGACTCGGGCACATGCTGTTTTTTTTTATTATTATTTTCTACCACAGACGTGGCCAGACATTTACAATGCTAACCAGGATATATATACATTTTCTTCTGTCCTCCATGGACAGGGTGAGAGATTTGTTAAACATATAGTTCAGGGATTTATTGAACAATCAGCCACAGAAGGTGATTGTACTGCTTTTAAAATGATAATCTAATCTACAGACATAAATACATAGATACACAGAGTTACGTCTGCCCTACATAAAGTGGTCGATGTGTCTTTTACATAGTGTCATTAATGTGCATTTATAAAGGTGAAATGTAATTCTGATCAGCTTCCACATATACTTTATATACATACATACATATACATACACACAGGAGGAGGAAAAAACATACAGTGCGGAGGAAAAAAATAAAATTAGTTAGTAGTTAGTAACAATTGATTGATTGACAGTTGAGAGGCTGCCGAAAGAGCAGGGCTCAACCCCCGCAAGCACAACTAGGTGAATACAAATATATGTACATGTATACATACATGTACATATATACATATATATATACACATATATATACATATATACATAAATACACATGCATACACATGCACACATACATGCATTTATGGCTCTCCTACTTACTCTGAGAGGGTAAGATAGTTGATAGAGAAACTAGTGTGTTATTAAGCACTTAACCACTGAAGGTGATTAAGATGCTTTTACAAGCTCAAGTTATAAAGATTACATCTCATACATACATTGTATAATTGATACATTACATGGTCAATTTTGGGTGCAAGTCCAATATATCAAGAGCAGAGTTAAACTTAATCTGTGTAAACACTCTATGCAAATAAAGGGACCCAGTTTATGGAACTCACTCCCTACTGAATTGAAAAGCTGTCCAACTTTTACATCATTCAAAATCAATACTAAAAAGTACCTAATTTCATCTTCATAGTTTTTCACTTTTTGCCTTAAAATTGCACTGTATCAATTGCTACCCAATCTCCCAACCTTTATGTTCCCAATTTGAACATCTTTACCATTGTGATCATTGCTGTTTTCTTATACCCAGTCTCCCAATCTTTATGTACCCATTCTGAACATCTTTACCATTGTGATCATTGCTGTCTTATATGTGCTGTCAATCTGCTGTATGGTGTCTATTAATCTTGTTTAAATTACTAATCAAGCTGTCAATGTAATCAATCAGAGCTTTAATATAACAATGTGCTTTAATATACTTACTTATCTTTCTCATCTCATTTTTCTCTTGTAATGTATCTTTATCATTTATCAATTCTGATTGAAATTACCTACTTAAAATTATCTGCTAGATTAAGGACCTGCCCGAAACGCTGCGCGTACTAGTGGCTTTACAAGAATGTAAATACTGTACTATCCAATGTATTCTCACAAACCCAATGTACCTTCTTGTATATATATAAATAAATAAATAAATAAATAAATAAATAAATAAATAAATAAAAAGAGTTGTATATCATCATCCACATGCTGTGTGAGGTGTCCTATAGCTGGTCAAGAAATTCTTCTCTTCCTTGATATTAGATTCATCTACTCTATTATCTCGTGGTTCAAGTTCCCCAGTTATAAGGGCTTGGGTTTCAGCTGCAGCGCTGACCACATTATTCACATCAGTTTAGTTCATTTATTTATGCACCCTATACCCATCCCGTAGGCAGTATTGGAAAGGGTTACAGAGCCACGTAATGTGTGTGTTCAGGGAATGAACCCCCAAATTCATTTATTCACACCAGTGACCTCCTCTGCTGTTGCTGTGTCTGCCCTGTAGTCTGTATCTGCTCTCCCACAATCAGTTTGCTACATTTTGAGCCTGTATGTTGCACAGATTCTGAGGAATCCCATTGTTTTCACTAGAGAATCCTGAAACTTGATATTGCTTTGTGAGTCAATCGTATTATTTATAAGTTGTGTAATATTCGTGGTTTTTATTTTGCTAATTGGGCTTAAAAAAAAAGATCTTATAAGGTGATTTTAGCTCAGGTGTTGCTTATTACGTAACCCGAACACAGGTGTTAAAGAGCTTAATATCCACGATTTTCTGTGGCATGAAAAACAACACTAGGGGAAAAAAATACATAATTCCTCGAATTTTGGTTGAAATAAAGCATATTCCTAATTTATATAGGCAAAATTTAGTCGAATGCTTCAGTTATATAATTAAATATTGAATTGAGTTAATGTAGCGAGCACTTGTTTATATGGCAAGAGTGGTGGAGGAGCAGCAGTGTTTACAAGCGTCAGCTGACCCGCCTCCTCCAGCCTTGTGTAGGTTACCGAGACAACTGTAACTCTTTTTGTAAGTTACTGAGACGTTTGTATTATTAACTACACGGTCAATATTGAATAGTTTAAACCTTTTGACCAAAGCCGATATGAATAAGATGCGTAATATTTCGGTAAAATGAATCCCGCTTTACTAGGTTTGACAGTTCTGTATATATATGGTCATTATACAGTTTGTATCATGAGACTTGACAAATCAAGTAATGAACACACGAAGTTAATGTCATACAATAATCTGTGGCACTGATATTTGTATACAGGTCCATAGGATGCTGTATTATTTAAATATTTAAGTAGAAGCCCTTAGGATACTGTACTCTTTTTAGATGTACAGACTCACGAATGCTTTTTTTTTTATAAATAAAACCATTGGATAATGAACTATTTTTATAGAGGCCAATGGGACCGCCTACCCGCAGAAATGTAAATGTCAAAACTCTGTTGAATTTTGAAATCCAGCTAGGAAAAGTAAGGAGAAATGGGGTGGAGTGGGGGGGGGGGGGATCTTTAACAAGCCGCAGGGTTCCTGTCCTTGTCAAGACTACTAGAGTGTTAGTAGCCCTCGGGTAAATTCAGGTAATTCTCTCTCGCTACAAGCAAATGGGACACTGCTATCTGGATACAAGCAAGTGGAGCTCCACTATCTGGATACAGTCAAGTGGGACACTGTTGTCTGGATATAATCAACTTGGGTGCCGCTATCTTGATACAAAATACGCTTCACTATTTGCTTAGGCCTTCAGGCCCATAAAACATTGTTCTATTTGTATACAATTGCATGAGGCTCTGCACTATTTAGATAAGTCTTTGAGAAATATCCCATCAACACTGGTCAAAAATACCCACCAATGTGTTCCAATAATAGGTTAAAACATGGGTATGTTGGGCATAAATGTTTAAATAGGACTGCCAATATGCACATACATAGCTGGTAACATTATTAGCTCCACCTTGACAGTATATTAGCAGCTGTTTTTATAGTATGAAGGTTGAGCTAATAATGTTGTCAATCTTGTATCCCATGATAGAAGTTCTTATAGGTATGTTTGCCATAAATTATTAATGTTTAACCTATAGAAACTATAGTGTAAATGTCTAATTGTCCAATATTAATGCAGTCAAAAATAAAATTAATGTTTTCTGTGTAACAGATGGCAAGTAGCGACAAGTTCAAAGACACCTTGTCTAGATTAAGATACTGTGAAACCAACTGATTTTCTCATTGATACATTATGTTAATGTGATTTCTTTGTGCATTTGAAGAAAGTGATGGTGGAAGAACTCCTATACAGAAACCACACTAGAGTGTATGCGAGTAATGTGTAAGAACTTGATTTGGTATTGGCTCAAATGCGCCAAAACCCCCTTGTGGATTTAGTTGAATCCCATGTTACATTACTTATAGTGTATTGTGGCTCATTGGCTTAAGGCATGTGCTTGGGAGTACCCATAGTGCAGGACAATCCTTTGCATGCCTCCAACTGAGTTTCTCAATATTGATAATATCACAAACCACATCAAATATGCAAATAATACTGTGAAAAGATCTGTGGAAAAGCAGAAGGCAAAATTAAATTGTAGCTTCTCAAACATCTCAACTAATATCACAAATGGTCAAAGAATGCAAATACTCTTCGATATTGAAAAAATGCAAGTCCTTGCACGTGGAACTTAAAACTACAGATAACAGCTACCATATTAACAGGATGACCTTGCACTAAATAATAAATAAAAAGGACCTAAGAGTAATAGTCCTCCAGTCATAGAAATCTGCTCAGCAAGTTGCTGCAGTAAAAAAAACTAAGAATAATCAAACCCACTATAGACCTCCAGAAAATTAGTGACTATCCAGTTGTATAAATGCCTTCTGTGCCACCATCTGCCCAATTGTACTCAAGCACAGAGACAAAAGGCATTATTGCTTTGGAAAATGAGCAAAACAAAATCATTCCAGACCTGTCAAATTTCATGCTGTACTAGGAAATGCTGAGGACCATATGGCTAACTCTTCAGGAATACAAAATAGGATTTGTCTTATTTTAAGTTTTAAAAATACAGCACTGTACTGAATACGTTAGAAAATGGTAATCCAGACTACTACTACAAAAGGTAAACTTTTCACCCATCATATAATAAACTTAAGGAATCTTTTACTCTCAGAAGTCAGAAATTCCAAGACAGTGTTACAGTTAAAAAACTGATTAAAAAAAATCCATCATAAAGAATGTTAGATCTTTCCATAAAACAAACAGTCCCCACCACATCTACTAGCATTGGTCATCAGGTATATTCATGGATCAACTTTGGAACTGAGCAGATTATTTACTTAAGACTGAATTTTTTTTATTATATTCTAACTCAAACAAATTTTGCATGATTGTTACATATAAAATCTCCCCTTCATTTGTTATGAAACCTGGCAATGAACCCTGTAAAAATTCTGCAGGTTGCCTCATCACAATATGTACAACTATCAAGACACTGAACCAACCCATTAATGAGTCTGTTGTCAGTGCGTACACAGCTTCAGTGTGATGGGGGATGGGAAGGTGTATTCCTCTTTAGTTTGGCAGGTCTTGTAGTTTTAGAAGTACAGTACTGTTTATTAGTTATTTTATTAATTTCTATGATGTGTGACTGTAGGACTTGCATAGTAGAGATCAAACATATAGTAGTTTTGATATCACCCGAAGCATTTATAGTAAATCCTTATGAATGAACCAGCATCATAGCAGTTCAGTATTCTGCATTGTGCCTATACACACAAACTTAATTTTTTTTTTCCAGAAATGTGCGATGGTTTTATAGAAGTTTATGAAAAAGTAAAAAGTCCAGAACAAATATGATTTAGAAGATGAGTCGTTCAAGTGGCTCCCCAACAAGTTTGACTGAGTTTGGGCCTCTAACTCCTGATGAAAAGCCTCAGGGTTATGGATTTTCATTTTCGAAGCTCTTTCAGAGAGCAGTTCGAGGTAGGCTCAACATTACTGCATTTAGAAGAGAAAGAGTATGGGGGTATTCAAAATTAATCATGATTCTGCTTTCATTTCTGAATCAAGACAGCTTGCATAAATATTTTAAATGTGTTAATGGGTTTAAACTTTCTTTATTAGGGTAACATTTTTCTATTAATTTTTAATGTTGCTATGTTTTCGGTGATAGTAATAGAAAACAGTGCTTTCTAATCTCATGGGTGCCTTGGCTTAAAACAAAATGCAAATTTAAATTATTACAAATTAGAGTGTGTTCCATCAAAAGTTGAGGCTAATCACAATATCTTTATTGTAAGCTAATGGTATATTAGCTTACAATGATATAGTGTAAGCTAATAGTATATTTGCTTACAATGGTATATTGGGAGCTAATTGTATATTAGCTTACAATGGTATATTAGTTTTGTTCAAACCTGCCATAATTGGGAAAGGTTTTGTGCTAAATGGTTCTGTATTAGGGGATTTAATTGATTTGAAGTAAATGATGTATGCAACAACAGTTTCTATTGTAAATTGTAAACTACATGAAGGTGAGATTTTGCCTTGAGAGGCCTTATCAGACTTGGAGAAACATAGAGCTAGCTGCTTATGAAAGGAAAAGAAGGCTAGATGAAAGTGCAGTGAGGTTATAGAGGTGTGGGATTAATTAAGTCATACTTTGCATTTTATATTGTCAAATTAGCAAGTTGACTTGCAATGCTTAATTTTATTAGATTCTAATGTTTTTTCATCGTCGATGATGAGTTGTGTGCTTGAAGTTTGTGAGGTGTTGTGCCTGGTGTGGGCTGCTCCTGGGTACAGGAAAGCAGGCCTGGGGTTAAGATTGAAACCTGGTCTTGAGACATGACTTGAAACTTGAGCAGTCTCAAGTCTTCTCATAGCTTTTATGTTTTAGGGTTGAGAGCCATTTATGTAGCATGTCTTTGCACCTTAAGTAAATTATTGATAAGTTTTTGAGATACATGTATTTACAACACACAGCAGTTTCATATTCTGATTTTAGTCTCATGAATGTTGTGAAAAATTTGTATAGCATTTTTCCATTCATAAATTTAAGTTATGAAATTGGCAAGCAAAGCAAAGTTTTCTAACCATGCCATTGAAAAAACATAAGAATAAGTGAATTTGCAGAAGGCCTTTTGACCCCATACAAGATGGCTTTTACTTAAGTTGATCCTTTTGTGACAGTTTTAATATCTATAACTGCTCCTACAGCTGTACACTGTTGGGTATCATGACCTATCTATATATTTTTAACTTATTTATTTAACAACCGTATTCAGGATTATAGTTTTTAATTTAAGGTCAATCTTAGAGCCGTTGGCTTGGCTGGAAACTGCAAGACTCTGTTCAGAAACTGAAATATGAATACAGTTTACGCTTTAGACTTCACTAACACATTGCACCTCTAACTACAAGATTAGGAATTTTATAGATAAGCACTTCATTCTGTACTAGCACAATTATGGAGTATTTTTTTATTTTTTATTTTAAGGGTTTATTTTTTTTTAAACATATCTTTTTCATAAACTTGAAGATTAAGTGATTGTTTGAAACTGACACTAATACTGAAGCATTTAATTAATACAAAATATTTATTATTTTCATGCACATTAGTAATGTTACTATATTTTCAATTAGAGTACTACTGTATACTGTATCTATAACCTTAGTAAGCTCTTTAGTTTTTTTTAGATTGCATGAAATCCCAATTTTTCCTCTGCCAATTACAGGAGCAACAGGTACATCAAAATTGAGCAATTCATCAGATCAACCGAAGCAAGATCACCCTAACCAAGTTGGGAGCAACAGAGAATCCGACCACCAACCTGTGTTACGATCAGATTCTTTAGATGGAGGACAAGGTTGGCTTGATAAGGTGATTAGTAGTTTTTCTAATTGTCTACAGTTTCAACGAAGTTATTTGTATAGCCTTCTGATGTATTGTGATTATCACAGGCTTCATATATAGGAATGGTGTAAAATCTAATTATAATATTGTGTTCAGTAATATTGAAAATATTAATTTTTTATATGGTAATTGTGCCTTTGTTGGTACAGATGGTCATAATAGTGTAATGTCTGTTATTACCTAATTAGCATAAAAGTTAGCTGTGCTCATATGGTCCTGTCTTTATGAATTTTTGTTTTAGCTTTATTTGAAACCTCCAATATTTCGACATACAGGCAGCACGCAATTTATGTGGTACAGTACTGTGTTGGATTACATGGATTTGGAGATACAAGGGTATATACTTCATACCAAGTTTCAAAGTGCGCTGGTGAATGCTGAAATTTCATGGGTTGAGAGACTTGGATTACATTTGGTGAGGATCACCATGAAGGATCCAAATGAGGATCACCCTCATTTGGCGAGGGTGATCGTAAAGAATCCCCTGCTCCCTGTGCCTCTTTGAGGAGGGTCTAGGTTCTGGCTTGGGTCTCTGGTAGGCTGTTAAGGATTGCTGGGACTGATGTGAATCATATGAGTGGAGCCATCTCTGTTGACTAACTACAGGGAGCCTTGGTGGCCCAACCAGGAAGAGGAAGAAGCGCTATATTCAATGCCAGTTTTTTCTTTACCCTATGAACTTAAAAAATAAAAAAATAAATGCACTTCTCTTTAAATGTTTAAATTGTATTCAATTTGTTTCTATTCTAGGGGATGAATGATACAGCAAGTGTGAGCTCAGAGACATCAGTTACATCATCTGCTGCTTCAGTCATTAGTAAGGTTGGACCATCATCAGGACATGATCGAACACTGCCAAATGTTCTCACCAGGATAAGGAACATCATAGATAATCGAGGGTCTGTGAGTATAAAAATGTACAGTACTTACATTTTGATTGTTAATAAAGGTAAAATCCACTGGTCTTCATTCAGTTAAATTATTTATGCTCCAAATGGAGTAAAAATAAAGCACAGAATTTAATGAACTGCCCCTTTTTGGGTTGCTTGTCAATAGCTCCCCTCAGTTTACTTCACCGGCACACTCACAGAGCACTGTGATCACAGGCTTCCACTGACACTCTTGGCATACCAAGGACAAACATGTTTTCCAACAGTTTTCTTTTTTTACTGCTAAGTGACAGGGCAGCTCATTGAGATCAGAGACCATCCCACTACCAAATTAAATTGCCCGCAGACTAAAGGAAATATCAAAACATTCAATTGTCATTAGAAACTTCTTTGGAAATAAATGTCAAGTAATTCTCTCAAATACCTAATACCCATTAATCTGACTACCCCAGCCAGCAGGTTTTCTCCTGACAGCCCTTTTGTGGTAAGCTCCAGTGACGATGTGGTAGAGGGCTGTTTATTGGACGGGTGGCATGCTTGGGACCAGGACACCTGGGCCTGTTGGGCTTGGTCTTATCTTCCTTGCCAGGTGGTCTGGGGTCCTTTCCACCTGTTTATATTATGTATCCTCCAAACTGTCATACTTGATTTGTTGGACAAGGGAGTTAGTGTGTTATTACTATATTCCTCTGGTTGGTGTGCCAACTGTTTCTGGTTCTATGGAGGACTCTCTGGGTCTGAAATTTGTCCTCAATCTTTATTTTTCAATTTTTTTTAGTACATATCCAACCAGTATAAGGACCTCTGGTTTAGTATCCCACTGGATGTAAAAAGCTGCTTTGAGACCAATATTTGAATCTTTATTTACTGAAACGTCATCCAATATCATCCAGTAAAAGCAAATTATGGCTACTATTGAATTTATCAAGCTCTGTTGATTTTATCATGCTTGATTTTATCACTAGGTAAACAGGCAGTTGTTATTGAGTTTGTGGCACAACTTTCCCCTCATTCAGTCAATGTAAAATTTTTATGGAATGGGTGTGGAAATGTAACCTGAAGTGGCTATGGAAGGGACAAGTGTAGGGTAGGCTAGCATTTGTGTGTGTAGGAGCCACTTTCAGTGGGTGTCTATCATTCTCACTGATGGCTTCCTCCATTTCTGTCTTATTTTGGTGGAGTTCGCAAGACATTAGGTCATCCTTAAGTAGATCTCTCCTCATTGTGGCACTATTGATTGTCTCTTTATGTTGCTGTATTTCTTGATCATGCACGAGTTACTAAGACTTCCCTGAAAAGGTTTCATTATGTTCAGTGTTTGATTTTTAATAGATTATGCATCAAATTACAGTATGTGCCTTTTTCACCCTACAGACGCCTCAACAGTACAAAGATTCTGACTTCAAGCAGTATTGGCTACCGGATAGTGTAAGTCGAGAATGTTACGAATGCGAAGAAAAGTTTACCACATTCCGTCGAAGACACCACTGCAGAGTTTGTGGTCAGATCTTTTGTTCAAGATGTTGTAATAGTATGATTCCAGGAAAGATCATTGGATACACTGGTAAGTAATCATGTACTGTATTGTGTTAGTTAAATGTAAACAGTTGAAGTTGATCTTTTACTCTTAATTATATTTTCATGCATCTCTGTATCAATAATGTGTTCCCTTCTGAATGAAACACACATTCGGCATTATAAACATCCCAGTGTTAAAGTTGGTATTGCCTTATTCTCTGGGAGGTACCACGCAATTGCTCCCCCATGCTGATTGCTGGCTGCACCTAGCCTTTGCTCAACACACTAGGTCTCCGAGACTCAACTGTTATCTATCAGGAGCCAAGACTAGAATCTTACTCACTCTTAAGAATAAAGATCAACCACCACAAAATTGGGGGCAGAGGAGGGGGTGGTGGGAACTCCCACCAGAAAGCATAAGTTCAACAAAACAAGCAACTACTTTTTGAGAAGGGGGGCACCCCAAGGGAAAACAAAACAAATGGCCATTGCCTCATTGACTTGTTTTCCTCTGCAAGGCCTGTTGATGTGTAGAGGGTAGGTATTCCTCATCCCCCTCCCATCTTTTGTGTTGCTTTTGGGTTTCTCTTTTGGCAGAGAATTCCTTTCTTAAGGAAACTTTCCGCCTGGCTCTTGTATCTGGGTGGTTTCTGTTCCTTCAGGCCTGGTCTTCATTTTATGTCTCTGCAAACTTTTCCTTCGTTTAATGCCTCTACAAACTTTTCTTTTGTTTTTGGTTAAGGATAAGATGTCTGCTTTTTGAAAGAGTCCTCTAGTCATTGATGCTTGGTTTGTCTGGCTGTGGGTGTATTTCAGCATATGCTCTGTCCTGTGATCATGGTGCAGCATTGTGCACTACTCGTGTACTGCTGATTGATACCTTGTTTGTCAACCCAGCCTAACATTCCTAGGCCATCTGAAAGGCTGTTCATCTGAGCCAGCTGGTAGTTTATCCACACTCTTATGATATCTACAGTTTACTGCTCTGTTGACTTTCTTTGCCAATACAGTATGTCTATGGTAAATTCAACTTGGTGTTGGCTTCTTACTACTTGAATATCCCACAGCCTCGTCATGCTTGTGTGCTGATGTTTTGTCACTGGTAAGGCCTATATTTTCCTTAACAATATTTTGTAAATCTTTTTCAGGAAAGTCTGCTAAAGTGCTGCTGTGAGTTAGGTCAGTGAGCTACTCAGAGGGCTCTCGGAAATCAGGCATTGAATTTAATGAAATTACCTTTTTTGTTAGACTACTCAATAGCTCCCTGTAATTGCTCTGTTCCCTTCTTACGCATGGGATTTGGAGGGAAGGAGGGGAAGAAGAGTTGGGTACAGTTTGGACAACTTGTGAATGAGGTGGCTGACTGGTGGAAACTCTAGATGACCTGGGCTGCCATCTGAAGTCAGTTGCATTATGGTCCGGTTGTTTGCCTCACAGCAAAGATGGTCTGCCTTGTTTTCCTCAAGGTTTCTAATTTCCTTTAAAGAACTTGCTTGTTTTGATTATGTAAAATCCCAACTTTAAGTTGGGGTTTTACACGATATTGGGTTGATCTCTCATCTTCAAGCTTTCCCCTCACCTCATAGAGAAATCCCAATTCTTGTCCTGGGTAAGCTCAAGTAAATTTCAGAGACCTTGTGTAATTATCTGAGTCTTGGCAGTCCTAGTGCTATAGCCTGAAGAACTACTGAGTGGCACACCAGAAATGGGCATTTCATTACATTTATTGTTAGATTTTTCATTCTTCTAATATGACTTTCAAGCAAATTTGGAACATGATATGAAAGTAATCTTATTAATCTCTTCCTTTTTGCAAGGTGAACTGCGAGTTTGCACATATTGTTGCAAAGTAGTCTTGTCATATCTCCAGTCAAGCAACTTGGCTGTTGATGTATTGGCAGATCTGCGGGCATTACAGGAGGAGTTACTGCCACCCACACCTGGTCAGTCTTTGGGCACAAATTATCAGGATGCCTCATTTTACAGCTTTTCAGGATCAAATACTCCTTTAGCAACACCTAGGGGAACACTCCGCAGGCGGGCCTCACTTGGTTTCCAAGAAGAGAAATATGCCACCAGAACTAGGTACGAAGTTATGCCAATTGTTATCATTAATGGAATGTGAATTTGAAAAATTATCCTCTAAGTCATCAGTGTCTAAAAGATCATTTGTACTTGTGGTTCTATCCTCTAAACTCTACTATCCCAACTGTACTTTACTCTATATTGGTTCAGGGGGATCATAAATACTTTGGTATACCTGTTCTCTTCTCTTTGCCCTTTTTTTATCTTTGAGCCCATGGTTTAATGTATACTTTAAGAAATCTAAAATTTTCCCTGTACTTCCCCTTACTCTGCTCTCTCTTGGTCTAGAGGATCATATATACAAGGAAGGCTTATCCTATCCTGTACAAGGAAAGGGTAAATCTGTATACAGTACAGTATATTGGAATGAAAATATTAAAGCTTCATTATGGATTGGAACGTTGCATACATTAAACACTTTCAATGGAATTTTTCTGGTGGAAATAAAAAGATGTCATTTAAGAATCTAAACCTGGAGGCTATCAAGACTCCGTGGTCTCCGTGGCGTAATGGTAAAACGCTCGCCTGGCGTTCCGCGAGCGCTTTGTCCTGGGTTCGTATCCTGATCGGGGAGGATTTACTGTGCGCAAATCCTTAACTGTAGCCTCTGTTTAACCCATCAGTAAAATGGGTACCTGGTTGTTAAACGATTCTTCGTGGGGGTCGTATTCCGGGGACCATAGGATTAAGGACTTGCCCGACACGCTACGCGTACTAGTGGCTGTACAAGAATGTAAGAACTCTTTTTATATATAAATAAATAAATAAATTAATAAAGACAATACACATTGCTTATGTGAGATGATCATGAACCTACACCTTGTGAAATATAAACAGAAACTTGAGAAAGTTTAGAGGTTTGCAGCTAGATTACTACCAGAATTGAGAGGCTTGAGCTATGATGACAGGTTGAGAGAACTCGCTCTCACAAGCTTATCAGGGAGAAGAAACAGGGGATATGATAACTAACAAAATTTTGAGGGGAAATAGATGAAGTGGACAAAGGAAACATAGTTAAATTAAAGAGAGGTAGAACAAGGGGGACATTGGTGGAAGCTGTCTTCACTCATGTTGGGATTCAACTTGGTTCCTCTCCCTTTCCCCAGCATTTTATTATATTCAACACTGAGCTAGTTTTTTTCTTAAATTGTCATTTTGCCTCCAGAGAAAATGAAATTTTGACTCATGAGTATAGTACAGTACAGGATTCTCAGAAAAATGTTGCCAATTTTTTTTTAATCCCAGATATTCAAGTGGAGATTTCCAAGCATTTGGAGTTCACCGGGACAGTGACCAGATGACTGCAGAACGGCAATTGTTGTTGAGAGATTCACAGCAGCTTCACTCTCTGTGGTCACACATGGCCGGAGGGACTGGATGTCTTCCATTGGGTTCTCATCGACATCGTCTTAAATCATTCCACAACTGTTTCATAGGAAGGGATCTTGTACAGTGGCTCCTTGTTAATGACAAAGCATCTAGTAGGTAAGTTTGTCAGAATTAGCTTAGATTTCAACTGTACTAAGTGCACTCTGAGATTTGTTTTTGCATTTGGCATTGTATATCACTTCATTCCAGATAATACATGAAGATTTGCTTCAAATAAGGAAAATGAAAAAATCTGGTTTGTTAATACAAATACTGTACTGCATTTTAACAATACATTTATCAATAAATAATATAATCTTTTGAATAATTTCTTAGTACAGTACATTATAGTACCATTTTAAGATCTTTTTCAATTGCTTAAATTATATGTTATACATAACTTAATGTCTTGATGAAATGGGCATGAGTCTCTATCAGTTTTCAGTAGGTCTACCAGTTATTCACATGTATATACAGTATTATATTAATCTTCTAATATTATGAGTTTTGAAATTAAAGGAAAATTAAATTTTTTTCTGTCCTACTTAGTATGTGTTTCGAAAGTTAATTTATATTTATCATTACAGTAGCATTCTATTATTTGATAAAATAACAATTAAGATTCAAGAGCTGTTGTGACAAAACACTGATTTGTTTCCAGAGCCTCAGCAGTAGCCATTGGTCAAGCTCTTTTAGAAGCAGGTTATCTGGTGTGCATATCACAGCCAGAGCAGGTGTTTGTCGATGACTATGTATTGTATCGTCCAATGCGTCCAAACTGTGGAAATTCAGAACCAGGGGTGCAAGAGGGTTTGAGTCGTACCCAAGATGGTGGGCAAGAACCACTTTGGGTGAAGCAGATTTCTAATATGGCTGAAGATTCTGGTTGGTGTTATATATGATTACTTTTTATTATAATACTACTCTGCACATTGTGCTTGGTTAAAATACTTAATTTTCTTCCAGTTTACAGGTAATGAATTAAATGATGTCTATTAAGTTCTGAAGTACAGGTACAGCATTTACAATCAATGTTTGTCATGTTAACATACGAGCGACCAAATTCGTAAATAATCAAAGCAAAGTTTGTTGTGAATTTCCAATATTATTGTGATTTAGATATGTGTTGTCCTGCAATGCTGATCCAATATAAAACATTTTAAATACCTGTTTTAACCAAATGCCATTCTAATGAATGCTATATTTCTGGTTTTTGTTCCTACCCCCTCATGATGGCCTAATGGGTGGCATATTTTAGATACCTATTTCCCCCTATGCTGGCCTAGCATGTAGTGTCAGTAGGTTTCTTGAGTGCCATTTATGATCAGGAAAACTGTTACAGCCAGGCTATTGATAGCATGAGAGTAAGACATAGTAGAATTGATTCAGATCATCCATAATACAATATTTGTTTGCAGTGAACATTGGTCTCTTAAGTGGCCCTTTGTATAAGTATAGAAATGAATTATGATAATTTGCGTAACAAGATTTAAAAAATTTAGGGGGACATCAAGAGGTTTAGCTCAAACTGGGTGGGTGGAGAGAGCATATCCCCACCCAAAGAAAAATGCAATCTGCCCTTTGTATCAAACTCCAGGAGAGATCAAACTGCAACCAAGGCATCTTTGCTCTCGCCCAAACCCTGGTCCCCACTATTGACCAAAGCGAAGAATGGCCAGGGAGGTCAGAATTCCTCTCAGGAGAAGGTGCACTATCAAATGAGGGCACCCTGTTTTCCACAGAAAGATCCAAAGATGTCTGCCACAAAATCAAAGGAGGGAAAGAAGTAGTCAGAATGGGGTACTTGCATTTCTGTGCACTCCTTTGCAGGGACTAACTCTGAAGAGACTGTCTCAGACTCAACCCGTACTGGCATTTGTAGAGCCATGAGCCCAGGTAGTTTAGCTGCCTTTTTAAGAGGCAGGGACCTGGAATCTGAATAATAAGTGGGCTTATCAGAGCTCTGTACACTGGCCACATCAGAAGCTGATGGGGAAAAAAAGATACAAACTTGTCACATGTATCCATAACCAGTACCTTGAAGTACTCCTAAAATAAATGAGAGGATATTGCTCAGCCTTGATGCCAATAATGGATGGGACCTGCAGTAGCATGTAATGTAAGATGTGACCTCACAACAAGAGTGGAAAAGATCATGATCCCAGCAAGAAGAGCGAGGCAACATGGGTAACAGCTAGAGTAGAAAAGCACAACAGAAGGCCAGAAAAGCCACAAGCAGCAGAGTAAGACTTAAGGAGGTTGGGGGATTTCATCACGGCTTGGCTAGAGAGATATGAGGTAAATGTTTTCGCTTAAGCAACGAACATATCTTTAGGTAGAAGTACTAGGCACATGAGATCACAAATAGGGTTAAAAATGTCAAACCCAGTCCTCTAAAAATGAAGGGCATGAGGAGTCACAGACAGGACAAACAGTTTCTTAATGCTGCTCTTGGCACATACGATAAAAGAAGATGTAAATCCCCTCCTCCTGCATGAGCAGGATTCATTGCCTTTTTTTGGGCTATAGTCAAATTTTCCAGATATATTTTATAGCAAATGATACAATACATGTTTCTGCATAAATAGATACAAAGCTCATTACCACAGGACACACGCCTTGCACTGTTACTCTTGCTCCAGCCCGTCCTCTTACAAATTGTCACTTTTCGCTCATATGCACTGTGGCCAAAAAGGGCCTTGTTGGAATTTTTAAAAACTACAAATTAATTTTTCAATTGAAATGAACCCAAAGCAGCAAGTTTTGGATCCTTCGAGTTGAGTTGGATCCTGAGAGTTGAGCTGCTAGTGGCAGCTGCCTCCTGGGTAAGTCTCTCCTTTACTCTTTAGTGGTTAGGTAGCTCCGGGGAGCCAGAGGGGCTCTTCACATAAAATCAGCGTTGAATATAATGAAACTCCATTTTCTGGTTCAGTCCTGGAGGCTCCCCACCATCCCTCCCTCCCTTCGGTTGGCAGTTTTACATTTTTGACATTCGGCCTCAGAACTTTGGTTGGATAGCCGGGACGGGGGTCTGGGGTCTGGTCCCTGCTTCTCCCTCCCGGAAAGTGGTTAGCTGCGCAGACAGGCGGTACTGCGGTGGGTGTGATGTCATGCTTGTTTGCTTGTTTTCAGGTTGGGGAGTTCTACTTAACAGTTCGGGTTTTGATAGCAATGTTTCACCAGTTAGGGTCTGTTTTGGGACGCCTACCTTTCTGATTGCCTAACCTGGTCGATGGCAGACATAGAATGCTTCCAACCACAAGGAGGTTTCTCTAAGCCATTGCTCCTCGTGACTCTCTGAGGGGGAAGCCAGGTTCTGGCTCATGGTTCCCAGTAGGCATTAGAACTCTGTTCAAAGGACTGTTGCCACTGTCTAATACATGCATATCAACCCGGTAAGCTCTGGGTAGTCTCTGTGACTCGCCCAGAAAATGGCATTTCATTACATTCAATGCTGGTTTTATTGCTTGAAAAATGCCACCTAATCTACATGTAAGTGTTCATCATCATCTTCATTATCAAAAGCATTATGGAAATCAGTGCACAGTTTCCAACTTGGTGTGGAGAGGCCCCATTCAGGACAGAATGGATTTTCTTTTTATAGAAAAGGCTGGAGATATTGTGACACTTAAACTTCATTCCATCTTTCACACCTAAGAATATTTAAATGGAGAAGAAGTAGGTGGAGGAAAATGTTCAGGATGGTAAGAAGGAAGATGAGGAGAGGTTAAGGGTTCCTTATTGCTGAAACATTGCTTGGTACAGAACTGACAATTTATTTTGGCTCAAGTTCTTGGATTGTGCATTGCTTTGCTGCAATGCTTTACTAAAAGTGAAATGCTTGTACCAATGCACTTCTTTATTCCTCATAGTCAATTTCCTCTTTAATTTAATAACATTAAAAGTAGTTAAATGGTTACAGTGACCACAAGGGGAACGACTAGTAGTAATATGATCTATGAAGAACCTGACCATAGTGTGGAAACACCAAATTCCATTACCTCGTCCACCTCGAACTACTGTTTGGATCTGAACCTTCAGGACAATGTTGTCTCTATGAGAAAGCCTCTAAATATATCCAGGTGAGATACAATAGAAAAATACGTACATTATTTAATCAGATAAATGTTAAGGGATTTGAAGAAGAATTATTATTTGATTTGATTATTCTTTGAACATTTTGATTTGTGAATCAATACTGTACTAGGTGGATCAAATTGCACATTAATAGATTTTAAGGGCAATGAACTCTGTATTGTCAATTATTTAAATGTTTATTTTTATTGCCATTTGAAAGAGTATTAGCCATATGATTATTCGATTATTATTTATGTGCACATGAAGTTAACACTAAAACTGAGACAAGCATGTCCTTGGGAGAGCCAATTATTGCCTAAGGAAGTAATAGTGGTCTAGCTCAGAAAAAGGAGTTTCATAAAATTGGCTCATTTTTGTATTTATACAGTACAGTACTATATTTTATTTTTAACTTAACAGTTTATTAAGCATAGTCATATTTCCTACCATACTGAAATTGCAAGATCAGTTATGTTGTTCCTTAACAGATTTGTATTGTTGACTAATAATGGTGCACTACTAATATGAAGTAAACTCTACTATTCAGCAGACGAAGCAGCATGGGTAGTGATGTGGTTGACAGCAAGAGTTCTAGAGTTAGTCCCTTAGAAGAGGCACCATATTCCACAACAGTTTCTGCTGCACTCAGTGCCAGTGCTCAGCTGTCACTGTCCAGGGAGGCTCTGGTGGCAACCACTGCAGTCATGGCTGAGGAAGTGTTACAGGTGATACATTTTTAAATTTGTTACTTTTAGTTTTGTGTACTTTTTATATTCATTGTGTATTACAATCAAAGCTTCAGTAGGAAATCAAACTTAGTTGTATTAAAATGACTTTTTATACTTGTTGCAAAGTAATGACCAATTCTTATCAGTGTCATAGGGAAGGTAATTTACAAAGCCTTTGGCAATGGACAGTTTATTAGACACAGATGCCAGTTAAAGGAGAAAGGGTGGTCTTCAACCCCTCCCCCCTTTCCTTTTCCTTTTTGGTGCTGTTAGTTCTAGGCTGGCCTTTCCTCCATGTTTCCATTCAGTCTTTGCATGGTGATTAGATGCAGGGCAGTGAGGATTCCCCTCTATCGTGGGTTCCTGTTGTGTTTCCTTCCCCACGTGGGTTTTTGGCTTTGCAGTTCATTTCATCTTCTCGGTTTGGTGTCCTGTTGGTTTTTCTTTACTTTCTCCTTTGGCCTCTGGGTTCTTGGCTTTGCAGTCTGCCTTTTTGTTTAATTTTTGACTCTGTGGCTGCCCCTTGGCATGTCCTGTTTTTTTGTTTCATGGCCTGGTTTGTTTTCATATGGGCATTCTCAATTGCCATTTTGGATCCTTTCTTCAGCTTGTTCTGGATTCTTGGACTTTTCATGATGTGGAGTGTGATTCTCTGTGTCGATGGTTATGGTTCCATGTCTGGGCCTGCTTTGACAACTGACTGGCTTGGGGTTCCAGCTGGTCTACATATCTGCAAGCGGGGGGGGGGTCTTGGTGATACTTCTACTCTTCACAGTTTGAGCATTTTCCTGTGGTATTTCTCATTTGCTGCATATGCTTGTCTACCCTCACTTTCTTGATGGATGGACATGGTGTGGAGTCTTTTTCCTTGTTCTCCCGGTGACTTTTTCTTCTGACGTGGCCTTATGTCTGCTTCCTATCTCGTCCCTCTCTGGGCCTTTTTTTGAGTACTGCTACATTTTATTGCTTTCTGGACTCATTGTTCATTGTGTTATGGGTCTCCCTTGTCTTTCTTATTTTCCTTCACATACAGGCTGGGGGTCTGGTTCTATCTGGCTGATCTGAATCAGGCTCCTGCCCACTTATGGAGGGAGAGGATTCCAATTAGCTCTGTTGCAAACTGGTTCTTGTTTGGGGCTTTTGGTCGGGTCCCCTATCCTTGCAGATGGTTCTGTTCTGCTTATGTTCCCAGTTCTGCCTAGAGCTCGGTCTGTCCATGTTACTTTTTGTGGTTTTGAAGCCTTTGCATATGTTCACATATTTCTTCTTCGTCTCCAATCAATTTGTTGCTTTTGCCTCATGACTGAATAGTTGCACTAGCTGATCCTCAAGCTCCCAGTGCTGCCACTTGGTGATGAGCAACTGCTACCAGTGGATGAATGACCTAATACTGGATGCTTGTTTGCAGAGTTGTTCAGATTTGACATACTACAGGTATTGCCTGTTTTGTTTTGCTGTACCCTTCATGTGGCTGTTTTCTTTGTGGGGGGGGGTGATAAAGGATACCCTGCTCTATGCACCTTTATGAGAGGGGTCAGGTTTTGGATTTTGATTGCCATATGATTTTAATGACTTCCCTAGTTGTATTTGTGGGGGGATGATTCACAGCTCTTGGGTTCCACCTCTCAACCCTCAGTTAACTAGTGTATAGGTTCCAGAGCCTATTGGACTCTTGTCATATCTACATTTAAAATTGTGTTTAGAGTCTGCCTCCACCACATCACATCCTGTGCATTCCAATTGTTCACTGTTTTGATACTGAACATATTCGTTCTAATGTCCCAGTGGCTCATTTGGGTACTAGTTTCCATCTGTGTCTCTTGTTTGTGTATTACCCTTGCTAAATAGTTTGTCCCTGTCTGCCCTGCCTAATCTCAGGAGTATTTTGTATATAGTAATCAGATCTCACGTGTTTCTTCTATCTCCCAATGATGTGAGGTTTAACACCTGTAGTCTTTTCTCGTAGCTCATACTACTCGACTCTAGAAATAGTCTGGTGGAATACCTCTGAACTTTTTCCAGCTTCGTCTTATTTTTAAGGTGATAAAAATTCCATGCTGATGCTGCACATTCCTGAATTGGTCTGACATGAATGATATACAGTACAAGATTCTGAAAAACTGTTCAGATTCCTAAAGGCCTGATGTGGCTCTAACCAGTGTGGGTTGTCAACAGGGAACCACAAAGGATCCATCAAAAAGACATTTCATTACATTCAATGCTGTTATTTTCTCTTGTACATGAGATGTCAGTTATTAGATAGCTGCTATTTGAGGGTTAGGAGAGCTTTAGTTAGGTCCACAGACATAACTTGCTGAATTGCTTTGTATTTCTTGCATTCTAGGCTCTGCGAGGTCATGATGGAAAACAGTCTCAGGCAAGATCGGGCTGGCAAGAAGAAGGAAATCACAGTTTGGATAATGAAGAAATGGCTGTTCATCAGAGACTAGAGTATGTTGCAGTTTTAAAAACCTTAAATCATTTCACCAAGTCATTATTTCTGCATCATGACAATGCAGAATGAATCAATGTGCATCACAAGTGGACAGAGTTCAAGACATCCACCCCTCTATACCAAATTGCTGACTGTCACATAAAAACATAATTGATGGGTCACACAAAAACATAATTGATGGTTCCACACAGAAATAACATTTAATTTTCATCATTTATTAAATAAACTTTTAAGTAATTTTTCTTTCTACAGTGATATAAAGAAATTATTTGCTCAGTTACATGTGACCATAAATAGCTGGGCGATGTAAAAATGTACTGTATAACATTTTGTGAGCTCATTGTCACCTTGAACACAAAGCATTGGTTATTAATCTTGGCTGTACAGATAGTTCCCGATTTGCATGGTTTTAGTGGTACGCAAGTAAGTAATTTTCTGGTAGGGCTCCTATGGTGGCTCCTTGTTGCTAGAAACCTGGATGTTGTCACCCAGTTTGAATCACACCAGGCCCTTGAGCTGTTGAGCTTAGCAGGGGGACCAGAAGCCAGAACCTAGCTCCTTCTATAGAGTTGCAGGGAGCTTGAGGATACTAGACTCAGTCCAAGAAAGATCACCAGAAAGGTAGAGGGAAACAAAACAGGCAACAGCAAGATGAGCAAAATATAGAAAGTAAAACCCTGAGACAGATCCAAATGATCATTAGGCAGTTCACCCTCTAGTAACAGCTACCTACCACCAGTTGGCAGTACCCCTCAGCTATTGGCTCTGCCTAGACAACGCATCAGTCATTTAGCCTGATGTGACTGTGCATCACCACCACTCCCACTCCTTGTATCCACTAGCACTCTTCAAGTCCCAGTTTTTCAGATAAATGATGGCTGTCCTGCTTGCATACTCATTCCTTCTTTTTTTATCTACTTCACATGTATGTGTTTCTGTACCTCACTTTTTGTATGGACTCTGCTAAACCGTACACCTTAAGCTACATACATCTAGAATTTGACTTCTTTAGGTGCCTTCTGGAGTTGCCCCTGCCCTGATAGTGTCCTCAATCCTGGCAGATTCAGGTAACCGTCTTTGAGAGGTGGAGGGAACCCTCACACTGTGTAGTGCTCTTTGATTCTTCTGTGGGAGTCTGGGGTTGGGAGCAGTTGGGTTTTTTCCTAGAGAAGTAACACAGGGGGTTCTTATACTTGTTATATGATGCTTTGTTTATGCTCTTCTCGACTGCCTATTTTCCTAGGCTGTATCCCTTGGGAGAACAAACCCAACAGGACTCAGGGTCATAGGTGTAACTGACCCAACAAGCAGCTTTTCAGAGGCAGAAAGAATGGTTGTTGCTCTGTGGCACAGATGATGTGCAGCTCTCAAACTCCCACAAGGCAAAAGTGGATTTGAAGGGGATATCCATAGGCCTCACTGAAGCCCTCAGGGGATTGCCAGGGCCTGAAGACTGACCAAGTACCCAGTGAGTGTCCCCACCCAGACACTGGGGACACTCACCAGCAATTATATAAGTTGACCAATACAGCCTGGTTAATGCAGCTGTGAAGGTCGACCTTCAGTGTGCTAACCTAACCTGTGTGCTAACCGACCTTCAGTGTGCTAACCTTCAGTGTGTCCCAACTAGCCAAAATGCTCACCACCCAACTAACTATCCACCCAGTGAAAGCCTGAGGAACTCAAAGTAAAAGATCCCCACAAACCAGCATGGTATGAACCGAAGAGCCAGAAAAACCTCTCTAGTCTACAGCATCCCACTGCCTTGCAATGCATAAACCAGTCAATGGAAGAACAGGAATGGCAAGAAAGAATAGAAGCATATTATCAAAGGCTCCACCACTATGAAAAGCAGCATGGAGGGACCGAGAATTCAAACAGACCTGGGAATCCAAGTAGAGGAGAATCACATGAGAGAAGAATGGGAACCTGAACAGAATGCTGTACAGACATTTGGCTGTGCAGAAGAAGTAAGACTTGTACTGACAAAGCCACTGCCACACCATGCCTGGAAATCTAAAGCAAAGAAGGAGCATGTCCAAAATGCACATCAGTAAAGAAACCAGCTAACTCAACTTCGTGATGGAACTAATCAAGAAAAAACCCATAAGGAAACTAAGACCTTGTCAACAGATGAAGGAAAACAAGGGAATGAGAGAGAACTCCCAAAAAGAGCCTTGAAAGGCACATGAAGGAAGCTAACAAAGTACCAAGCTTAGTAAAGATACTACAAGGAGAACCAAGAAATAAACTCCCCACATATCCATCTGCCTAAAGAATGAGGCAGTCAAGCATGTGCACCAAAGAAAAAAACCTAAGAGGAAGCAGAAAAGGGTGAAGAGGAGCAGAGCTACCACCCAAAACCCTTGGCTTGCACACAAGGCGGCTCAGTGCTAGGAAACTCCATTTAGAAGCTTCTCACAAGGCCAAGGAAAAACCCAAGTTCAAGAGAGGAAACAAGATTATGCCAAGATGAAAAATTGGACCATAAAGCTAGTGAGACCCATTTGGGGAAGGAAGACAGAACAGGAACCTATAGAGAACATGGAGGAACTGAACCACCATGCATCCCACCTACTCGCAAAGACCGAATGAAGCTGCATGTGAAAGACTAGTCCTTATCAACATCAAAAGAATGAAGAGAATCAAAAGCCACCCCCTCAAGGCTGAAAGATAACACCCCAGAAGGCCCCAGCATCATGAGGCTAAAAAGGAAAACTTAAAACAGTGTTATCCTAATTACAGAAATCAGTCCTTGGAAATATTTACGTCATTCTCCTATGAACATATTGGTTAGTTCACCCATTTCTCTTAGTAACTTACTAGTGTATCTGCTAGATTACCAACCAAATCACTTGCTAATGTATTTTTTTCTAATTTCAGTGCTATGTGGGGATCTCATGAAACTGCCCTTCTGTGTCAACTTCTTGATTCAGGTGGCTTATCATCATCTTGGGCAGAAGTAATCCTGCCCATTGTACACACTGTCACAGATATTATCCGTCCAGATGTCAAAAATGACAGTGATGATATGGATATACGGCAGTGAGTACAGTACATTGTCAGATTTTTAGTGGTACCATTGTAAAGGGTTCAAGAGCTAATAGCTCGATTCTACAGACACAAATACTAAATATAGTTTTGCCTCATATTTTAATCCAGATGATAAACTAAGATTGCCTCATTTGACTTCAAAATTTAAGTACTCATACACAGTAGTGTTTTGTTATATATTTTATTATAATGTGGTGTGACCGGAGGGAGGGGAAGGATGCTGGGGAGCCTCCTGGTCTCGCCCAGAAAAGGGCATTTCATTACGTTCGATGCTGGTTTTCTGCAGAGCCCCTCTTCGGCTTCCTGGAGCCACCTAACCAAAGATAAAGTAAAAGAGGGACTTACCCGGTAGGCCACCACCACGTGCTCCTGAACTCAAAGTCGAGACAACTGGCTGCAACCTGCGACCTGGGTCTCGCCTAGAAAATGGCATTTCATGACATACAACGCTGATTTTTTTTTTTAAAGAAAGAGGCAGATGGATGTAATAAATTGAATGAGAGGGCAGTGCATGCAAATACCAGTGTTGAAGCAGACCCCATGAGCTAGTTCTAGCAGGATAACTCGAATTACATGTGGATCATGTGTTGAACATACTCTAAATTTGTGTGGATCAGCCTACAACTCAGACCATTCATATATGGATTAGGTTACCTTGCATTGATTCTAGGGGTGCAAGGTCCCCACGGCCAAGTTTCTGGCCAGGCCTTCTAGGTAGCATGAACTGTCATAGCTTTCTAATTGTGATCTTTCTTTTGTCAAAATTCATGATTAAACTTGTAATCTACATACAAGATTGTAGTTGTTGTTATTGTTAAATAATACTGTAATTACATACTTTATTCTGTAACAGGATTTTTAAATAAAGCAGTTTTATAGAAGAATGTTTATTTTTCAGATATGTGCAGTTTAAAAAAGTTCCAGGGGGCAGTCGGAGTGAATGTGAAATACTAAATGGAGCTGTGTGTACTAAAAACGTTGCAGACAAATCCATGGCTATACGACTTATAGACCCACAAATTCTATTGGTTGCTTCTACTATAGACTATCAACGAGGAAATGACAATAAGCTTCTAGCCCTTGACAATCTTTTGCTGCAGGTAAATATAGTACAGTGCACAAGTTATGTAAGTCATGATTTTGCCTATGAAATGGTACTTTTAATTTTACCAGTTAAACCTTAAAGTGTACAAAGAGTAAACAAAATTAAATTTCCTAATAGAATGATTAATTTGATTGCAAAATCTAAGGAAAATGTAAATAACGTAATTTTCTACATATTTACTGGTTAGACGAGGTGTAGAAGGTTGGTGGGTGGTGCAACAAGCCAGATGTGTTGACACCAGATCTCGTGTCTTGCTGACACTGGCGTATGGCAGACGACTTCAGTGTTGACCTTGGATGTTTCCACGATAGTCTCTTCCATTTCGGTTAATTCAGTCGCGTATTTGTGCTGAATAATTAGATTTATGTACATGTAATTTTTGTATGTTTTATAGAATGTATGTATGAATCAATGTATGTGTAAATAAATGTTTGTGAAAATTAATGAATCTATTTATGTACAGTATGTGCATATAGAGTATGTATCAATAAGAGTATAAGAACCAAGGGGACTGCAGAAGGCCACATATAGGGCAAATGGCCTATATGAAGCAGCACCAGCACTTGTTTGTATCCTCGTATAGGGCAATAAAATAAAAAGCAGCAAATAAAAGCAGCAGGATTTTTTCATGAGTAACATGTTCAGCATTGCAGAACATTCTTCAGTCTGTTCCAAGGCTATTGCTTGCTATAACACACAAACACCTTTCATATCACTTAAAACTCCCTCCAAATGATTCTTCAGGATTTGAAATTCTCCAAAATTCACTGAAATATTATAAAATAACCAAATGAACACAAGCAGCCAGGTGGCCTGGCTGCCACTAGGTGGCAGCAGTAGTGAATATCTGGTCGGTATGGTAACCATCTCACTTTTAGCCTTGTCCTTGTCTTCATCAAAACCTCTTAGTGCAAGGGGTTCCGTGTTATTTTTTCTTCAGTTGGCTTCGTGTCATTATAGTAACTTCCATTGTGTTGATTGCAAAGACCAGAATAAAACGTTTAAAAGATAGGAACAGGCAGAGAGGATCATTGCTAGAGTACAGAAGAAGGTTGGAGAAAGGTACAAGATGACTCCAAGTCGTCATCAATACACATACTACACACTCTTCAATACCACATGAATTATCACACTCCACAACACCAATCTAGGGATCCCCATCACAATGCTCATACTGTTCAAATCACTTGTGCTGTCCCCGCCTTGAGGGCTGCTGAATACTCTGCTTTTCAGAGCATGAAAGATTATTGAAATGGAGAGAATACAGAGAACATGTGTACCTCTTATAGACACTATAAAGCACCTAAATTATTGGGACCATCTCAAACCACTCAAAATGTACTCTTTGGAAAGGAGACTAGAGAGGTATTACATAATATACACACACAAATTACTGGAAGGCCAGGTCCCAAATTAGCAAAGTAAAATAACATATTGCAGCAAATGATACGATAGTAAAAACAGAATAGAGCCAGTGACAAGTATTGGTGCTATAGGCACAATCAGAGAAAACTGCATGAACATCGAGACCCTTGGGTGTTCAGTATTCTCCCAGCAAGCATTGCTGGTAGAAATACAGAAATACATGAGGAACAAGGCAAAATATATATAGTATAGAATAGAACATACTGTTTACAAGTTTTGTTGATACTAGCTTGCTTATGAGATATATGGCAATATATAATTATTAATGTCCATCATAACAATGTAAATTAATTTATCATTACTGTACTCATAGTTTTATTGTTCTGTTGGAGGCTTTTATCTTTTGCAGAAACTTTTGGAAATGATTTTAATGATTAATATACAATGCATTTGATTCACTTTATAGATTTAAAATAATGATATTTTCTTTATTGACAGGAAGCAGACTATCTCAAGAATGTTGTAGCAAAGATTGTTTCCTACAAACCAGATATTATCTTGGTTGAGAAGAGTGTTGCGTTCCTGGCACGAGAATTCCTACAGGTATGATGATCTCATGTTTATAAATGAAAATGCAGTAGGCGCTTGTCAATTTATGGGGCTTAATTGTTGTGCCTATTTGTTTTCCAGGAATTACATTTGTTAAGAATGCTTGGAAGAATATGTAGGCTCCTAGGAGTGACTAAGATGGAAAATATACAGTGGGTCCTAACTGTAACAAACTGTGCTCTGATGAATTCCTGGATGGTCCAAACAATTTGTGTTTAGTGTAGATTGTTCATTGGAACAAAGTTTGTTTCAGTGAGGATTGTTTGCCCAATTTTCCACCGAGTCTGGCCATCCAATCATGGGTGTTCGAGAAGCCATCTAGTTTAATTGTAAACTATCATATAGTTTCACAAATTAGGTACTCACCAGGGAAGGCTACAGGAGTAGAAAAATTCTCAAAATATAACAAATTAAATATGGTATGACATGCCACAAATACAGTAATCACATTGAAAAGTTATTTGAAAGGTTATTTTCAGCATTAATGTGGTCAGTGTTATTGATCATTCTGTGCATGGTATGACATATTTTACAAAGGATATTATCAAAGGAAATATAAAAGAAAATATACACAGAACAACCAAAAGTAAATCTAATAATTATTGCACCATGTGTTACTGATGATCGTCCGTGCCCAAAGGAATGTTAATGCGAAGTCCAAATGCAGTACTAGTACTGTGTTAATAAAATGTAAAACTAAAACAAAAATTTGAAAATACGAGCACTGATATAATGTAATGCCTCTTCTCTGTGAGTCCTTTAGTGACTGTTACTAGCATCCTGAACAGCTGCACCCAGTTTGAATCATACCCATAAAGTGTGGGGTATGGATATACTGTACAAGTATGTCTACCCATTCACAAAAAAAAATCCCAAAAATATTTTTTACTTCTATAGAATGATTAACTTGGATGCATAATAAAAGGAAAAATTGAAATAAAATAAATAATTACATCTCTACTGCTTTGGTGAGCTGTAGAAGTTGGTCAAGTGGTGCAACCAGTCGGATCTGTCAACACCAGACCTGAGTTTGCTGACATGGCAGCATGTGGTAGATGACTAGTATTGACCTTGAGTGTTTCTGTGATAATTTCTTCACTTTTTAATTTATTCACTATAGTATTTATGTTGAATACATATGTACTGTATCAATGAGAACATAAGAACTAAAGCCAACTGGCCCATAGAATGCAAATCCTCTTTATCTGCTCAAACTTGCTAATATATATTAATGCATCTCAACCTGGATGACCTGCTCCAGCTGTGCAACATCTGCATGACAAATATACCAATCTGACAAAAGGTCACAAAATCTGGCACCTAAAAAGTGGAAATGAAGGAGGGCCTTGGAAGCCACTGAAGGACCCACCAGAGAGCGGCATTTCATTACATTCAATGCTGGTTTTCTGGGAGGGCTTTGTCAGTGGCTCCCTGTTATTATCTAGCCACAGAGAACAAAAAAGAAAGGGAAAAACACCTGGTGTGGAGATGAACAGAAGTCTAAAACCCCCATGAGAACGAATCATGGACAGGAAACTGACTCAAAGCTACACAGACCTGGCACATGGCCTAAATTATGACCATGTTAGAATGCCAGAACCCCCATGCCCAGAATGCAGCCCAAGAAATATAAGCAATTGCAGTTGATAATTTTGCAAACCCTTGCACAACATGAAACAATACATGAAAGAAGTAAGGGAACCTGACTGAAGTGCTGTGTGGACAAGGGACTGTGTGGTAGAAGTAAGTCTTGTACCAACAGAGCCACCACTACACCATGCCCAGAAAGCAAAAAGAAGAGGAGGAGGAGTATGATCAAAAGTCACATCAGAAAAGGCTGGCATGACCCCACAATGGAACCAACTGATAAAACTTCATCCGGCAACCAAGACCCCTGTCACAAATGAAAATGAGAAAAAATGGGGAAAATGCAAAATAAAACAACAAAAAATTGACATTGGGATTTTGTGTAATAGCGGCCTTTTTTTTCTGACAACTGCTGTGTCTTGGTTGCCTCTCTGCCATGGTGTTTCCTGTTGGGTTCTGTCCCTGTTGCTTAGGGCAGGCGTCTGTGGTTTCAGTCAAATCTTTCCGGAGGGAGGCTCCTAGTGGATTCCTGAAGTTATCTTGCTGAGATTTCCACATACTAAAGGGTCACATCAGTTGTGGAAGTTGTTTGGCCTACCAGGGACCAGAGCCAGAACCCGGTGTTCTCTCACAGAGGTGCGGGGAGTGGATGACAATCTACCACCCCACCAGAAGAAGCCTCCAGAAAGTTTGTGAACCTATACAGACAACTGGAGGTTTCACAAAAAATGAAGCCTCAAAAGCACCAAATAACTCTGCAAAGGGTTCAGATACGGAACAGGGGATTCACTCTAGCTAGAAATTCGTTGGTACCTATTACCATTTCCAAGCTGCCTGGTCCCCAACCCTGAATCACCTCAGCACATTAGTTCTGTTGGTGATGCTGTACTTACCAGTACAGCTTGTAATGTTAACAGTCTGTCAGATTTCAGGCAAAAGAAGGAGAACTATCAGGTGAAAGTGCCAAGGTATTACGACTGTATAGCACTTGGAAGGGATCAAGATAAGGATTAGAGATGGGATGGGGCGGGGTAAGGGTTAGAAGTAATAGTGCCCAACCACTTGGACGGTCAGGGATTGAATGCTGACCTGCGTGAAGCAAGACCATCAGTCTACCATCCAGCCCAAGTGGTTTGGCAAAGATTGCAGGTGAGCCCCTGTGCTTTAAGCTCAGTGCTGGCCATCCTTGGATTTTGTTGTTCTGTTGGGGGGCCATTTGCTTTGTTTTTTTGTTCCTTTCCTTAGTATAGGCTTGGCTTCACCTGCATGTCATGGTTTCTGTTATTGTTGGTCCAGTGTCTGAACCCAGGCATTTTTTCTGTGGTTCCACCTCTTCCAGCAGGTAGATTCAGTTCAAACCACCTCACTGCTTTGAACTTCTCTACTCTATACATCTGGTATTTTTTTATGTACTGTATGTCTACAGTATTGCCATTTATATGGCAAGCACATTGCAAGTTGTTGGCATTCCAGCTGTGTCTTGCTACGTAGTAATAGCATGAAGTTTTGCTATTGGCACTCATTTTGCCACTATTGTACTTCTCTTCATTGTCTTTCCTCAGTCTCTGTCCAGTCTGTCCATTCCTGCCTTTCATAGTTGTTTTTTGATCACGATCTTATGCAAACACTGTCTCCTAATTATTTGCCTGGTGGTGGTAATCAGAAGAGCGGGGGTGCCATAGGCACAGAGAACATTGATTGAACACTGATAAACATCAGAGGTCCACAGTTGTTCAACATCCTCCCAGCAAGTATAAGAAATATTTCAGTAACAAATGTGAACATCTTTAAGAGAAAACTAGATAGTTTTCTTCAAGAAGTGCTAGAGCAACTGGGCTGTGGTGGATATGTGGGCCTACTCCAAGCAAGAGCCTGTTGGGCCAAGCTCTCACAAGTCAATCCTGGTCCCAGGCCAGGGTTGGAGAGTAAAAGAACTCCCAGAATCCCATCCAGCAGTACTAATGAGTTTCGAGTTAGTTTGAGTGAATCTTTGCAGAGTTGTTAGCAGTTTCAAGGCTTCATTTTCTGTGACCCTCCAGTTGTCTGTAAAACTGCACTGACTTACTGGAGTCTGTAATTATCTAAGCGTAATTATCTAAGTGTAAGTGTCTCAGCCTGGTTGATCAGACCATCAATCAGGAGGCCTGGTCAGAGACTGGCCGCAGGGACATTGATCCCCAAAATCAATGCAAGGTAACCACAAGGCTGCCTTGTGTTGGTAACCTCAACGTAGTTGCAGGATGAGAGCTACGCTTGTGGTATCCCGTCTTCCCAGCACTATTTGTCATATAATGCTTTGAAACTGCTGACAGTTTTTGTCTCTACCACCTAACTTATCTTGTCACAGAGGGTGGCAGATTGTCACTTGCCCCTTTGGTGAGGGGGGGCCAGGTTCTGGCTCTGGTTCCCGGTAGACCAAACAGAACTTCCGCAACTGATGTGCCCTTTTAGTATGAAGGAATCTCGGGAAGATGTTAAATTACACACTACACTCTTTTTTGCAAGAAATAATGTTATTCTTACCTTGCAATTTTGTAACTTATTTCAAAATTTTTAATTGCATATTTTATAATTTTGTAATGCTTTTATGATATATTGTTATAAATATATTCCTTTTCACATTATTGATTATAGTCTAGTATATTACTGTAATATTTCTATTATTCTGCAGGCTCATGGTATAACGCTAGTCATGAATGTCAAGCCATCCGTAATGGAGCGAGTAGCAAGATGTACTCAAGCAGAATTAGTATCTTCAATTGATGCTCAATTGACAAGACCTACATTAGGAATGTGTCACAATTTTTATGTGAGATGTTATTCTGTTTATGGAAAAAACAAGCTAAAAACTTTAATGTTCTTTGATGGTTGTGCCACTCACTTGGGATGTACTGTGATTCTGCGGGGTGCCTCGAATGCAGAACTTAAACGTGTGAAAAAAATTATGTATTTTATGATATATGCAGTGTATAACTGGAAACTGGAAAGATCATTTTTAATTGACGAGTTCATCTTAATACCTCCGCTTCCATCTGAAAGCTTTGACCTAGAAGACCAGGTATTTGAGGATGAACATGATCAGAATGTGAAATCTGGGGATGTTGGCTCTGAAGAAATCTCAGGGAAGAATTCTGATGAATGTGAAGATAAAAGTAAGAATGATCTTGAAGCCAGTAATGATTCTGCAATCTCAACACTGTGTCTGGAAAATAATATAAATCAGTTATTTAAAGAGTGTTTAGAAAAGGATTCTGTCTGCTCCTCAGTTGAAACTCCTGTATCAGTAGCTGGAACGTCAGACAAGGCAAAGTTGTCTCAAACAATCAGTGATTTCAGTGACCCATTACATTCGTATCTTAATTTAGGTGTTTCTCCACAAGATGGCCCTCTTGAGTCTTTGCATCACTCCTTCTCAGTAACCGAGTTGCCATTCTCTAATAGTTTCAGAAAAGCACTGGACGAGACTATATTCTCATGTTCTCCTTATTTGAAATACAGCATTCCGTACCTTGAATCGGAAGCTGGGAGAAACTGCTTGTTACGAAAATATTTCCAGAAAAGCCTATATTTTTCTGTTCAATTAGAAAAAGACAATTTTATGCGCCGCCCAAGATTTTCAGAAATGGATGCAAAGGAACTTAAGGATGAAAATCAGAATGTTGAAATTAGATTAGCACATGAATTCACCAAATTAAAACTAACAAAAGAAGCTTGTGATAAAGATTTCCGAGGAGTTTTAGCAGACTTCAGGGCAAGGGGCGGGCAGATGAGAAATATCTGCAGGTGTGAGGGATCTTTCACACAGCCAAAGGACCAGAGGCATATACTTAGTAATTTATCACAGGAAAAATCAGAATCTCATGGACAAGTTATTGTCGAGGGGCTTTCCATTGATGGTTCAGGTGAGTACAGTATTATAATCGAAAAAAGTATGTACTAAGTACATGGTGAGCCATTTTTTCAAGTTGATTGTATAGACTATATTACATCAAGTAAGAAATCAGTTTTATTAAATAACTCCTTTAGGATAAAATATTTTATTTTTATTTTTGTGTACCTTGTATCCATACTAATCTGCCCTCTCCTCAAGCATCATCATAGAGTTTAAATATTTTGTTATTTAAAACAATGTCATTTAGTTAAATAAGAGAAGTTTAAATATAAATTCATGCACTTAAGACAACAGTTGTTTTACTACCTGATGATAGCATCTCTCAGCATAGTGAGTCAATTGGATTAGATTAAGGTAAATGCCACTCGATCCTATGAAAGTGGAAATTTAATATGATAGATAATGTGTAATTCTTTAGTTTTGTGCTAATTTTTCAGGGTCCACATCCAATATGGTTACCACCAACAACAATAATAACAACAAACAAAATATGAGTAACTTCTGGAATGGACAGAGTGGCCTGATGCTTACCTCTGATGGCCGAGTGGATGCCCTTCACCCTTTCAACCACCAGCGATTATCTCTTCTTTTCTCCAGCTATTCCCAGTCATCTGAGTCACCCCCTGCTTTCTGTGTTAATCCTTGGTAAGTCATAATTTTTGGATTTGGAAACTGAAGAATGATAGATGTACAAATTATATAGGTTTCATTCTAAATTGTGCATTTTTGTAAAAAAAAAAAAAATTAAGCAGTGAAGTTGGGTCTCTGATTTTTAGTTAAGTGGTGTACCATTATTTGATACAGTGTTGTCCTGTAATGGGCTGTACTGCGTATTTTGTTCCTATTTCTGTGGGGAGCCCCGTCCGCTGCCTGGAGCTCTCGAGCCAATATCCAATCTTTAGACCAGGGCAATAGTCAATGGAGTTCTGCCTATTGGGGACCATTAGTCAGAACATGGTCCCCCTTTGGAAAGGTACAGGGAACAGTGGCCCTGGAAAAACCCCCCTGTGGTTGGGAGTTTTACCTTATGTCACTGACCGGGTTTGGGTTCCTGGTAAACTGGCAGAAGTTCCATTTGGTTCTGTTCCAGGTTCGGACTTGGCTGAGTCTTGTTTGGAACTCTTGAACTGCTTCCATGTCTCTCCCTCCGGTGGCGTTGCTACTACTTCGGTCCTGCCTTCAGCTGTTTTTGTGGGGTTCCCGGGTCACTCAGCGGTTACTCAAGCAGTTGTGCAGGAGTCTGAACTTTTTCATGCTGGTTTACCCGCTGGGTCAGGTTTGGCTTCGGCGTCTGTTCTGGTTCCTTCGGGGGCGCCCCTTCCACCTCTATTGCGATCGCTGGGTTTGTCCTCCAGGGTCTTGTGCCCATTGTTGCCTTGTGACATACCTTGCTATTTCGACCTTCTCTGCATCTTTACACATCTGGAATGTCTTGAGATAGATGTGTTAACATTATTATGGGCCACAGGTGGCCGAGTTATTGGTACCCCACCTGTGTTTGTCTTCCAGGCATTAGCTTCCAGCCAAAATGCAGTAGCTTAAAACTCGCTTCATCTCTTTCTGTCCCTGTTGTCTTTCTTCAGCCTCGGTTTCTGTGGTAGTGCTTTCTCTTTCGGGGTTGTTTCTTAATCGGCTCTAATACTGTTACCTCTTTTTATTTGGCCTTTAAATGCTTTACTTACATTTAACTCCGATTCTCCTGCAGATGCATTCCACAAGTTGTCTCGGGCATTTTTTCACCTCTTGCCTGCTCATGCTACTTCTTGCCCTGAGCCATCTTGGTATCTGAACAGGGACCTCACTTTTCTCTCCCCCTCAGTTCATGTCTGCCCCTTTGCACTGGTATACCATTTTTAAGGTGTTGTTTTTGTTGGCTTTTTCCTCCAGTTGTTGGGTTGATGAGCTTCGTGCTCTTCTCTAGAGGTGGGAATTCTGCTCTTTTGGCCCTAGTGGGAGTTTTCTTCATTTGTAGCTGTCTCCTTTTCTGGTGAGGAACAAGTCAGTGGGCTTCCAGAGGAACCCTTGGTTATTCATGCGTGGTTGATTTGGCCCAGGGTGCATCATTTGTTGTGTGAGATCGCAGCGGTTCGTGACCACCTGTTTGCCACCGGCTCGTGGCGGTGTTTTTTTAATATGTCTTGGGCAGATATTTGGGCTCGGGGGGTTTTGGCAGTGTAAGTATTATAGCAGCCAGGTACAGTATTTAGCCAACGTTCCTGGTCCTCATCGGTCCTGTGTTGCACCTGGGTTTTGTTTCCCAGCTGTTGATGTCTACGTTGAGCTAGTCCCTGCCACCTCTCCTGCAAGACCCTCCATTTTTTCTGTCTAGTTATTTAGGTACAGAGAGCCACTATGGGGCTTCCCCAGTAATCCAGCACTGAATGTAATAAAGACCTCTTTCTAGTAGAGACACGGTGGCTCCCTGTCTCCTTCCCTCACTTCCAGGTTCATTTTTTGTTGGGGTGTTTTCTTTGCTAAAGGACTGAGGGGCAAGCTAACAGGACCGAGATCTGGGCCACAAGTTGGCACCTTTTGGTACTAAAGAGTTCTATCTAGTTTTGACTGAACTATTTTGAGGGATTGAATCATTTAGGGAACTGTTTGGCAGCTCCGAAGCCTTGAGTCTGGTGAGCCTAGCAGTTGTCTAGAAGGTTTCACTGACTGGATCTTTTTTCAGTGAAATGGCAGAATATCCTTTGCTCTCTGTTCCACTGTGAGGAGGCCAGTTTCTGGCTCTGGTCTCCAGTAGACCAAACAGAACTCATGTGATGGGTAAGATTTGTAGCATAGTGATTTAATTGAGATAGCTGCAGTGAGCTACTACACAATAAAGTAGCCGTCACAACTGCAAGAAAAATGACAGGTTGGATAACAAGACCCTTTCACACTAGAGATGCTATACCGATGATGATACTTTTCAAGACGCTAGTGCTCTCTAGAGTGGAGTACTGCGGCACTGTACCAGCCACTTAGGGCCAGTAACCGGGTTCTTGATGTTGTAACCTCTTTTATAGTATCTGACCCCAAGTTGGTAGTATTCTTTCAAGAACTGGCTGTATATTGCAATAAATAATAAGGGGAGATGAACAATACACAGTTCCCTTTAATAGTATATTCACCATCACAATTAAATAAATATATAAATAGATTATTTCTACACTTATACACAGTAGTGCCACTTTCACGCAGGACACAAGCGTTTGCAGTGTTCACCAACTCCAGTGTTTCCTCCGTCCAGTACCTTGTCCAAGAGTACTGACAAACACTAGCGAATTCATCTTTTCGTGGGCCAGTCCACCGACACAGTATCACGAGGTGCCTACACCCCATTTACGCTCTCCAGCTACTCACTGGCAGAGGACTTCAGCAACACGCTGACAGGGGTCTCAAGCAACCATATACAGGGGTAATGAACACCCTGGCAGAAGCCTCTAGCAGCTTGCTAGCAGCACTTCATAATAGGCACCTCACTGTTGTCTGCAACTCTTCCAAGCCAATCCCGGGTACGTCGATCTATACCAACACTGCGTATATTAGCAGCTAACACACTGCTCAGATCGACGGCGGCTTACTTTGTCTTCTTGCAAGACCAGGCTACGAGTTCGTGGACTGCCCAAGGTAAACTACCTTCCTCAGTACAATCTGCTCTGCACGTTACCTCTGTGGACATAAAACGTCTTCAATTAGATGGACACGACACTGGGAAAACCATGAAGTAACGCTTATCTACTGGGGAGTTGACATTATGCTTGTAGCACAACGTAGATGGCGCTGATCATGCCACGCCACCCACCAAAGGTCATCCACGCCGTCCTTTCTTGATAACTAGGGCAGGAAACCAGAGCCATTTGTTGCTGTCATGCCACCACCAATAGATGGCATTGTCCACGTAGCGTCCAATATCAGGGGACCTGAGGTGCCGACCCATAGATGACGCCGAAATTGCCACTCCATACTCCACTGAAGGAGGTGATACCGTAATATGCACAATGATAGCCCCTGTCAAAGCTGGAGAAATTGCTGACCTGTATCCTTTACCAGCTAGAATCCACTCGGTAAAACATCTAAACTACTGGGACCGACTAAAGAGCCTAAATCTGTATTCTTTTGAGCGCAGGCGGGAGAGATACATAATAATTTATACGTGGAAAATATTAGAGGAGCTGGTCCCAAACCTGCACACAAAAATATCATCACATGAGACCAGGAGGCATGGCAGGATGTGCAGAATACCCCTGTTGAAAAGCAGAGGTGCAACAGGTACTCTGAGAGAGAACTCTATCAACATCAGAGGCCCGAGACTGTTCAACACGCTTCCACTACGCATAAGGGGCATAACTGGCTAACCCCTCACAGTGTTCAAGAGAGAACTGGATAAGCACCTCCAAAGGATACCTGATCAGCCAGGCTGTGATTCATATGTCAGACTGTGAGCAGCCGCGTCAAACAGCCTGGTTGACCATTCCAGCAACGAGGAGGCCTGGTCGATGACCGAGCCGCAGGGACACTAAGCCCCTTAAGCACTTTAAGGTAACTTCAAGGTAGCCACCAGGGCTCTACCAGACAAAAGTAATTTCATTACATTCATCGCTGGTTTATTATGACTCGCAAGCGCTTGTTGGGCCATAATAGGTTGACAGCTCCATGGCAGCAAGCTTCAGGGAGCCACCAAGTGACCCACCAGAAAGAGGTGTTTCATTACATTCAATGGTGTAATTTATTTTCATGATTGGTAATAAATGGTGCGTAAAGTACATAAAATACTGAAAATATTCCTATATTTTCAGGGTTTTGACGATGGATTTTTATGGAAGGAATGATATTCCTCTTGGGGCCTTCCTGGAACGCTATTGTTTTTGCCCCACATATCAGTGCCCATCTAGTCAGTGTTCTGTAGCAGTGATTGATCATATTCGAAAGTTTGTTCATGACACTGGTTGTGTGGATGTTCTGCTGAGACGTCTTGATACCGTCCTAGATGACTCCAACTCAGGATCAATACTAATGTGGAGTTGGTGCAAAATATGTCGTCAGGTAAGAAAAGGTGGTTTGTAATGTTACATACACAAGCATAACTTTCCCACAACTTCAAACAAGTGGAACATATACACTGTGCATGTAAATGCTATTATCTAAGTTTAATTACTTGAGTACAGTATAGTTACTGGATGAGAGCTGCTCTCGGTGTCCCATCCTCCCAGCAATCTTTGTTATTTAACACTTTGAAACTACTGGTGGTTTTTGCATCCACTGCCTTTCCCACTTGTTTCAACCATCTACAGGTCTGTTTACAAATGAAAATTTCTTATTTTGTAAACCTTTGTTTTCTTAGCTTCAGTTTGACTTCTTGTTCTTGAAGTTGCAGGCATCAATAAAATTCCTCCTTGTCTATTTTGTAAATTCCTGTTAATATTTTGTATGTAGTGATCATATTGTTTAATACCTCCAGCTTTTCCTCACAGCTCATGTTCATAGCCTCATGTTCATAGCCTAAATGGCCTAGGGGCCATTTAGTAGCACATCTTTGTACTGGATAGTATGCCATCACCTGACGATGAATATAAAGAGCATTGTGAGAGAAACCTACATTATTCGTGCAAAAGTCAGAATCGCATTTAAATACATGGATGGAGAAATATTAAAGAAACTGTTAATGCAATTTGTGGGATCAAAATTGGAATATGCAACAGTGGTGTGGTGGCCATATCTCAAGAAGCACATAAACTAGAAAAGGGTGTTAGGAAAAAAACAAATGATATTTTATTACATTCAGTGCTAGTTTTTCTATGAAAATGTCTGCATATGATTGTACCTATTACAATATTTTGGAATGTTTTCAGATATAAAATCTTTTCTCTTCAGGTTACTCCTGTGGTGCCCATGTCATTAGAAACATGGTCACTGTCCTTTGCCAAATATCTGGAGCTGCGATTCTATGGTGGCAGTTTTACAAGGCGTGGAATACCTGGCTGCCCTCATTCTCTTCACCATGATCACTTTCAGTATTTTGGATTTAAAAATCAAGTAGCAGTTTTTAAGTAAGTTTGGGAACATTGCTTTGATTAGTTTACATTAATTACGTGTCCATCACTTGTTTCTCTCGATTAGGAAAGAGAATTAAGCATTGCTGAAGTTGCTGATGTTGTTCTGTTTATGCATGCCTATTGCTTTCAGACTGGTATTATCCTTCTTTCATCCCAGACCCTTCTCTTTCTGCCACCATCTTATACTATAATCCCCTTCTAGTCTCCATTTCTCTCTCCCTTTGAAGTTTATCACCCATACTAAGTTCATAGCGTAGGGTTGCACTTGAAACTAGTTGTAGAGAGTTCAAACCACTCTATACAGGTAGAACACAATGTTCTATCTGTATACATCCATATGGACCAAATTTCATTATTCCTGTTTACCTTCACTCAGCCTCAGGTAATCAGGAATAATCTCGACAGGCTTGCTTTGATTCTGTTGTTTACATTGTCTTAGATAATAGTCAACGGTATAAGAAAGTGCCACAATTATTCATGGGCACTGGTTAAAGTAATTAATAAAGATAGCTTAGCTATTTTCTGGGACTCTTAAATTAGCTTGCTGTAGCCATAATTTGGTTTTCCCTAGAACACCTATAAAATCAACCATCTTTAATGTCCATTATTGCCAAATTCAATAACTTGGAAATCAACTACTACACTAACACTTTGGCGTACCCCGCGCGCCACCCCTCAACTGTGCGATATGGGTCCCAGGGTGTCACGGGAGCGCGCGTAAATTCTGAAAAGTGTATACTCTCCAACTTTGTCACCTTAATTCTCGTCCTACGAGATTAAATTTGGTATCATTGTGTTCGCAATAGAATTCTCTACAGCACTAAATGCATATAAACTCCAAAAGCCCGGCTAATTACCCCCAGCAAACAGAGAAAGTGCGAACGAGTTACCCAGGAGCGCGCAAACGCGATAAAATGTTTTCACTATTTTCACTCTGGTCACCTCAATTTTCGTCCTAGGTCTTTCATTTTGGTCTCAATGGGTTCGCAATAGAATTCTCTAGAGGAACATTAGCATATAAAATAAAAAACCTGGTCACGCTCCAACCGCCGACGAGTTGAAGACGGGCCACGCGTTAGCCGCAAGTGAGCGCTCAGACGCCTTCCAGCTACACTCCCAATTCCCGCCCTTTTCAAGCCTTTCTTTCGCAATTTTCTTCCTGGAAGGGCCTTGTTCATGATCACTATCCATCGTGGAGTAAGCGTAGATAGTTTCTAAAGCCGCAGTAAGAAATATAGCCACGGAAAATAGCCGAAATGTTCACACGTTTGAGATGCGAGGGGAGGCGACATTGGTCACAACAGTGGAGCGAAAACAATGGGCCCACGGCGTGTGCCAAGCCGCCTGAGGGCCACGAGGCTCAACAAAGAAAATGGGAAGACATCGGCGCGCATTTTAAAACCAGTCCCCCAAAAATCGGATAAAAACCTGATTTTTGGCGATTATTTAAAGTGGATGACGCAATGCTGCGTCATCCCCGGCATTACCGACAGTAAACGGATGACGCAATGCTGCGTCATGCCCGGGCGAAAGTGTTAATACAGTATAGGATTTCACGTTTGCTGTCTCTTGGGTATATGTATTTATTATTTCTGAGTGATTCTATTTGGTAGTGGGTTGATCTTTGATCCCCATGTGCTTTCCCCTGTCTCTTTGAGAGGGGACAGATATATGTTAGGGCTCCCAGGACTGGGAGCCCAAAGTTTTGTGGAGGTCCTGTGGAGTCAATTCTGTAAGACCCCTGGGAGCTACCGAGGTGCAACACAGACAGTGGTTGTCCATTCACAGGGGTGCTCTATTATGTTGTTGTGGGGAAATAGTTTCCTCTCTTTTTGCAGATACATTGGCATTACATTACGAGAAATTGCTCTGCCACCATCCGAGATGAATCTGTGCATCCCTCCCATTACTCAATCATCTGTTGTGGAGCTCATCAAAGGTGTTGCTATACAGGTAAGAAAATAATGTACCAGTTGTATGAAGTAAAATAATGAAGATATGTCAAACTTAAGAATGTGTGCTTGTCCATGCATTACTACTTATAGAGTAATACTAATGATATCATTACCCTGTTCAGAATATTGTATTTTAGAAAGTTACACAATGGTCACTATTTTAGATAAAGTATTTATTTTACTACTGTTAAAAATTTAATAAAATATATTTAGAGAATACTTGACTCAAACCTATACCATGAAAATATGAGGTGCACACTTTAATGAATGTCCCATGTATAAGCATTGGTAAATACAGCATTTATTATTCAATTACTGTACTGTATATTGATATATATCTCTCGGAAATAAAAGGAAGCTGGCTTCGTTGATAGTGTCAAACCTGCGGGCTTTGTCTCGGTGGCAGTATAAAGACGCTGGCAGAACCGCTTCAGCTTGCTTTCGGTATAGATGTTACTTCTGTGTCGTTTCGCAAGCTGTCTCATGCTTTGTTTCACCTCGAGCCTGCTCATGCACCGCCTGAGCCGTCCTGATCTTTGGACAGAGTGCTCTCCTATCTCTCTTATCATTGATTTGTTGTGGCCCCCTTCGGTTCAGGATTGCTTTTTGAAGGCTCTCTTTTTTTTTTTTTTTTCTCCTGTTCGCATTGGTCTCTGGAGGTCGGGTTGGGGAGCTTCATGCTCTCCTCCGGCGCAGGGTTTCTGCTCTTTTGGTCGTGGAGATAGGTTTGTTCGTCTGCAGGAGTGTCCTTCTTTTCTGGCGAAGAATGAGACTGCTGCTTTTTGGAGGGGTACTTGGGTTGTTAATGCTTGGTTGGTCAGGCCGGGGGTGCATCATGTTTTGTGTCCGGTTGCGGCCTTCCGCCGTTATTTGCGCACCATGGCTTCTGTGTCCGGGGGACTTGCTATGGGTTGATCTGGTTTTCCTTCTTCCCTGTTCGCGAGTGCGGGTCTCTCAGGTTGTCCGCAGAGTTATTAAGTCTAGCCAGCCTGTGGTCTATCCCTGTGCCCATGATGTTCGTAAGTTCGCTGCTCTTGCTGCCGTTTTGGGAAACATGTCCTGGGCTGACATTCGGGCATGGGGTTTTTGGTGGTCGAATAGGGTCCTGGCTGCACGCTACCTCATGAACATTCCTGGGCCTAGTTGGGCCTGCGTCGCTTTGGGTCGGTGGCTGCAGCCTGTTATGACTTCGAGTTGACGTATGGAGCACCGACTGCCTCCCGGGTAAGTCACCCTTTTTCCTTAGTCTTTGGTAAAGTAGTTCCGGGGAGCTGTAGGGGCTCCACCCTGAAAACCAGCATTGAATGCAATGAAATGCCATTTTCTGGGCGAGTCCTGGAGGCTCCCCGGCAACCTTCCCTCCCTCCGGTCTGCGGTTTTCGTGTATCTTGATATCCAGCCTCGGAACTGAAGGTATGGATCGCCGGTGTGAGGGTCCGGGGCTCACCCTTTCCCCTCCCGGGAAGGGGGGAGCTGCGCAGACATGCAGCGCAGCTCGTGTGACGTCATGCTTGTTTGCTCGTTTTCCCTTGGATGAGTTCTGTTCATTTGTTTCGTTATTTTCGTTAGTTTTACCAGAATAGTAGTTTGTTTTGAGGCGCTTACCTTTCTAGGTGCCTGTCCCGGTTGGTGGCAGATATAGAATGCTCCAAAATCACGTGTGCATTTCTATAGGCTATTGCGCCTTATGCCTCTCTGAGGGGGCCAGGTTCTGGCCGTGGTCCCCGGTAGGCCTAGAACTCCACCCACGTCAACTGATACCAAAAGTTAGGACTATCCCTATCAGCCTGGATAGCTCCGGGGAGCCTCTGGGACTCGCCCAGAAAATGGCGTTTCATTACATTCTATGCTGGTTATTTATGCTATGGCATATATGTTAGTGACCAACCCAATTTTTTTTGGTATAAAAACTGCTATTAAAAGAGAGAAATTTTTTACCTACAGGGCTACTCTGTCTTCTCTACAATTTTTGAACGTGTTACAACACTGTCTTCAGAATGTGGAAGTCGATGGGAGCCTCTAATTTTGGAAATCACCGAGCATCAGAATAAACAACGCTTTACATTCAGAGAGAAGATTGAAAGCATTCAGGTGCCATTCATTAATAATGTTTTGAAAGAAATGAAATATCACTTGACATATTGATTTAATGTGTGTGATTAAACTGTATTTAATCCTTGCCTACTAAGTTAGGAATTTAATATTTTAGTTAAGTATGTGCATATATAAGAGTACTAAGAATGCTTTTGTGTTCCAAGGGTGGTATCCTGTTTTTTGTCCAAATTGATCAGTTTTTCCTCTGTCACTTGCTCAGTAATATGTAAAAATCTATTTCATACAACTCTGGGCCTGAAACAGATTTGCATAAATGCAGTTTCCTGAACAATTTCCTATTTTGAGCTATTTATCAGCAAATTTTCTTGAATTATAGCAAATAATAATAAGCATATTTCCTTATATATCTGGATTATGCATGGATGCAGTTCTGGGAGTTCTTCTACTCTACTCTTGACTTAAGAGCTTGGTCCAACAGGCTGTTGTCTGGAGCAGCCAATGGGCTCACAGGCCCACATATCCATTACAGCCTGGTTGGTCCAGCACTTCTTGCAGAAAACTGTCTACTTTTCTGTTGAAAAATTCCACTTTGTTCTGGCAATATTTCTTATGGAGGAATGGGTTTATGTGGATGACTGCTTTACTGTAGTAGTGCTTGTTTATCCATGACACTATATTGTGTTGTGAATGAAATAATTAATGGACAAAGGGTATTTTTAATGCTTTTTATTAGCTATAACCTTCTTTTGCCATATCTCATTTTATATTTTTTTACCAGGCTAATGCTTTCTTACACCTTAAGAATAGGAAATGGAGTAATAACAAGACATGTATGTATGTAAATTCAATATTACATAATAGTTTATTTGACATCTATTTCCAGCTGCAGCTAACTTCACCGACATTAGAGGCTCGTCGACTTCATCCTCCCACACCCAACACAACTCATGAAGTTGCCACAACAATGCTAGCAATAACAGATCAAGTTATTCTGATCAAAAGGCTTATTGCTCAAGTTGTCAGTGACTGGAATGTTAAGGTTAGAATAAATTTGTTTATTGTTTTAGTTTTCATCATGATTACATTTTTGCACTAAAGGTAAAATTACTGTACTTGAAAAAAAAATTCTAGGAGGGGGCTTTGTGAGCTACCCGGCTTGGTAACGCCAAGCCTAACATATCTTACCAGGCCGTTGGGAGTCATGAGAACCTGTAGCACACCAGAAGCAGAATTTGGCCCACTTAAACCAAAACACGTCTGGACCAGCAAGTCTAGGAATGCTAAATCAACCTCCAGGTCAAAGGGAAAAAGTTATCAGAAAGGTAGGATCCCCCAAAACAAGCAACTGCTTGGAAAACATGGCAACTTTGATAACTATATGTATACATATTAGCCATTTCCAACCAGTCCTGGGCTCTCTTATTGAAGAGTGTGAGCATCACTCTGCTCCTTACTGGTAAACCCCAGTTTTTTCATTATGTGGTTACCTTCAGGGAGCCACTATTCAGCTCCAAATGAAAACCAGCAATGAATATAATGAAAGGCCTCTTTCTGATTGGGCCTCAGATTATCCCTGGTTCCTCCTCACTACGAAGTGCATTGGTTTATTGCTCCAGACTGAGGAGTGTTGATATGGGGAGCTGGCAACTCTGGGTGGTGCTGCCACCTAACAGTGGCCAGCTGGAAGTAGGAGAGTTCGAACTGACCACTGGGTGGATCGTTTGCAGAGTCATTTGCTGCTTCATTTCTTTTCTCTATGAACCTTACAGTTGTCTGTTTTGCTTTGCTTACTTTTTGGATGTTTCCTTGACGAGGGCAATTGTAGCAATTCTCTGCTCCCTGTGCCTCTGTGAGGGGGGGGGGGGCAGGTTCTGGCTCTTTTCTCTGGTAAGCTATTATGAACTTCTAGGACTGATGTGACTCATAAGTCTAGAGCTTTCTCAATACGACTAGCTTCAGAGAACCACCGAGGCCCAACTAAAAAGTGGCATTTCATTCCATTCAGCGCTGGTTTTTTGCTAGTATGTCTTGTGTTGTGAAGAGTCAGGCTCATAGGTTTGGTGGTCTAATTTTGTACTAGCGGCATGTTATTTGTTACATGTTACTATTCCGTACTGGAGTTGAATGGTACTAGGGTAGTGTGACACAGTGCTGATTTCCTCAATTGGGTTACTGGATACTGTATTCCTTCCCTCTCCCCTGATTAGTGCTGTTTTCTTGGTTGACCATGATTAGATAACTCAGGGAGCTACTAAGGGATGCCTTCCTAGAAATTCAGAATTGAATGTATATTGAAATATCTCTTTCTGGTGAGTCCCCTCTATGGGTTCTTGCCCCTCCCTCATCTAGAGTTTCAAGCATTGGCATTGGGTGGCTCATGTCTGATGTGGCTGGCTGGCTGGAGCTCGGGCTTGCCAGGGCTGCCATCTGGCAGTGAGGAAGTGTAGCTAGCTTGCAGCTAGAGCTAGCTAATGAGTGTAATAATATGTAGTTGTCAGAGTTACAATTATTTCCTATGCAATTGCTCATTTTGAGGTGTCCTACCTTTCTTGTGGCATTTTCTTCTTGGCCTGGGTGATCTATTATCCCCGGAGTTCCTAGCCTCTATTGAGCTAGCCAGATTCTGCTTCTGGTCTTCAATAGAAACTCATGATTCACAATGATCTAGTGAGGCTCATTAAGCTTGGAGCTACTAGGCTGGGTACCTAAGGGAGTCACCGAGGGGGACCTACCAGTCAGGCTATTTCAACACTTTCAGTGCTGGATATTTATTTTTTGTAATTAAGAGAATACGTACAGTGATCTAAATATAGCCTCTCTGATACAAATATTTATGGTAGGTTTTAATTTTTTTGGTGTGTAGAATGGGAGTTATTTGTGGAAATAATGTTATTACTGTATTTCTTTCCCATAAAAGGTTTGGCTGTTCTTTAGTCATTGCTTACAAAAGAAACAAAGTAACCTGCTCTGAAAGGAGCTTTTGGTCTACAGTATGCCTGAAGCATTATTATTTTGCTTTCGTCAGGTTCAAGATCTTGTACAGCTTCGTAAAAGAGAGGAGAAATTAGAGAAAGCAAAAGTAATGGCAACCAACAGTGGAGGAAGTGGTTTGCCTCGACAATCTACAAGTACTTCTATATCAACCTCCTCGGCTGCATCAGCTCATGCCACCTCTTCCACAGGTGGTGAGTAAATAAATATTTAGTACTCCCTATGTAAGGCACCCCTTATAGTATTTTATCTTTTTTTTTATTTTTGAATAAAATATAAAGAATGCTTTCAAGAAACTTGAGAAATGTTCTGGTGTGAGTATTTATGGGATAGTCGTGTTGAGAGATCTCTGTAGCATATGTCACATGAACAGTTAGGATATTGTGCATATGCCAGTTTCCTGGTGATTGGTTTGGCCAAAACAGGATGAGAAATTGGGATTGGGAGCCCATGGGTATCAGAGATCAGCCCTTCCGAGTTGAAATGCCCATGAAAATTCAGCCATCCCATATATAATGCACATTTATGCAGATTTTCTGTCATAATGTGGTTTTCATTTAGTAACAATTTAAATTGCATGCACTATTATTATACAACACACACTCGTGGCATGCACTCCAGCAAAGACAACCACAGTTTCAGCTTATCATTCTCAATGTCGAAGTTAAACCCTACTTGTACTTCACTAAATGACTCGAGCTTGTATGTAAAGCCTGGTGAACTGATGAGATGAACAGCTTTCTGCTTAATATAATAAAGAATATTGGTTGAGGAGAGTCTTGTAGAGCTGATATAACTGTAAAGTTAAATATTTTTTTAGTCTGAAGAGAATGCCAAACTTCAGGCAATCGCTGAGCTGTGAGGTTTTCAGGACAGATCAAGTGTAATTGTGATTCCCAGGATATTGATGAAGGATTGAAGTTCAAGCTACGAGTTTTTCAAATTGGAATTGGTGATCAGTTTGAGTTGGTTTTGAAGTACAAAATAGGTGGAAACTAATATATTGAATTATATTTGCTAAATTTCAAGTTTCCTAAATGGAGATCGAACTAAGATTAGACACAACAAATAAAAATTGCAAAGAGTCGGATTCACCTACATTGAAAGGACTATAAATGAAGTGTGAGGAAGAGTCCAAAGGGAAATCACCAGTACAGTATGAGAATGGATAACATAATGTGTGCTGTGAAACTAATCACAATATCTGCAAAATGATGGAGATATGTCTTTCTATCTTACTCGGTTTGTAGTAGCAACACAAAACTCAAGAATGGATTAACTAAAGAGTTTGAGTATTATATTTCTTATTTCATAATTCTTTTTTCTTAACCCTTAAATGACACAACTATTTAAAAGTTCTCACCATGAAGCACATGAAAAAACAAGTACTGGAAACCAATAAGGATCAATCACAGTGATATGAGCATAGGAGGAAATTGCAGATAGTAATTGTAGCCGTGTAGGAATGTTCTCGTGAAAAACCCCTCTAAGGAATAAATATTATTTCAGAAATGTTCAGTGCACAGTCTCATAAGCAGGGTGGCGATACTGCTTCCGTAGCATCTTCTGCTGCCTTGACTGGTCTCTCGACTGATTCCCTCAGTTTGTCAGCCTCCTTCAGTGAACTACCTGGTCAAGAACCTTCTAAATAGTAAGTTGTGATGAGATATGTTATTGTTACATTGTTATTCTAAGATGGCCCCCTTAGTAGCTCCCCTCGAATTTATGGCGCTGGCTTACTGGGAACACTGAATTTGCCAGGGGGTCCAATGACTTCTCCCTCCCCATTAGAGATAAACACCTTTTCAAAAAAATCTTACCCACTGCATGGATGGGAGAAGCACATGGGATTTATAGATCTTCTTGAGGTTATCTTGAGATGATTTCGGGGCTTTAGTGTCCCCGCGGCCCAGTCCTCGACCAGGCCTCCACCCCCAGGAAGCAGCCTGTGACAGCTGACTAACACCCAGGTACCTATTTTACTGCTAGGTAACAGGGGCATAAGGTGAAAGAAATTCTGCCCATTGTTTCTCGCCTGTGCCTGGGATCGAACCCAGGACCACAGGATCACAAGTCCAGCTAGATACTGTGGTAAACCACCAACTAAATGTAAAAAGGTGACAAAGCCTTTGACCTATCTCCAAGCAATGTTTTCAACATTCACATCACCAAATAAAATTATGATAACCGACCTAGCTTTCCTTTCGACTTGAATGTCTGTGTGCATGGTGTAATGTTTAGATTGGACTCGTGATTGTGTATTTGGAAAATACAGATCAAACAGGTCTTATTGCAAAACAATTAAAAGTTAGGACACTGCAAATATTACTGGAAGAAATATTGGGATTGTGAGAAAAATATTTAATGTACAGTAGCAGGAAATGGCATTACAGTGGTGCCCCGATTAACGAATTTAATCCGTTCTGGCACCGAGCTCGTCATGGGAAACACTCGTCTTGTGAAACAACAACAACAACACTACTCTTCGGAGGCGTCCGAGAACCAGCGGGAGCGCTAGGAAGCACCATGTAGTTTGCTCATCAATCGAGACAAATTTTCGGAGTGTGGCTCACTCGTTACTTGAAATGCTCGTAGATAGAGCTGCTCATCACTCGAGGTTCCACTGTACTTGATTATTCACACTTATTGTTTCACACTGATGTTCGGTGGCATTAATTGGACAAAGTCTTAGCAAGGGTTTATGAGCTAAGAATAGAGATTGCTGTAATGTTTTCTTTTCTTAAAAAAAAAAAAAATTATTTGGTAGATTTGTATTGTAATAACAGATAATGAAGCTATCATATTTTGTTATGTCTAAATGAACTTAATTTAAAACTACAAGAAATAAAGAAGGAAATAATTTTTTTCCACAGTGTGAAGAAGTCAAAGAATTAAAAAAAATCATTACTACTTTGACGAACATTATTTTATATATTTTATTACATTTTAGTACCTCAAATGATGCTGTTGAAGATGTGATTGATGAAGGACCTGCAGTCAGTGGCCAGTCATCACCCATCCCTCAGCCACATGGTAAGTGAAATTTGCCTTTCACTGTCAGTTTTGTTGTTAGGGTTTTAATATTAGGAAGAACTCCCACAACTGTAGACCTCTGGTGCAGTTGGATCACCCCTCGACCTCATACATCATGAGCGATTTGGCTTGGGTTTGTATCCAAGCCAGGGAGGATTGACTAGATGCCAATCCTTAAATACAGTATATGCTTCTGTTCACCCAGCTGTGATTGGGAACCTGGCTGTTAAATGATTGGAGGGTTGTATTCCAGGGGAAACAAGTGGGTAAGGCTTACATGAGCTATGGTAAGGGAAAGCTCTCAGCCTGTCAACAGGAGTCAGCAGTCATCATCTGTTCCTGTATCCACCTGTGTAAAAAAAAAAAAAAAAAAAAAAAAAAAAAAAAAAAAAAAATAAATATATATATATATATATATATATATATATATATATATATATATATATATATATATATATATATATATATATATATATATATATATTTAATATACATACACACACATATATATACATACACATACAGAGGGGTACAAAAGGTCTTGATCCGACCTCGGCAGGTATTTTTACATTTACAATTTCACCTAATCTTCACAAATTATAATTACAATGACAACTAGTAAGAATTTCTTTGTACTGCAACATCCATGAATTTAAAATATATTGGCGAGGCCTTTTGTTAATGCTTAAAATAATTTCCAATTTACAGTATAACAGAAGAGTTGCTGTTTGTTTTTTAGTCTACTCACTACACAGCTCGTACATTAATCAAGCATGTTATTCACCTGCTATAAGCAAAACATGGATTCTTTGCAACCATGTCAGACATTTTATCATTTGTAATAAGATAATTTGCCGTTTCATGCAATTTGGGTTCTGAGTTACCTCTAAATGGCTCAATTTTGTCACAATCTAAAATATTAATGCTCTAGTGTATCCCTATCTTAATTCACACAATTAACACTCTATATTGTCTAGATCAACATACAAGCCAAACTGTCACACACTTGTTGGGAAAATTGTATTCAAGCTGTGACAATGTCTGTCAGCCTTCTGATTTTGTTACTTGCCCCATACTATGTGATGACTAAACCACACACCAGAAGAATCCTGTACATGTGTTTTGTTTGACATATTTCATTGTGATAAACAATGGATCTGCTAATCTGGATCTGTTTGCACTTTTCTACTTTCTTAAACTTTGTCTAAGAGTTCTTGTCTAATGACACTTTTTATAGATCTATTTGATAACCCAAATTCAACATTGTCTATTTGCTGCAAGTTTAGCAAGGGCATTAATATTATCATGTCCTTGAAGTTCAATGTGAGAGGGAATCCTCAATAGTTTGACTTTTAATCTCTTTATTAACTCTCTAACTGTGCACCAAATTTAGAGTACATTTCCTGGTGTGCATAAATTTGGTTATTAAATTATTTATTATTATTCTGGCATCATAAAATATTACACACATTGATCATGGGAAAGTGCTGAAAAAATTCCACTTCGGATGGCTTAGGAGTAATAAGATGGAGAAGGGGGTTTGTAATGTCATCAATTTCAGTCGTCCGGAACTGGAACACCAGGCTGCATTCCTGGATGTGTTGACATATGACGTGGAGTGCCATGCAAAATTATACATTTTCATTTATTATTGTTATTTCTCATCTTTTGTGGCTCCCTGAAACTATCTTCCTGAGATTGCTTCATGCTAAAAGATCACATCAGCTGTGGTTAATTCTGTTAGGCCTATTAGAGGCCAGTGCAAGAACCCGGTCCCTTCACAGAGTCACAGAAAGCAGGTGATAGTCTTCCACCTCACCAGTGGAAACCTCCAAGATGTCAGCTCAGCTTTACAGGCAACTGTGGAGGGTTCACAGAAAATGAAGCCTCAAAAAACTAAACCACCACCACCAAGTCACATGGAACAAGGGATTCACACATCACAGAGATGAGCTCGAGACTCATTAGTACCTTTTTTTTTTTTTTTTTTGATGACCGAGCCCTAAAGCTCCAGCTAAGTACTGGCCATCCTTGGACATGTCTTATGGGGGTCAATTGGTTTATTGTAGCATTTCCAAGTTTAGTGCCACTTCACAAGTGTCTTTTGATACAGAGTTGTTGTATGAGCTTAGCTCTTTGTATGTTTCTGGCTGCATATGCTCAGGGTCTTCTGCCCTGTGTGCTTGTTAGTGCTACCTTTGCACAGCCAGAGTTACCTTCTGTGGTGTGTTCGGGGTTCGTATCTTTGAAGCTGATTCACTGGGGTGGGGGCCCTCACCTTGGGCTGTTTGCAGGTCTTGTTTCCTCTGTTGGGTCTCAGTTAGAGATGTTCTTTGGTTGTGTTCAGGAGCAGTGGGGGTTTCTGCACTTGTTTACATGACATGTTGCAAGCACCATTTTACAGAACAGGTAGTTGGACTGGTGGTGGTTTCTATTTTCTTTGGTGAGCTTCCCAGTGTCTGCGGACCCGTTTGGTTTCCATTGGGCCCCTGGGAATCCCATTTCGGTCTCATTTGTAGTCCTCGTGGAGTGGCCTTCGTGAGCCTAGTCTTGCTTTTTGAGAATTTGAGGGTGTTCATTGTCCATCACTAAGGAGGGTGATCCATCTGGCTTCTTGGTGGCCGGCCAAGCCTTGGTTTCTGGTGCATCTAGCCTGGTGTCCAAACCTGGGCATTTTTCTGCATCTCCGCCTCTTCTAGCAGGTCGGCCTGATGGTGTACTTCGCTTTTTTTAACTTCTCCTCTGCTCTACATGTCTAGACTTTCTAGCACTTCTCAATTGCCATTTGTATGGATGCTTTCATTGTGTGATGGCAAATTGTCACTTGCTTTCTGCACTTCTGTGAGAGGGCTAGGTTTTGGCTCTGAATCCCGATAGCAAAACAACAACTGCATCTGATATGACCCAATTGCATGGAGCAATCTCAGTAAGATAGCTTCCAGTAGCTACCAGGGCTCAACCAGAAAGAGATATTTCATTACTTTTTTTTTTTTTTTTACACTGAATGGTTTGCATTTTCTTTGCTACATTCTTACAATATTGTTATTTCTACAGAAGCACAGGATACAAGAAGGCTTCCAGGAGAAACAAGAGAGAGTGAGTATTTTTAATGCCATATCAAGTTTGAAAACTTCACTATCATTTAAAGTGGTTTTCACTTGTTCTGTATTAATAGAAATAGCTTTTACAATAAACAGGTTTCAGATTTTGTTTATCTTCTAGTAGTTGCTGATCATCTGCAATCAATGGTCATACCCAGTATGGGGTATAGATTTTTGGATGGCTCGTGTACAAACTGCCCTGGACACACACGGGCACCTGGTAGCTGAGTGGACAGCACGCTGGATACATAATCCTGTGGACCAGGGTTCGATTCCTGGCACCGGCGGAAACAAATGGGCAGAGTGTCTTTCACCCTGATGCCCCTGTTACCCACCAGTAAATAGGTACCTGGGAGTTAGACAGCTATAACGGGCTGCTTTGGGGGGGGGATCTGTGTGGAGAAAAAAAATTATTTACAGTCGAGAGGCGGGCCGAAAGAGCCAGAGCTCAACCCCTGCAAACACAACTAGGTGAATACACAAGGTCCTCTACTTTCTTGAGTACTTGTTTTATATGTTATTATTATTATACCCATTTTCTTCACCCATTCTCTCATATACTTTCATCATCTTGTGTTACCAACATGTCATTCAATCATTCGTTCTTGACACCTGTCTTTCATTTTCTTTTGTGTCACATTCTGTTGTATCCAATCCCATCTCATTGGTCTCACTCCTCCCTATCCCACTGGTCTCTCCTCCTTCCTATCCCACTGGTCTCTCCTCCTTCCTATCCCACTGGTCTCTCCTCCTTCCTATATTATTGGTCTTGCTCTTCATTCCTATCACATTAATCTCACTCTTCCTTACTATCCCATTGATCTCACTCTTCTTTCCTATCCCACTAAAATAAAATAAACTTAAAAAAAACTTGAACTCTGGTACAGTAATGAGATGTGGCTTTGGAGTACCTGTGTTGGTGTCCCACCCTTGCCAAACTTGGGTAACTAACCAAAATGCATTAGGATTATGCCTCTGTTACCCAATTTCTGTCTTATAGCTGACACTTTCCCCTATTATGAGGATGATATTCATGTTTACATTGGAGCTGCATCTTGTGTGAGAGTAATGGTTTCGGACTTTTTAAACATGGATGGGTGTATACTAGAAGATGGAATTATAGTTGTTAATGTAAAGATAAGATGTCATCCCTAGTCGGTTGTGTATTGCTTTGGGCTGTCTCCCCCAGCCTGGGTTCTCCTCTTCATCCTAGTGCCTGCCATCTCTCCTTCCCTGGTATGCCCCATATTTATTCTCTGTGGTTAGCTTCGGGGAGCCACATGAGGGCTCCCCTAGAAACCCAGCATTTGTAAAGAAACTCCTTTTTCCTGGAGGAGTCCTGGTTGCTCCCTGATACACTTTCTCCTTCCATGTTCATTGGTTTATCGAACTGGTTGGTCAGGGAAGCCAGCTGTGGGCTGGGGCTGGACCACATAGGGGTGGTGATTGATACTGACTGAGTACAGTATCACTCTTATTACTTTGCTTAAGTATCAAGCTACTCTCGCAAAGTACAAGTAGTTTGATACTCGAGCTACTTTGCGTGAATCCTTTGTTCTGTGTGAATTGTTTGCAGAGTTTTCTGACGATGACAAAGCTTCATTTTCTGTGAAACCTTCAGTTGTCTATAAGGTTTTGCTGACTTTCTGGTGGATTTTTCCAGTGGGGTAGCAAATTATCACACACACTCCCTGTGCCTTGGTGAGGGTGGGGGGCACATTCTGGCTCTGGTCCCTGATAGGTCAAACAGAACTTCTATAACTGATGTGCCTTTGTAATGTGGAGCAATCTCGGCAAGGTAGCTTCAGGGAGCCAATGGGACTCCTCCAGTAAGAGGCATTTCATTACACTCAATGTTGAGTTTTAAAGATTTTGTACTTTTAAGATTAGTAGACCACTGTTGCTTCATGATGTATTAAATATATATCATAGGATTATGGTTTCAATTAAATTGAGGGAATGAAATTTAAGATTCCATGCATTTTTATGCATTCAAATGTAAGCATTTTAGATTTTTCCAAACATACAGATAGATATAGCAGAGATATGACTAGGATTTTATGTTTCAAGATATATGCTTTCAAATTTTCTTGCACACCATCTTTTCTTGTATTTTTGTTGCTGCATGTGTATATCTAATGGTAAATGTAATTGTTAAATGATCACATTTGCATTGCTTGTGATGAATTTTGGTTTCAAATTCTTGCATGCGTGTGTCTTTAATGGTAAATGTAGCTGTAAAAGTTTTGAATGTGTTCTAAAGGTAGGTACATTTTTTAAATGTGTGTGGTTTGTTATTTTGTAAGTAGTTGGCGTCTTATAAATGCATTATTGTACAAAGGAGCTTTGTTCCCTGCACTCCCAAGACATTGTAATGAGTATGTCTAGCATAAATATATCTTTTGTGCCTTAGTACTATACAGTGATAAGACTTAATATTGTTATGGTCATATCAATATTGTTCAAGTACTGTACAGAATACAGTACAAGCACCTTGATTGTGTATAATATGTGACTAGTCTATAGACTTGATCAAACCTTTGTTAATATTAAATTATTTAATTTTACTTTGTATTTGGACAGCACAGTCATTGACTGCAAGTTTTTAATAATTTCTTAAATTTTAGGATACAGAACAAAGCTCATCCTTGTAAATAATACTTTCTATAAAGTGTTTTTCAGTACATGCATTTTTTTTTAGTTAAAAAAGAAAAAGTACTGAAATAGAGAGAGGGTATTACAAGCCATTGGATTTTTCCTAGATTTTCAAAAGGCAGTAGGAATTGTGTGTGAGACGCCTTCTGCTGTGTGCCTAACGGAGGAGAGGGATCGCACCCTACGGGCCTTGGATGCCCTCACTACCACCACCAAATCACCACCACATTCAGGTATCACTGTATTCAAAAGCTGCTGCCACTTACAGTTTTATCCTTAACACTTTTACTATACACAGCCTGTAAACTTGGAATGTTACAAGTGTGCTTAACTAGATTAACCTAATGTGATTTTCATTCCCCCATTTTTAATTAAAACCATAAAACTCTTCTCTACATCATCCTCTAAACAAAAATAAAAAATATAATGTGTGTGCAGAAAGTCGCTTAAGAAAAATTAAAAACTAAAGTTTAACATCATAATGTTTATTTAGCCTGTCCTCTTGTTGTCCTAATGTCACAAAAATGAAGTACTGTACTAAAGTGCCCGAACCTAACCTAACTGATGGACCCACGAATAGAAAACAAAACAGCCCCATCAATTTTGCAAGCCACTATGATTTATAGTACATCATATTTTAGCTGTCGAGGGGTGTTTATGTGCCAAAATGCGATGTACTATTCGAGAGGACAGGCTGATTTATTACATCTTGAGTTGAGTACAGAGTGAGCATATCCCCTTCTCTCTGTTTGTCTGTGTCTGTACTATACAGTGTGTGTAGTGTGTGTGTGTAATTATCTAAGTGTAGTTAAAGGATGAGAGTTACACTCATTGTGTCCCATCTTCCCAGTACTGTCATATGACACCTTGAAACTGCATAATGATGGTTTTTGCATCACCCACTTTCTCGCTTGTTCCAATTGTCTTCCACTCTGTTTGCAAATGAGAACTTTCTCGTGTTTTTTCAGCAGCTTAGTTTCCATTGCTTAAGTCTGTGACCTCTTGTTCTTAAAGATGCAGTTTTCAAGAATTCTTCTTTGTCAATTTATCGATTCCTGTTACTATTTTTCATGTAGCAATCATGTTACTTCATTTCTTCTGTCTTCTAGCTTTGGTATATTTAATACCTTTAGCCTCTATTCGTAATGTTTTTTTCAGTTTCGGAAGCCATTTAGTTGCATGTCTTTGCACCTTTTCCAGTTTACTGATATACTTCTTTAGATATGGGCATCATACAACCATGCATATCCTACTTTTGGTCTCTCAAAGGACTTGAACAGTTTATTTAATATTTTGCCATCCATGTATTTAAAAGCAATTCTGAAGATGGAAAACATAGCATAGGCTTCTTTCACACTGTTCTTTATGTAGTCATCAGGTGACAGTTTTTTCTACCCTGGGGCACACCTATTTCTTTCTCAGAACTTAGTTCCCTCAGAGCGGCGCAGAAAATACCTACGAAAACTCCATTCTTCGAGTGGAGTTTTGAGACTTTCTTATCGACTTGAGAATGGTCCAGGACGGACCGAAACGTCGTCGTCCCTTCACCTTCTAGTGTGTGGTCTGGTCAACTTTGAGAGTATATTCGTGTCTGCCATCGACTGGGGTTAGGCACCCAGATAGGTAAGCACCCCAAAACAGACCCCATTTGGTAGAAAATTGCAATCCAAGACATCCCCCCCTCCCGCCGAAGGACTGAAGGGGGGGGACCAGTGCGTCGATTTGATAACTATTTGTTTGTTAACTTGTTTTTTGGAGGAAAGTTCTTGGGCTCTGTTCTGTCTTGGTTTGTAATTTTCTGCCAGTTGGGGGACTGATTTGGGGTGCCTACCTTTCTGGGTGTCTAACTCCGGTCGATGGCAGACATGAATATACTCTCGAAGAGTGGAGTTTATGTAGGCCATTACTCCTTGCACTGCTCTGAGGGAATCAGGTTCTGGCTCGTGGTTCCTGGTAGGTAGAACTCCATGTGACTGAAGCCCCAGACTAATATAGCTAATATCAGTCCGATAGCTCCAGGGAGCCTCTGGGGCTTGCCTAGAAAAAGGGGTTTCATTACATTCAATGCTGTTTTTTTTAGGTCCAGATAAATAGTCAACCCAACTATCTGTCTCCTGTAAAATGTCTGTGGCTCTATCATAGAATCTAATTAGATTTGTTACATAGAATCTTGCTGTTCTATAACCATACCATCTGTCTGTTATTATATCATTTTTCTCCAAGTGTTTTACTCATATGTTTGTTATTTTTTCTAGTGTTTTGACTATCAGTGATACAGGTCTATAATTAAAAGGGTCTGCTCTGTTACCATTTTTGTAAATTGGAACCATGTTTGCCTTTTCCTTATATCTGCCTAGACTCTTGTACACAAAGATGCCTGAAAAATCAATTGAAGTGGAGTGCTCAACTAAGATATGCCTTCCCCCCAGAACCTAAGGTAATGCTCCATCTGGGCAACTACTTTGTTTCTACTTAGTTCCTTGAGCATTTTTTCACTTCATCTCAAGACACCTCTATGTACCGTTATTTTCTTAAATTTATATTATGTCTGGTTCTTTGAAAACTTGATTTTTCACAAACACACTTTAATTTTGCTTTTTAACTTGTTTGTTAACTGTTCTGTTTGTTCACACATTTTTCTCCTCTGTGAATCTGTTGGACCATTGATGCAACCTCCTTCCAGTGACTGCGAGAAGTTCAGGTGCCCTAACGTGGATCTCTTTGCCAGCTTGGAATCGGTGCCTTTTTATGTAGCTCCATTCCCCAATCGTTTGGCCTTCATTGTGGATGCCTTTCGGGTGGACTGGTTACTGTGGGGGGTTTCTCTATCTCTTTCTCCTGGTCCACCTGTTTATCCAGTTTTTGGCCAGGTTTGAGTCCTACTAGGTATAGGTGCTACTTCTGGCTCCTTATTGGCTGGCTCAGCCAATAAGGAGCCAATAATCAATCAATAAGCCAATAATTTATTTCAGGCACTGCTCGGTTTCTGTTACTGGGCATTGTTCTATGGCTCCACCTCTTTCAAAGGATTGGCCCAGTGATGTACCTTGCAGGTTCAACTTTCTCCCTGGCTATTTGTGTCTGATCTTCTAATGTGTCTTTATTATTTTCTCTATGGGAAGTGGGTGGATGAATTGGTGTCCTACCTGCATTCATTTTGTTACTGGTATTGAGTTTTCTTGGCACCTTTTTTCCATTTCTCCTCTTCTTGTCACTTCCTCTCTCTTCGTCATTCCCCTTCTGTTTCCACTCATGTGGTCCTTTTGTCCTTGAGCGTTTTTTGACTGGCATCTCATGCCGAATACTGTCGCTTTTTATCGTGCAGTTCTGGTAGAACCAATGCTGATTGTGTTCGGCATCAGTACTGTATTTCCTCGGTGCTGTTTTGGAAGCGGTTTCATGCACTGTTTTACCTCCAGCCTGCTTATGCACTGCCTGAACACTTTTGGTCCTTGGATGATGTCCTTGGTTTTTTTCTTTTCAGTTTTCCAGTGTCTCCCTTCAGTCCGAGAATTTTTTTTCTATGGCAGTTTTCCTATTGGTGCTTTCTTCTAGTTGCAGCCAAGAATGTTGAAACTGAGAAAACCTAGCTCATTATGCAGCAGCTGCCTGAAATGCCTCAACTTTAGAGGTAGGATCAGAGAGGATCAGAACCCATTAGGAATAAATGTAAGGGCACGAGCTTGTTTCTACTCGTCCCTACTAAAAATGGGGGGTAAATATAACAATCTCTATAGGAATAAGTAAGCCCTCTTCAGAGGACTGCAATACAATGTTATGCCAGGTTTTCAGGACATGTCTTGTACAGAGCTCTTACCTCATACCATAAGTTATTAGTACACTGTATAGGGTAAAAACACCTTTTAAAATAATAGCTTCTTAAATCACACAGGGGTTTATTTCTGTGGACTTAAGCTTAGAGGTACAAAATGCATCTGGGGCATGACTGTAAGCACTATTGAACAAGGGCATTACCAATGATTAATAGTCCCACAAAACTTGGCCTTAATCAACAAAAAAGTAAACTCTAAAACTCCACTTATTTATACTTTAATGTGGTACACTTGAAGAGTGTTCTTACTTGGTTCTAGTCCATGGTTATCTCTACCTTACACTGGAAATTACACATTGTGGATAAACAACATTTAACAAACCACTTGATCCAGAATACCAAAACATAAGTTTATCACAGTCTACATAAAAGACAGAGAACTGCACACAATTGCCAGCCGCCACTCGGACATAAAAATAAACAATCTTATACCTAACTAATTTGTATGACAGTGCCACTACCTATTGGTAGTGGTTGCTTCTTACATCAAATGATGCAGTAAATTATATACAAAACCAATTAGGATATGTAAACAATATGAGAATTCCAAAGTTTATTTAGCATCATAAATGTGCCATTGATAACATTATTGCACTAGACTTGCCAGTGAATCAGGATATAATTAAATGGGTGAAGGTGATGTGTGGAAATGTTGTAGTCATGTGATGAAGACCTATCAAATGAGGATTTGTGTCATCTTAAGATTGAACAAATTTCAGTGAAAATGATTGATTCTTTTAATGAATGGACACCTAACCCAACTGTGAAACTTAGCAAAGCTAGGAAACGTATCAAAGTCGGATTTGCCATATATTCTCAGAAAGATACTACCCAAAATTTTTTATGCTGCAGTGAATCATTGGATTCATGAGTAGATTTCATGTTACAATGAGCTGTACCTTTAAAAATAGAGGCAAGCTTCGCTAGAATACAAGTACAGTATTTCTTGACTCCATTCATAAGAGCCTACATCTGGGGCTACAATCTCTCCAGCATCAACCACAAGTGGTGTTAGTATCAGAGCCACAAGATTCACAAGATGATGATGCCACTAATGCCCCATGTTGGCATACCTAACATTTTCTCCAAGAAATGCAATATTAATGACAAGCCCCTTCAAGAACTTTGGTTTTTCATGTGGCAAGTACATTGTGCTACATTATTATAATTTACACATTTTATAACTACCTGCTTACTAATATGAGAAATAGTTTTACTTATGAGATGCTAGAAGGATTGGTATGTGTAATTTTTTTTCTCCAATCAGGTTTGGGTAGATGGGAGGAGAGGAGAAGGGTGGGATGGTAGAGTCTGGAAATGGAAAGAAGGAAGTGAGTTTGTGAGATGGGATGGGCTGTGCTTACTAGTGCCTCTTAACACTTTCGCGCTCCGTGGAAACTCGCGGTTGACAGGGGGTAGGTGGCCCCTCCATGCGGGTAAGCGCGCGGTGACACCCAAATGTGTATACTCGATCCAGCTTTATCACCTTAATTCTCGTGCTACGTCGCTCGTTTTGGTATCATTGTGTTCGCAATTAAATTCTCTACAGGTGTGTATAAATATAATGTCCAAAAGCCTAGCGTGACTCCCAACAGCAAAGCGTAAAGTCGGCAAAAACGCACAAAATCAGTAACATGTGCATTCTCGTTCCATTTTTTTACCTTAATTCTCGTGCTACGTCGCTCGTTTTGGTATCATTGTGTTCGCAATTAAATTCCCTACAGATGTGTATGAATAAAATGTACAAAAGGCTGGAGTGCCTCCCCGCAGAAAAGCCTAAAGTTACCCGTGAACGAGCACCATTTTGTACATTGCACCCTAATGTTCAACTCGTTCAATTTGATAACATCAAATTTCGTGCTACGTCGCTCATTTTGGTATCAAATTGTTCGCAATAAAAAGGCGATTATTTTAAAACTAGTCCCAGAATAATAGAGCAATAACTGGATTTTTAACAAATATTTTAATTCTGGACGCTCATCATCACAAATTTATTTATATCTTTCCAGTGTTCTGACATAAATATTTGTGTTACATCTTTCATTTTGGTATCAAATTGTTCGCAATAAAAAGGCGCACATTTTAAAACAAGTCCCAAGATAATAGGACAATAAATAGAATTTTAACAAATATTTTAATATTCAGACCATAGACCTATTTATAATATTTCAAGTGTTTGGACATCAAGTTTCATGTTATATCTTTGATTTTGGTATCAAATTGTGTGCAATCTAAAGGCGCTTATTTTAAAACCACTACCAGATTGATCTGATAAAATTTAAATTTTTAAAAAATATTGTAATGAGTGACTCAGTATTGCGTCGTTGGAACACATTCAGTAGAAAAATGAGTGACGAATTATTCAGTCTGTGGAACGCGAAAGTGTTAATTATAAATGGTGGTCCTCATTATTTGTATATATTTTATTGATTTATTTATTCATTGTAAATTGACAACAAAATTTATTGGGTTTGGCAACACTTTTGGTATGAAAATGATAGTCTCAGAAAGTCACAAAATACAATTTTGGAACCGAGGTCAAAGAAGAGACGGAAGTTGAGTGATGTTATATCATGCTGTGGCAGCTGATACACACTCGCAATTGACAGTTGGAGATAGGGTGGGGGGGTTGAAATTGAATAGGTTGAAAACGTGTGATAGCCATTGTCCCATTTATTGCCAAGGGATTGCTCTGCCTTCTTACCTGCTTGCATGTAAACTTGTTTGCATGCCTAACTTCTAACCTGCTTGCATGCCTACTTGCTGATGTGTCTGGCTGGCTACCTGTATTCTGCCTTGGTTCTGCTGGAAGAGGAGCAGCAACAGTGCCTTTTAGGTGAATCACAATTATACTCATACAATACTGGTACAGCACTGTACTCGCCACTTCTTTATTCATTTTGTCTCTCACACACACATATTACCTAAGTGTAATTACACTTGGGTAATTACACCAGAAGGCAGGAGCCACTGCACCAGGCTCTAGGAAAATCCAGTTGCCTAAGTACAGTAATGTAGAACAGGTTGAGGACCGTGACTGGTGTCCTGTGACACGTGAAAGTGTACGGTATTTGAAAAGTAAATGAAATATAAGAAATGAGCAAAAGTGAGTGAAAAATTTGAATAGTTACAGTTGATATTACAAAACAGAAGCATGTCAACAACAAAGATGGCTGCCCTCACAGGGAAGGACAACACACCAACAGGTGAATGTTTCATAGGATTCTTGGCACAAGATATAATGATAGGTGATTTTCTTGGCAGGTTAGTGATTATTAAGGACTTGAAGCATTATGAAGAAAAAGTAATTACTGTAAATTAGAACAAAAAAATTAATGAACAAATCCACAAGGACCGTGATGAGGGTTCGAACCTACGCACAGGATCTACCATGTCGTGGTATAGTCGACTAAGACGCATCAGGGAACATTCCGTGCATAGGTTCGAACCCTCAGCCGTCGGCCGGCTGAGCCGTCGGCCGAGCGGACAGCACGCTGGACTTGTGATCCTGTGGTCCTGGGTTCGATCCCAGGCGCCGGCGAGAAACATTGGGCAGAATTTCTTTCACCCTATGCCCCTGTTACCTAGCAGTAAAATAGGTACCTGGGTGTTAGTCAGCTGTCACGGGCTGCTTCCTGGGGGTGGAGGCTTGGTCGAGGACCGGGCCGCGGGGACACTAAAAAGCCCCGAAATCATCTCAAGATAACCTCAAGATAACCTCATCACAGCCCTTGTGGATTTGTTCGTTGGGTATATCATGTTAATGTGATTTCAGTGTATAAGAAAAATAATGTCTCAAAAATGAGTTTTGTCATTTAAAAGGCAGTATTTTCCAGCAAGGTAAGGAAATTACTAGCTTGACTGATAAGATGATGAGACAGGAGGCACAAATCAAGGAACTGGTAAAAGAAAATGTGATATGGAAAGTGAAGGTGAATTTGAAGAAATTAACAGGAAAATACTCATATGGTGAACAACTCAAAGTAACACTACAGGATAAGGCAAACATGGAGTTAGGCAAGGAGAAGAAACATCAGAGTTCCTAAGAAACTAAGAGGAACTTCATACACAGCTCAAATAGTGGAGGTTAATAAAGGACTGGACAAGTGCTTTTTAAGGGGAAATTTGTGTGAAACTCTGGTTTGGCTTTGTTGCAAGCCCCAGGAATCCTTGAGGGTGCAGTAGTACCCCAGGTTGCAATTCTTTTACCATGTCGTGGCCTAGTTGTTTAGAATTTGCGTCTGGAAATGCCAAGTGCAAAGGTACAAATCCTCATCACGGCTCCTGTGGATTTTCTCACTGCAGATAGCGGTAGGTTCTGCGATCAAGATCCCCAGTAAGTTCTGTAGACTTCAAGAACAAGAGAACATAGGTTCCAACTAAGGAAACAAAGCTGACAATAAGACATTAGAAAGTTCACTTTTGTGAGCACTTTTGGTGGATGGATGTAACATTATATGAAGTGGTGGTAGTGTAGGCTAAAACCATCAGCAGTTTAAAAGTGTTATAGGACAGAATACTGAAACACCACGAGCACAGCTCTCATCCTGTAACTACACTTAGATAATTACCTACACACAGTATACTAAAGGATTCTGGATAGCTTTAACTTATATTAGGAAAAGAGAAAAAACATGTTTTAAATAAATACTAGTAGTATGTAGTACCAGTTGTTAAAGATTATCTAAGCTTGGAATTGAGGCTAAATATGCAATGAATGGGTCAATATAATGGTGACCAGAAATTCAGTGTTAAAAAGGAAAATGTGTATTAGGGATTACCTTGCAAGTAGTACGTACTTTGATGAATGACCCAACCTGTCTGATCTACTGTTGACATTTATCTGTGTAATTTAGTGCAAATGAACTTGCATTTCACAAAAAGTAGTATTTGATGACTGTCATTGTGCTGTGTGTGTGTGTCTTTAAAGATACATTCAGCAAGTATAAGCATTTATAATTCACAGGCAACAGTGTCCTATCATTGTCTTCAGCATCTAGTGAAATACTTAATAGCTGGGAGAATGAAAGTGACGTCAGTGGAGGATTGCAAGCTATTCTCCCTCATCAGGTGACAGACGCTTCTTCAGTGCTGCACCGCAGACAAGGTTATCATCCATATTACCACTGTGTTCTAAGACTACAAATTCAAATTTATTGGTATAATGTATCGTATAAATAATGCTGCATTTTAGCACTCTCCAAACATTGTATTTATTAAATTGGTTATTGTTTGCCTGAATGACCTTTGGGTTGCAACACTAGGCTCTGGACTTAAATACTAACACAATAATGGTAATTGGATATGATTTATGTTGAACTGATTACTTGTAAAAAAATGTACATTATAGTTTATAGGTTAGTCATATCAATCACTAGAAAAACTGAATTTTAAATGTGTAAACAAAACTTAGCTTTTGCTTTTAAACCCAAATCATAGGGCAACAAATAATTAATATTCTCTAATAAAATAATTTAATAAACTTTGTCTTTGTCACTTAGAAACAGCTACTGTTTGATCAGATTAAAGGCTGGAAAGTTTGAAAGTATTCAGTGTGTTATTTAAATTTCAGATATTTTTAGTAATTTTTAGGTTTTCAGTGAATATATTTTGGAAATGAGAGCTTACAAATAAATCTCTTGTATTCATTCTCTCTCTCTCTCTGTCCACAGCATCAGATTCGTGTGAAGGGCTGATTGGTGGATATTCATCTACATCTGGATCACCCGGCCGAGGTCATGAAAGATCATTGTCTGACGGAGGTCAGACTGGCTTACCTCGAGATACTGGAGACCGCACTGCAGAGAGAAGACTTGCTGCCACAACAGTTAAAAATATAATTTCAACTTTTTGGACTGCCTCTGCCAACTTAATGGTTGAGGTACTGTATTTTTATATAAAAAAAAATTTGCTTTTAACTCTCCAACTGCAGGCATCATCATTTATTGATTGTCTAGTGCAGTGAAGTCATCATCAAATGTCAATTTTCATTTTGTATCAGTGTTTGAATTCAAATTTTATCTACATAGCTCAATGGGATTTCCTAGCAGGCATGATAGAGCAGAAGATAATTTGGAGTCGGACTTCAGCTCTTGTGCTCTCGTCATGTTATAATCATAGCACTTACCTAGGCCTACATGAAGATCTTCACTGTATACATTTATTTTTTACTTTTGCATACAAATTTTTTACTTTTAAATCTATTTCATATAAAAAGTAAACAAAAACTTATTTTATTTGGCTCTCATCATAATTTAATGCTGACAAATACCAGAAGGAATGATTTATTGTTTGTATTTTCCATACGTTTGAATACAGGTGTACCTGTATGACCATAAGAAAAAAACAAGAAATATTTCACTTTATTTTCCATATTTTGGGTGACCATTTTGATGATAGCTGCACTTCGAGGGTCAAGTATAATTCATTGTATTTATATTGAGTAATAATGAGCCTGAGTGAAAGTTACGGGCAGGTAGATAAGTAATACTCTCTTGTGTAATGGTTCAGCATGAGGGACATGATGCCAGGTGTTTTATTGTGGGCCTTCAGTTTTAGATAGTGTGTGTTTTGTATTTGATTATTCATTTTATATTGTTGTCTAGGTGTAGGCCTACTGCCTAAATGCATATACTGTAGTTGGAACTCCCATTTTCTTTACATAAAAAACTGTTTTCCTATCCATATTAATTTCGGAACAAGACTGAAGTGGTACAAATTCGACACTGTCAAATTTACCCTCCTACATTTCATAAGATGAGAGCGAGGGTGCAATTACCTAAGTGTAATTACCCAAGTTTATCTACAGGATGAAAGCTACACTTGTAGTGTTTGGTCTTACCGGTACTCTGTCATATGAAGCTTTGAAACTAGTGACAGTTTTGGTGTCTGCCACCTTCTCACTTAACTTGATCTACACGTCTACCACTCTGTAAAAGTGAAATTTCTAGTGTTTTTTTGGCAGCTTTGTTTTCTTAGTTTGAACCTATGTCCTCTTGTTCTAAGTTACAGTTTTCAAAAATTGTCAGTTTTTTTGTTAGTTGCCAGTAACAATTCTGTTACTGTTTTGTACATAGTGATCATATCACCTCATTTTATTCTGTCTTCTCACGTTGGTGTATTTAACACCTCTGACCTCTGCTCTTGTTTTTCGGTTCTGTAAGCAATTTAGTTGCATGTCTGCACCTATTCCAGTTTACTGATGTGCTTCTTGAGATATGGGCACCAAGGCGCCTGACAGCTGGGTGGACAGCACTTCGGATTCATAGTCCTGAGGTTCCAGGTTAGATCCCTGGTGGAGGCGGAGACAAATTAGGCAAAATGTTTTTCACCCTGATGCCCCTGTTACCTAGCAGTAAATAGGTACCTGGGAGTTAGACAGCTGCTATGGGCAGCTTCTTGAGGGGTGTGTAATAAAAAGGAGGCCTGGTCGAGGACCGGGCCGCGAGGACGCTAAGCCCCGAAATCATCTCAAGATAACCATATTGTTGCCAGGAGGAAGACCACAGGTGGGACATCATTAACTAACGACAGGAGACTGGAGGCAAGAGAACTGAACGGGTGATCAGGCATGAATACATCAGTATAGGAACTGATAGTTAAGCAGCAGGCTTGGGAGGTGGGGCCAATTTCACAAATTTTTGATTGCTCGTTTACATTGTTGGAGAGTTCTTTTGGCTGTTTTGAGGCTGTGGTCTGATTTCTAACCAAGCAGTGGTCTGATTTTTAACCAAGCAGTAGTCTGATTTTTAACCAAGCAGTGGTCTGATTTTTAACCAAGCAGTGGTCTGATTTTTAACCAAGCAGTGGTCTGATTTTTAACCAAGCAGTGGTCTGATTTATTTCACTGACTTTCTGGGTGCCTTCCCATGATGATGGCAAACATGAATAACCTTGCATAACAAAATTTCAGTGCTACTGTTCCCTTGACCTTTCTGAGGGGAGGCCAGGTTCTGGCTCGTGGTCCTAAGTTGGCCAATAAGAACTCCGCTACTTTTTTAGGTCCAGATAAGTGCAGTCAACACAATCTATTTACTGTAAAATCTGTGGCTTTTTCATAGAAACTAAGTACAGTAGATTGTTACACAAGATCTTTCTGTTCAAAAAACCATACTGTCTGTGTTATTAAATAATTTCTCTCCAGGTGTTCTAACCATTTATTTTTAATTGTTTTTGTAGTATTTTGATTACCATGCTTATCAGCAGTATAGGTCTATAATTGTGTTAGGGTGTGTACTTTTGAGTTTTATTATTTTAATTATTTATGTAGTATAATTTATATATATACAGTATTGTGGTTCGTATAATGCTGTAAATAGTGTTGACCTTATCAATATAATTATTTCTTCCAACAGTCTCCATTTGGTGCTAATGAACACTACCTACTAATGCCAGAAGTAAAGATCCCAATAGTTGTATATGGAGATGAACCTTCTTCCATTATTGCTCATGCACTGGCTTCTCAGGAATATGATAAACAACTAACAGCACTCAAGAAGAGACTTAAAGAAATGCAAAAAGAAGTAATAGTACTTAGGTAAAATAAATAATTTCTTATTAACATTTTACTACTAATAAATATAAAAAACCTTTACTCTAGATTCATCTCTATAAGGCAAGTCGGGTAATAATGTCAGTTTTGTTACTAGCCATACATTTTCATGTATTTATTCAGTCAAATGTTGTTTTCTGAAATATTCACATTTGGTTGTCCACTGTGTTTTCTGGACAAGGATTATGAAAGTAAGGCAGATAGCATTCTCTACAACACTGCAGAGAACGTTATAATCAGTTCCTACTAGGTCGTAAAATAAGCAGTGGCATTGTTGGAGATAACCTCATTACAACCTAAAGTTTCAGTGCCAGAAGTTTGTTATTAGCGATCATTATAATTAATTATATGATGTCAGATAAACAGTAAAATCTAACGTAAAATATCTGTTGAGATCTGTTATACTCTCTGTAATCCTTTTGTGCTATTGCTCACAGGATGAGAATGAGGTTTATAATAAATAACTGCAAATAGGGTGAGTATGGGGTGCACAATATACTAGGAAATCACTGGAAGCAACAGTAAAAAAATGCAGGCCAACTGAGAAAATACCAGATCCTTGGCCAACAGAGAAGCCGGCCATGAAGCCAGGTTTGGGGGGGGGGGTTAGGACTAAGTCCACTGAAGACCTTAGAAAAAGTACACATTAAGCCCAAGTATCCCAGGATCAAGCTTTGCTGTAAGGCAATTTGATGCCCCCTAGCCAGGCCACCACTGGGGCCTATCATGGAAGGGCTGATGGTACAAACCCTGTCAACTTCCACACCTGAGAATGACATGGCAACAGAGACAAGGGGAGAGAAGGTGGAACCACACCGGCCAGAATGATGGATGGCACCAGAACTCGTACCCTGACTTGCAGTCACTGATAAAATAAAACTGGGGGTAGGCATCTGAATGACCTAGCCAGTAGAGGGTTTGCATATTCTATATTCTATGTCAATCTCAATGTTTCTAAGGAGATTGTCAAGGCTTGATGTGTGCATGATTTGAGCTTTAACTCTCACTTGAGCTAAATGCTCTCCTCCATGGCTCCTTATTATTAGTTTGGCCCTGCAGAGATGTTTGAAAAGTATCCTATGGTGCCAATACCCTGAGTGTTACCAAGTCTGAGTGTACGAGTTTGCCCCCTCCCCCCCCCCCTAGACAGCAGAATATTACTTTAGGGGGAAAATCAATTAAGTGCCCAAAAATACAATTTTCATGTACAGTACAGTGCACTTGAAGCTTGTTTTAGTTTCCTAGGATATGTCAACCTGAAGATACCTCTTGTTCAGTTACATATAAAGCATTTCAAAGCTTTTATTGTTACTCTTTAGGCATATATTTTGTCTTCGCTTGCTATTACTGCTTCTTAGATCATTATATTTTTTGTATCCTTTAAAGTTCACTAACATCCTACCTCACATGTTTTGACTTCAGTCTCTTCAAAACATTTATTTAGATTAGTTCTCAATTTTTCTATGTTGTACCCAGGCCTCTTCCCGCCATCCTCTTTCCCCTCTTCACCCCATCTCCCCCTCATCCCCATCTCCTTGGTCCCCTGTTCATCCCTTCCCTTGTCCTCACCCACCCATGGTCCATCCCCTCACCCCACCCCCTTCATCCCTCCCCTCATCCTCCCCCTACCCTTCATGCTTCTCCACACTCTTCATTAGTGTACACTGCCCTACCTTTCATCCCTTACCTTTTCCTTCCCTTCCTTTGTCTCTTACCTCCTCCTTTACCTCTGTCCCTTTCCTTCTCCTTCTCCCTTTGTCCCTTACCTCCTCCTCCTCCCCTTTGTCCCTTCCTCCCACCTTCCCCACCCTTCCAAACTTTAGGGTAATCACACCATATGTTTCACACTTGACTCCATGAAAATCATATGGAAGTGTTTATAATGCTAGTATTTTTAAAAGCATTTAACTTAGGCCTGCTCCTACCAGCCTTTGCCCATCCCATAACCCAGACCATTCCCCCTGCAAATTTGGGTGAGGCTGGCCCCAAATGTCTGGCCTCCAACTTTGGAGAGACAGACAGAAATTCTATCTTATAGATATCTTTTCCTTCCTTATTTAATAGAATCTATAAGTAACTTTCCTGGGTTAACAAAGTACTGTAATATTAATGTAATGTTTCACAATTGTCAGGTCAGGAGAAAAAGAGTTGCTGCCTCAAGTAGATGGGATAACCGAAATCTCCAGTGTTGAAGATTCCGAGTTCTGCATCTCTACTGCTGCTGCTACCGATTCAGAGAAAAATAAGTTGGCCAAGGACTTACACATAGAACTGCAGTGGAATGACCAGCATGCAAAGTTTTACTGTAAGGTCAGCATTTATCTTATTTCACATATTTAGCTCTTTGATTATTACTTTATATAATTGGTTTATCTTCCTGGTGCTAGGCAGCTTGTGTCCTGAATAACAGCTCGCCATGTGTGATGACTCTACTTGGTGTTTCGATACTTCAATAGCTACTTCTTATTTTCTTGGGCCCTGCCCTATTATGTTTCTATCTGGAAAGTTTTTTTTGTTATCAGTATTACTTATATATTCATTTTATTTTCTCCTTGTTCCAATCTATATTGCCCAGTTAATTCAGTCTTCATCTCCATTTTCATACATATTTTTTCACCAAAAGGATAGTGGAACTAATGCTTAACATTCATGGGGAAATGGAACTGAATTCAGTATACCTTTTAACCCTTTAACCCTTAAACTGCGCATGGCGTATATATACGCCCTGAGTAACATGTCCCATGGTGCGCATGGCGTATATATACGCCATAGGGTGCCAGGCCTGATTCAAATGGCCCGCGGCTACACGGGGTTCACAGTAGCTTCCTCAGGGCTCTTGTAAACAGATGCCATTTTAAAAAAAAATCGTGGGCAATATTCTCAGGTGTGAGAGGCACAGTACTGTTGGAGCAACCAAGGCCGGCGCACGCAGCATGAGCGAACAGCATTGATGTTCAGCTTGTGACCACAGCATCGCCGAAAAATGTCAAAATAAATATATAATTGTTATTATTTAGCGATGACAATATTACAGATGACCAATGACTGTGATATAAATAACCAGGGTTGTGATAATAGCAGGATTGTTGTAATAATTAGCGCTGTGGGAGGAGTGATGCTGAGAGACGGAGGGAGACAGCATCGTTTACTGACTGTGTGGCCACCTGTTATTGTTTGCATTCACCATACCAGGTCAGTGGTTCTCTATGGTGAACACAAATGTAGATACTTATATATAATGTGTGTATTAGTGTAATAACAGCAAAAGGATTATGCTGGGAGGAGCCATATGGGTGACGGAGGTGACGTCGTCTGCACGATTTGTCTAGCTGTTTAGAGGGTGGCCACTATGCTCTTTGGGCGCACTACAAGCTTAGGTGTACAGTTACGGTGCATAAAACATGTAGATATTTATATATAATATGTGTATATAGGGTAATAACACTGCAAAAGGTATTGTTGGGGGAGAAAGTTTAGTGCGTGTGACCTTGAATGAGTGAGGGAGCCGCCAGCCGCCATCTGTGTATAGCGACGACTCTTAGTGCCTGAACTAACTATATCAGCTTAGCTGTACAGTTGTGGTGAACAAAATATACACATACTTATATATAACGTCTGTATATAGTGTAATAACACCACAACTGGTATTGTTGGGGGAGAAAGTTTAGTGCATGTGTTGAGGGAGTGGCAGCGAGTGGCTGGCTGGTGTGTGGCGGCAACTCTTCGTTGCTTTTCGACTCTCAATACCAACTTAGTGGTTCGTTATGGTGACCAAAACATGCCAATACTTATATATAACCTGTGTATAGAGTGTAATAGCAGCAAAACTATTTGTTTATAGTTTTATAAACATAATAATTGAATCACTAATATGCACATCATACTTTTGAGTATAGCGATTATTAACCACTTTTATTATATAAATATATTACAATACACACTATTGAATAATATTACTGCAAAAAAACTAAGAAAAAATCAATCGGAGACATTGAAACAATTAGGTAATAATATCTTTGTGGCAACTCCCATCTGTCAACGCGGGTGACGCTGACCGGGTCTGACGAACGCTCTGTCAACGCCCACTTTTTGCCAGACTTCCTCGGTCAATTGCGCCCAAAATATGTCACCTACGATTTTTTTTTTTTTTTTCCGTGCTCAGGGGACACAAATTAACATGTTTAGAAGACGAAAAAATTTTTTTGAATTTTTTTTTTCTTGCGCACAGGGGTGTAAATGTCCCAAGGACCCCTGAGCAGTGTAAGGGTTAACTGCGCGGCCTATAAATATGACACCCCCCAGTGCGCAAGAAATAAATTCTCGGGAAAAAATTCTTTTTAGTTCTGAAAGTGTCAAAAACCCCTCCCTGTATATGGGTATAGCAACAGAATTTCGAAATTGTACTTACTTTGGCTGCTATGGGGTCCATAAGGTGGCGTGTGACGTCATCATTCCCTGTGCGCCTGTGCAGTAAGCTCCCGGGGCCAGTGGGGCGCCTGGGGCGGTGCGTGCGAGTTGCCGTGAATATATATTTGTTCATTTTTTTGCGCACAGTTCCAAATACATTTTATTTGTTTTTATGCGCTAATCCTATGTATAATGAACACATACACTATATTATGGCAGTAAAACATCCGTACTGTCCAAGGACACTGTGTTACGTGCATGACACTTGTGCACACACATGTTGCACATATTTACCATGTATCATGCTAATTTATGTATATATACAATCTATTTACAGACTATACACTGTCACACACTATATACATTCACCATCAACACATTCAGAACACTGCGAGTGAGAGCTGTCACACCCAGTCAGCCCTCCCTCCCTCACTTCTCCAACATTGTATTTGCCAACTTTGCCCCTCCCATCATACAGTTATTCACACCAATGTTTCATGTTCATTTATGTATATTTACAACATATGTACACACTATACACTGTCATACACTATATACATTTACCATCAACACATTCAGAACATCGCGTAGCAGCTGCCTCCTATGGGCCAATAGCAGCTGCCTCGTATGGGCCAATAGGAGCTGCCTCGAATGGGTCAATAGCAGCTGCCTCGTATGGGCCAATAGCAGCTGCCTCGTATGGGCCAATAGCAGCTGCCTCGTATGGGCCAATAGCAGCTGCATAGTATGGGCCAATAGCAGCTGCCTCGTATGGGCCAATAGCAGCTGCCTCGTATGGGCCAATAGGCCTTCTGCAGTTACCTTTGTTCTTATGTTCTTAGCTCCTCTCAACATACTCCTGTTGCTGTTATTACACTATATACATACACACACTGTATATACCCATGTACATGTGTGTTCCCCATAGCGAACCACGAAGCTAGTATGGTGAGCAAAACAAGAGTGGCTGCCACACAGTGAGGGTACCTCAATTCTCTTCCTCCCTCACCACAATTCCTCCTTCCACAATACTACGCTCAACGCTAATTATAATCTAATCCTGATCACTAATTCCTGTAAATGAATAATTGACCACAAGTTTATTTTGAAAAGGAACCTAAAAAGTCGTTTGAAGAATCCTAGATGGACGAAATAATGCTGTGGTGCTGTGGCTAGCACTGTGAACATTGTAAACAGCATTGAATCACTGATATTTGAACATTGTACCCAGTCATTATCACACTCAGGCTCTTCTATAATACTATCATGGCTAAATAATACAAGTTATATATATATATTATGACATTATTAGGCGATGCTGTGGTCACACGCTGAACAGCAGTGCTGTGCGCTCATGCTGCAAGCGCCAGCCTTGGTTGCTCACTCACTACTGAGGCTCCCACACCCGGGAATGTGGACCACGATTTTTTTTAAAGATGGCGTCTGTTTACAAGAGCCCTGAGGAAGCTGATGTGAACCCCATGTAGCCGCGGGAGTTTTGAATGGAACGTGAAAAATACAAATACCCGGAGGCGTGTTGCGCACCTGAAGCCAGGGCCTGCAGGCGCGTTGCGCAGTTAAAGGGTTAATCATAGCATATATACACTAGCCTTGTTATATTGATCACAATATAATGGAGTAATCAGCAGCCTAATGAAACCACTGAGCACCTGACAGAGAAACCAAGCAACCACTTGGAGAAGCCCAAAGAACGTAGTGTACAAACACCCCACTCCAAAGTGAAAGGGAAAAGAATGAGTTCAGTGGAAGGCCAATACCCTGGAAACACAAACCGAAACTATCTCTATTTTCCGCTTGTTACAACTTGTAATAAAGTTGTTATATCTTGGCTTAACGTGTTTATGACGTATTAGAACGTTGTTACAACTTGCTATATTGGTTGTTATAACTGGTTAGGAAGTATTAAACCTTGTTCGAACGTTGTACCAACATCGTAGTTTCAGTGTGTGTTTGGCGGGTAGCCAGCAAAGAGTCAATGGAGCCCTGCAACAGACCCCACAAGGCTGAAAGGTCAAAACAGAAGATCAGGAAAACCCTAAGCTAAAACACAACCCAGAAGAAAACCAAAAAGGCCAAGACCCCCAATTCCCCATACAGCTGATGAGCACCATCCAAGGTCCCAAGAACTCAAGAATGTGCAGGAGTACAGCAAACTACACAAAACAGCATGCATAATTATTTATTTATTTATTTATATATACAAGAGTTCTTACATTCTTGTACAGCCACTAGTATGCATAGCGTTTTGGGCAAGTCCTTAATCCTATGTTCCCAGGAATACGACCCTGCGAAAGATCGTTTTAACAACCAAGTACCTATTTTATTGTTGAGTTAAACAGAGGCTACAGTTAAGGATTTGTGCCCAGTAAATCCTTCCCGGCCAGGATACAAACCTAGGACAAAGCGCTCACGAAACGCCAGGCGAGCGTATTTAACCACTACACCACGGGTACTGCAAATACAACATCTACAACAGACACCACCACAGGATGAACTGATCACAAGGAAAGAAGGACAAGACAACAAAAACACATACGCAAAAGCCTCTTAGCCACAAAAACAGCATAGCTGGACCCAGCATCAGACAATATCTGGGAACGCAAGCTGAACCAGAACCTGTTTCCTTGTAAAACAGGACAAGGAACTTGACTGAAGGCCTCAATCAAAAACCAGCCAGGCACGCATCCATGACGGAATCATCCAGAGCCTCTCCCCAAGTGACCAGAAATGTAATCCAGGTCAGCGGGGAAAAAACCAGACCCTCGCACTCTGCAATGGAGAAAATCCACGAACACACCAAATAAGACTCCAGAATGCAAAGAAACTGAGGAGTACCCACACAAGGGTCCAGAGAAGGACAAAAATGAAAGAAGACAAGGAAACAAGTAAAGAGAAATATAATATAGCAAGAATGAGGAAGTAAATCCCCCATCATATCCATCTGTCTAGAAAGCAAAGCTAACAAAGTACATGCATCAAATAGGAAATGCCCCAGGAGGAGGGAGGAGGCACAAACAGTCTAGGTGAGAAGCATCAGAACCACCACCAAGACCCACAGCTTGCAGATACGCAGACTGGCTGAAAGCCCAAACCAGTGTCATCGAAGTTGGCCAGATGCAGAACAGCATCCACCAAAAAGGAGAATCATGCCTGCATCAAAAGGAAGAACCACAGGGCCAGGAAAAGGGAAACCAAGAGGCTTCTTGCATGACAAAGAGAAAGGTCGGAAGGTTAAGGGAGAAACCTGAGAAAAAAAGGGATGCCATCCAAGAAGAGAAAAATTTACCTTAGGGCAGGAGAGACCCACACAGAGAAGGGAACAGAACTGGAATTCACTGAGAGCAAGGGTAAACCTGAACCATTCATTGTCTGACTAAAAAAAAAAAAAAATAAAAAAAAAAAAAAAAAAAAAAAAATAAAAAAAAAAATCTTCAGCAGAGATGCTATCCCCGAACCTACTAAACAGCCAACCAAAAGAAAAAACCAACACAGCTGAGGGTGAAGGGAGCATCCAAGGAGCCACCGAAGCCCAACCAGACAGGTGCGTTTCATTACATACTGGTTTTTCTAAGAAGGCTCCACAGTGGCTCTCTGTTGCTATCTCACCACAGAAAGCAAAAATAAAAGGGGAACACAGCAGGGGTGGAAAAGAGCAGAAGCCAGGAAAAACCCTGAAAATCCAACAGAAACTGCTGCAAACACCTGAACAATATCGGGCAGATTAAAGCCTGCTGCTGGTCAAACAAAAGAACTCGTGGAAGAACCAAGATGTCCAATCCCAGGAACAAAGGACTAGAAAAAAATGGAACCACAAACAAGGGAACCCCCAGAACCAAACTCTACCAATAGAAGCAGCTGACTCAACAGAACCAGAAAAAAAATGGAAAAAAGGCAGCAGCAAGCAAGCAAGCATCTACCAGGGCCAAAGGAAGAAATACAGAACCCAACAAAAGAACGTGAAACTAAGAGAAACAAAGGGCAGGAGAAATGAACATATAAAAAAAAAAAAAAATGCTGCTGCGACAAAAATAACCACCAGCAGACCCATGTACAGCAACAGACCATTCCCCCCACCATTTCCCAGCAGGAACAGACCCCAACAACAGAAATCATAGCAAAGAAACCACAAATGACACAACTGCCACCAAAAAGTATGAAAATGTAGCCACCCCCTGAAAAGACAATTAGGGAAAAAGGGGAGCAGACACGAACAAAAGTAACCAAGCCGACATTTGAATCACAGCCCCATTGATCAGGTATCACTTGGAGGTGTTTATTAAGTTTTCTTTTGAACACAGGCAATTATGTCCCTTATGTTTAGAGAGTGTTGGAAAATCTTGGGCCTTTGATATTGATACCTGTAGTTCGTTCGCAACATACCTATTGCGCCTCTGCTTTTCAGCGAGGATATTGTACACTTCCTGGTCTTGTGTGTTATTTCTGTGTGTAGATTTGGAACGAGTCCCTCTGAATAATTTCCAATTGTAAATAATTATGTATTGCTCCCACCTGCACTGTAGAGAATGCAGATTTAAATATTTTAAGTGGTCTCAATAATTTAGATGCTTTATTGAGTGGATTCTAGCAGAAAAGATCTTTGCACATTCTTCCTCCCCCCACCCCCAAAAAAAAACAGGAGGGGAAGTTTGTAAGCCAGAGTGGGGTAACGAACCCCCAACCCCAACAGGGACCCAAACCCCAGAAGTTAAATTCCATGAAAGAAAGAAAATACACTAATGTGCATGTGCATAGGTATCTACTGAGTTAGCAGGAGTTTTGAAAAGTACACTGATAAGCCCATTACAAAGGTCCCCTTTCCTACAAAGAAGTAACAACAGGGTGGGATGAGAAGCTAATGAGGGCCACCCAAAAATTGGCAGTTTATTACACTGAACACTATATTTCTATGCTGGCCCTTTGAACTCTTCAAGTGCCTACTCACAAGGGGGTAACCTCATAGAGGAGAACGACTCTGCTGAAAGAAAACACACAGTTAAAAGAGCAGTTAAGAACAAGAAAAGGGCTGACCCATACAGGAAGTAGGTTGAAGACCACTTTGTCCAAAATGACAATGGAATTTTACTCGAGGGAGCAGCCAATTTTTATTTATTTACAAGAAGGTACATTGGGTTGTGAGAGTACATAACATTGGTGTTTGAACATTTCATTCTTGCAAAGCCACTAACATGCATAGCATGTCTAGCAGGTCTTTAAGCTAACTGTTAAATGTAATGTAATGGAATTTTAGAGTCATGTTGATCTTTTTAAGACTTGTTTTGAAATCTTGTTTACCAGCTGTGATTCTATTAACCTAACAGTTAACATGTGTAGATAAGTTTTTCTGTGTTTCATATTCCTTTTTGGGCCTCTGTCTCCATCTAGCCCATTGCTTCCACCATACAAGCGCTTTTGGATTAGATTTACTAGACGTTGGTGTGTTGACAGCAGTATATTATTGGTTTGGGCAGTCTTTCAAAGTACAGTACACTGTACTGGTATTGTATTCTGAGTCAGCTAAGCTACATAGTAATTCATTAGTAATTTTTTTTCTTTTAAGATGTTCTTTGCCGAGCACTTTCGACAACTCCGTAAGATGGTATTTCCTTTTGGAGAAGAATTTTATATACGTTCTCTTTCCCGCTGTATCCTCTGGGAAGCACGGGGTGGTAAATCTGGATCGGTCTTCTGCAAATCACATGGTATGTCAAAATATTTGTTTTGGAGTCTTTCAGTTATAAAATATTGCCTTAATTTTTATCTTTAAATATTTTATTATAATGCATGATATCTTGGGAAATTGTTAAAATTGTAGCCATTTGAAATAGAAATCTCACAGACATGTCATTATTGTGAATATAACGTATAAATATGATATGGAGTAATTAGTATAATGGAATGAGTAAATTTTAGATGTAAGATAGTCCTGTCTCAAGTTAATGTTCAATTTTGTGTATGTAATTATTTTCTTATCCTGTGGGGCTTAGCTTGCTAGGAAGTCTTCAGATTGTACCTGCCTTCTTGAGATCTATACAGGTCTACTGGATTCAGGATCAAAATTTGTGTATCAAAACTATCCTATGTTTGAAAGAAAAAATGAAAGAAGGAAAATAATGTGGATAGTTTTCCACAAGATGGCAGGCAAGGCCTTGTGATGTCCCAAAACATTAACTGCCTCATATGGCAGCTGCCAGTACCAAACCCCAAAACCTAACAAGGAGAAAGAAATGATAGGGTAGGAATGGGATGCTATTGAGAGCTGACTAGAAAGGGACAATTCATTACATTCAGTGTTCGATTCCTGATCAGGCCACTTAAGTAGCTCCTCAGAGCTCACTCACAATGACACCTCAGAGAGAAAGACAACTTTGCCACAAAAAAAAAGCAGTGAATGTAATGAAACTGTCAAGGAACATGCAGAGTGAGTGGCAAAATCATAAACCTGACGTGTAAATATAAAATAAGCACAAAGCAGTAGACCTGCATGGAATAATTGCTCCAGGTAACACCAACACAACTTGCCTTTGAAATACAAAGAAGTCCCAGCATCAACTTCATGGTACCAGCCATGCAAGTGAGGTGTCCTTGTTGGTTTGGGGGCTGTAGTGGCAAAGGTGCAGTAGGTGCCTGGGCGTACCTCTGAAGGGTAAATCACAAAGCCGTATGGTTAAATAAACATCGCCCGTCAATGGAAACAAATGTGCCTTGTGGAGAATAAACACTGATGGTCAGATGATTGGGGGTCATCTTGCCCTCCAAGAGTCCCTCAGGGAGGGAAGCACTGGCTCCTACCCCACACAACACTGGGTAGCCAAAGTAAAAACAATGGCATTCTTAAATTGAAAAAAGTCATTCAGTGCCCTTTGGCAGAGCAGAATCCAGCCCCCACCATGTCTGAGGGCACACTGGAAACCCACCAAGAGTCTCCCTGTTCCTCTCGGCCAAGCCAGGGCCGGACACCGTCTCTTTGCCTGAAGGACCAGCCGGAACATGTTCAAAATCCATCAACTTTCCTGTGACCCCAGGCAATATGTGTACCAGGCATTGTAACAATCTGGACCACTGAATAGGAATGCTAGACAACAATATCATAACACTATTGGTAAAATTGCATAACTGAACATGAACCAGCAGCCCCTAGGTGGAGCAGGTGTCCAGAAGTTTGCTTGTTACAAAGGTTTGCTCGTTACCAGTAGTCCTGTGAGTGAGGTGGTTAGTGCATTAGGACCCCAGGTAGCTTAGGCTGCCAACCAGAGGTGGCCAAGCAAGTTGGAACAAGGGTTGTTCACTCGTTGAAAACTATCATTTGCATTGGTCTTTTTTTCTTTCGCCTCTTTTTTCTTTTAATCATCAGTTTGTTTTGGTTTGCCTAGCCTTTCTGGTTAGTTTTCCTAAATTTTTGGCATTGTTCTCTGATTCCCTATTCTCCCTGTGTCTTGTTGAGAGAACTAGAGTCTAGTCCTGCTTCCCAGTAGATCTTAGTCTCAGAGGCCTAGTACATCCAGAAGGCTTAGTGGTTCCAGTACTTAAGCTCAAGAAGGCAGCTGTGAATCTGGCCAGAAATTGCCTTTTGAAATTTATTACAACCAAGGGTCTTTGGTTAAATCTCCAGGCAGGTCAGAAATGGTTAGGAACATTTCCTTTCACTTAATGTTCCTGTTCACTTAGCAGTAAATAGGTAACCAGGAGTTGCAGCATTGTAGTGAGTTGCATCCTGGAAAAGGTCAGTAGTTGGCCTAAGTACAGACTTCTTGTCCCAGACGATGTGTAATCATATGTTTATAATTAATTAGCCGGCTTATGGAATTCTGTAACATATTCACATTTGTTTTTATGCAATTTCCAGAGATGTTTCTTAAAAATGTTTTGTAAGAATATGCTGTGAAAATTGCTCTGTACAAAGGACTTTGTTTATCTGATACAAAAATAGCAAGAGTCAGATTAGGAGGAGGCTTATAAACAAATAGCAAGGAAATAATTTAGGTTATGAAAATTAGTATACAATACTAGCCATGTTTTTATTTTTTCAGATGATCGTTTTATTTTGAAAGAAATGTCACGCTTTGAGATGAGCTCATTTCTTGACTTTGGGCCTGCATATGTACAGTATATTGTGAATTGTGAGAAGGAACAGCAGCCAACCATCTTAACAAGGATTGTAGGTAAGTTATCATGCACAAAATACAAAATATGAATAGAGCATTAAATAGAATGAAAGTCCTTTCTCAGTGGTCCATTGGTTGCTACCTTAGCGAGGACCATAGGTCCGCCCAGTCTCTAGTCAACTTGGAACACCACCATGACAAAGAATTTAAATGGTCTTGTCACATATCTTAGGAGCACTGAAAGCATTTTGAGCATACTGTACCTCCAATTCACCACCAAGAGACTGATTGCTAAGACACCCAAGAGACACATTGCTAAGACTATTGTATCAGTATATTGTATCAATATATTGATACAATATATTGTATCAATATACTGATGCAATATTCATATCAACAGCTCAGTCCATTCCACACTACCTAATAATCAGCATTGGTACTGCAAGGATAGCTACTTATAGTTCTGAAGTTATATAACTAGCAAAATTCTCATAGGCAAACTACTTACTGCACTGGATGCCACCAGGAGGTGAAAGACCCCCCACCTTCAGGGCTAGTCCATCCAAATGCACTCGGGGGGAAGATGTGAATTAAAGGGTGGGAACAGCAAATTAATTGCTCAGAAAGGAGTGCTTCATTCCACTCACTGCAGTATTTCTGAGCATGACCCCTTCAGTTGCTATCTCAGTCAGCTCCCAGTGGTGCATAAAACTATGGAATTTAACACAAAGTGAAAGGGGGACTTGCCCAAGAAAGCACTGCAAAGATGATGAGACATGTAATGCTGATGTGATAACAAAACTGAGGATGTTTTAATTGGTGACTTGGCCCATCCATTGGATCATTCTCTCCTTAGAATCGAAAGTCCTAAAAGCAAGAGATTTACAGGAATGGGGTTGCTTAACATTTAGTCTGAACTAGGGCTAGCCACTGATTAAGTGGTCTGCTAAAAGACTTGGCTGCATCTAAAGGTGAGGTGATGTCCTCTCTTTGAGCCCTAGATTATTTAGAGATGCCTCCCACAACTCTCCCTCCCCCCCCCCTCCCCCCTCACCATTTGTTCCAAGAAATGCAACACTTGGTACAGTATTTTTTTTGTTTGTATGGATAGGACTACAGTTTCTTATAGTGGCTGCAAGTTTGTGTGATTTCACAAGCTTCTTCACATGTTCACTTTCATAGGAATTCCCCTCAACAACACTACATTGTACTCCAATAAATATACTAATTCTCTGAGTTGCATTATACAAAAAATACAACAACTCAAAATTAAATTATAACCATTTGTTGTATAACCTATCTTAAAAAAGTTGCAAGTCATTTAAGTAAAGTTATTGTAGTACTACTGTACATTGTTGTAAAATAAAGCTCCATATTTTTTCATAAAATAATACAGTATTAAATATTTAAAGGCAATATTTTGCACTTTTAAAGGATGTTCATTATCTCAGGCATTGAAATATTATTTTCAATAGGTGTTTATCGAATTGGTTACAAGAACACAACCACTAATAAGGCCCAGCGTATGGATGTGTTAGTGATGGAGAATTTGTTCTATCAGCGCAACATCACTCACAAATTTGACCTTAAAGGATCAATCAGAAACAGACTTGTGAATACTTCTGGGAAAGAGGTAAGACTTTTTTTGAAAGTTTTTCTGTGCTGTGTATGATATATTTTATGGTAATGCTATTCGTATCTGTCTATCAATCTATACAGACCCTTGGTCCCCAAGGTGAATGTCCAAAACAGAAGATCTTCTGTGCTTTCTTGTATAAATAAGACCTTCCCATGTGATCTTCCCATCCTATACTAATCCATTTTCCGCTGTAAAGATGTTGGTTGCCTTCATACAGCCTTAACTCTTGCTGCTTCACACCTGTCCCAAGTTGGAACAATCATTATTCTCTCTGCATGGCCAAATCATCAACCGGGTATTGCTCCTAAACTACTCCGTAAACTGGTCTCCACACCTTGCCTAGTTGTTTTCTATATCATTAATAATTTCTGTTTACTGTACTTCCCTATTGTTTAATTCCTTTGTATTAATTTGATAGGTATTGTATTTTGTAATGGGTAATTACACCTGCCTGAACTCTATGCACACATGAACAAATTCACAAGGGCCGTGACGAGGATTCGAACCTGCGTCCAAGAGCATCTGTGTCTGTGTCCGAGATGTCTATGCACACATCTTAGTCTGTTTCTTCATGTCATTCCTTTCAGCCAAAGTAAGAATGAATACTGTAAGAGTTTGGTAATCTGAATTCTAGTATCCCAAATCTGGAGGTAATCCTCATGAATTCGTATTCATCACGTGTGGGTAAACGGTGAGGGGAAGGCTTCATTATTGAGAGGGCGACCACGGGTATTGCATGCTGCTGCAGGTCACAGCACCACTGTGCAGCTTGTACCCATAGCATTATTTATTTCATCAATAATAAGTAAATACTGTAACTGCGATTATTTTGCATTGATAGTCATTGAAGATCCTGACTGTGATAAAGACTATCTATAAGGTTCAGATATCAGTGAACACAAAGCTGGTTATGATGTTCACAGCAGGAGGCAGACATTTACAGCATACAGCTGTGGTTTTGTGCATCTACTCATTATGAAAGGTGACCCAATGTTCCTTTACAAAATAAACTTTTGGAAAATGATTCACATTGATGATTTAGCAACAGGAATCTGATGATAATAGCATTGTTGTGGTTAATGTTAGTGATGTGCCTATTACATTGGATGCATTTTGCTGCATCAGGTGCTGTTATCTGTTTGGATTGTCTGCTGATAGCCTGTGTTATTATACTGTGCTTGGATTTTATTCCACACCCACCAGAACAGCTTAGTAGTTTGTTATGGTGCATAAAGGAGGACATAGCTGCTTTGGAGAAAGTTCATCACCGGGCGACAAAAACATTCTAGAACTAAGTCAACTATCGTACCAGGAATGGTTAAGGGCCTCAGGGCTAACAACACTGTAAACGAAGCATGACACTGTGGATCTCATTGAAACCTTTAAAATGCTGAACAATTTTACTTTTGGGGGATGTTGATCCAGAAAATTTCTTTAAAAGGTCTGGTGTAACACAAACAAGGAGCACCAGTTTCAAGGTCAAAAAGCCACAATGCAGGACTGATAATAGGAGATGCCTTTTCACCCACAGGGTTATAAACCCATGGAACTGCCTACCTGCCAAAGCTGTAATTGCCAAAATTCCTAACTTAAAATCCAGTTGGAAAAAATTATCAAGGCACATGGGAGGACCTTTGATAAGCTATTGGCTTCCTGTCCTTGTCGACACCACTAGTGTTAGTGACCCTCGGGTAAATTCAGGAGAGTAAAAATGTAGATAGGTATATATGATGTGTATATATAGTGTAATATGAGCAAGAACTGTATGTTTTATTGCTCAAAGAATATAATATTATGCACATATTAGTGACACACACATCTGTGTGGGGCCCATGTTCTGCAAGTGCTGTAATACAAATAACATTGACACCCCCCAATTCATCATTGCAATTGGGAAAACAAAGCAATATCGATTTAAATACGAAGAAAATATAATATGTACAACACGTACTCTTACAACATTGTGCAAGGTGTATGGTGCTAGGCTGACCTTGGAGCATGGTTTTGAGATGGTCACTTCCACCAGGTCTGCTTAGTAGTTCCAAACAGTACATGAATATGTTGATTGATATACATGTGTAATTTTATTATTCAAAGAATATAATATTGTTCACATATTAGTGATACAAATATATGTGTGCATATCTATGATCTACAATTATGAGATACAAATGACAATATTGTCAGCCCAGTTAATCATTGCACTTACAAAAAAAATTGTAATACATAATACATTCGAAGAAAATTTAATAGATTCATTGCATACAGTTGCAGTTTCTGGCAAAACATGCAGAGCTAGGCTGAACTGATAACTGGTTACAAGATTATTACACCCACCAGAAACTCCTTTCTGGAAGTTTGTTTCTTTGGTGAGGGTAATCATGTATCTTCTGCTCCCTGTGTCTCTGTAAGTGGGGCCAGGTTTTGGACTTTGGTCTCTGGTAGGCCTTTAAGAACTTACAAGGACTAATGTGATGTTTAACACAGTAAGTTACTTCACTGAGTAAGTATGAAGTTCTCGGTGCAGTTAGCTACAGGTAACCGCTAAGGCAACCCCACCCCTCTACCCCCCTCCTCCCCCAGAAAGAGGTATTTCATTACATTTAACGCTAGCTTTGTTTTTATTTTTTTAAATTGGTTTTATTCCTGAATTTGTACTCTCTTGTGACACTACAGTTTTTCAAATTCTTCAGGGACGTCTTAAGAAGCCACCCTTAATTTTTTACATCCTTCACACTTTGTTTAATTCAAGCACTTACAGCCATAAATTCACTCCTAAATGTTTCCCGTTTGCTGATATTTAAAAGCTGTATGTGATATTGTTTGCTAAAGAAACAATATTTCAACATCTCTTATATTTTAGGAATCTGAATTGGTGCTGCTCGATGAAAATTTGCTGAGGATGGCATGTTCTTCCCCACTGTATGTAAGACCTCACAGCAAGACAGTGCTAAATCGAGCCATTGCTGCAGACACGGCATTTCTCTCACAGCAACTCATCATGGACTACTCCCTTCTTGTTGGCATTGACAGTACAGCTAATGAGCTCATTATTGGAATAATAGGTTTGTAACAAATATACTTTTAAATTTGTTTATTATTCATTTGTTCTTTGCTGATTTCACATGGCTGGCAGAGGCTGTATAAATGACACATCTTCTTGAGGTTATCTTGAGATGATTTCGGGGCTTTAGTGTCCCCGCGGCCCGGTCCTCGACCAGGCCTCCACCCCCAGGAAGCAGCCCGTGACAGCTGACTAACACCCAGGTACCTATTTTACTGCTAGGTAACAGGGGCATAGGGTGAAAGAAACTCTGCCCATTGTTTCTCGCCGGCGCCCGGGATCGAACCCGGGACCACAGGATCACAAGTCCAGCGTGCTGTTCACTCGGCCGACCGGCTCCCTTATTTTTATTATATATATATATATATATATATATATATATATATATATATATATATATATATATATATATATATATATATATATATATATATATGTATATATATATATATATATATGTATATATATATATATGTATATATGTATATATATATATGTATATATATGTCGTACCTAGTAGCCAGAACGCACTTCTCAGCCTACTATGCAAGGCCCGATTTGCCTAATAAGCCAAGTTTTCCTGAATTAATATATTTTATATAATTTTTTTCTTATGAAATGATAAAGCTTCCCATTTCATTATGTATGAGGTCAATTTTTTTTTATTGGAGTTAAAATTAACGTAGATATATGACCGAACCTAACCAACCCTACCTAACCTAATCTAACCTATCTTTATAGGTAAGGTTAGGTTAGGTAGCCAAAAAAAGCTAGGTTAGGTTAGGTAGGTTAGGTAGACAAAAAAACATTAATTCATGAAAACTTGGCTTATTAGGCAAAAAATCACAGGTGCATATTTTGGCCACAATAGGGCGGGAAAGTCTGGCAAAAAAGAGGCGTTGACAGAGCAAGCGTCGGAGTAGGTCTGCTCTGCCCGAACTGTCAGGCGGGAGTTACCACAAAGATGATATTACCTAATTATTTCAGTGTCTATTGATTGATTTTTTCTTTGTTGTTTTGCAGTAATATTATTCAATAGTGATACATTATTCAATAGTGATACAATAGTGATAGTGTGATATATTTATATAATAAAATGTGTGAACCAACTGTACATGGCTGGAAGAGGGGCACCATTAGCCTCGGAGGAAAGCACACACAATGCATTAGAAAGGATGTTTAGGTCCCCCTCCAGTTCAGTTTCTATGTTCTCTCTATACAACTAAGCTGGTATGGTTAATCAAGACAATAATTGAGGTCGCCACACAGTCAGCTGATGCTCCCTCCCTCCCTCGCCAACATTCCTACTCCCTCTATACTGTTTGTGCTGTTTTTACACTATATACACAGTATATATATATATATATCTACATGTTAACCATAACTGTACAACTAAGCTTGTATGGTGTCTAAACAACGTAGTGGCCACAGCAAAATTGCATGACACGAGACACACCAGCCAGCAGACACCTCTGTCACCTAAATTGCTCCTCCCAACATAATCCTTTTGCTGTTATTTCACTATATACACATATATAAGTATCTACATTTATGTTCATCATAGCAAACTACTAAGCTGATACGGTGAGTGCAGACAATAACAGGTGTCCACAGTCAGTCAGCAGTTGCTACCTCCCTCAGCATTATTCCTCCCACCATACTACACACAGCTCTAGTTGTCACAACAATCCTGCTATTATCAGAATCCTGGTCTTTTTTTATCACAGGGGTCTAATGTAATACTATCTGTGCGAAATATTACCAGTTACATATATTATTTTGACATTTTTAGGCGATGCTGTAGTCACAAGCTGAACAGCAGTGCTGTTAGCTCATGCTGCATGTACCAGCCTTGGTGGCTCACTCAGTATTGAGGCGCTCACACCTAGGAATGTTGCCCACGATTTAAAAGAAAATGGCATCTGTTTACAAGAGCCCCGAGGAAGCTGATGTGAACCCAGTGTGGCCACAGGACTTTTAAATCTTGCATGGTATGTCAACACATCAATATCTGTGGTGCACAATTCTGCGACAGTTACTCACCCCAGCTATTGATGTGTTGCACAGTTTAATTAAGGGTTAAAGCATTGTATAAATTATTCCAACATTCATAGACCTAGAATGCAAAGGACTTCAGGAAATATGAAGTGTGTATTTCAAAATATGTACAGGTACAGTATATACCAATTTAAAATTCATTATGAAAATATTAGGGGAAGTAGTTCACACTGAAAAGGCACCATGTCAAAAGCTGGAATTGTTAAGTTCTGGAAGTCTTAGATATGTCAGGAATATGTCCATAGCATATACAGATAATTGAAGATAGTAAGAGTGAATGTTGATGGGAATATAACAGATTCATCAGTTTGATAAGCAAAGTAAATGTTAATTAAAGTAATTAAGTGGCAAATCTTCATTTCATATTTCCTCTCAGAATTGTATATAGAAAATGTCTTTATTATTTGTTGTCATGTATGATCAACTCATTCCATCTTCTGAAAGGCAACTGGACATAAAAATATTACTGTTTGTGTATTTTCAGTAATATTACCTAGGTGGGCTAATATATTTTGAGTGTATTATGTCTATACATATTAAGTTTTGTGTATGTTTTTGTGCAGATTACATTCGAACCTTCACCTGGGACAAAAAATTGGAGACAATAATCAAAGGAAGTGTGCTCGGAGGAGGAGCAGGACGACTGCCTACAGTAGTTTCACCAGAAGTGTACCGCACACGCTTTTGCCACGCCATGGATCGCTATTTCCTTCTCACTCCAGATAGGTGGACAGGTCTGGGACTGGGTATTGATCCTTAGTGTATTGAGCCTTAGTGCAACATTTCCATCTCGTTAAATTTCTATACAATATTGCTCTCGGTAAAATGTTTGCAGTTCAATAATTATTGACAAGTTTTTGTGACTTTGTGCATATGTGTACCTAAATGCACACAAATGTGAATAAGTGTGTGACATGTGTTAGTGAGTAGTAGAGTGAGTGTGTTAGTGACTGAGAGTGTGAGAATTCGCCCAAATGTACTCGTCTAGTTGTATTTGCAGGGTATGAGCCATGGATTTTTTGGTTTTATCTGTTAATTCTTTAATTGACTGGTGTGTAGGTTCCAGAGCCTATTGGGCTTAGTCACATCTACATTTAAAGTTGTGTATGGAGCTGACTTCTGCCACTTCTTAATGCATTCCACTTGTTCACTATTCTGACATTGAAAATAATTTTTCGAATGTTTCTATGGCTCATTTGGGTATATAATTTCCATCCGTGTCTTTTGTACTACCCACGCTAAATAATGTCTTTGTATTTTGTATGTGGTAATCATGTCTCCTATGTTTCTTCTCTCTTACAGTGATGTGAGGTTCAACTCCTTTTGATTCCTTGTAACTCATGCCTCTCAACCCTGGGACTAGTCTGGTGGCAAACATCTACACTTTCTCCAGCTGCATGTGTTTTAACAAGATTAGGGCTCCATTACACAGTTGGTCTGTCATAAATGCTATTCAGAACCCTGCACATCTTTATTCAGATTCCTAGAGGCAGTTCTTATTAGCCAACATTCCATATATAGCTGAAGTTATTCTTTCAGTGTGGACTTCTGGTGATGGGTTTGTCATAATATCAACTCTCGAGACATCTCAGTCTGATTCCAGGAGGATTTCCTCTTCTATGTGATACTTTGTGTCTGGCCTCATCTTTTCCCTTACCCAGCTTTATTACTTTGCACCTGGTTGAGTTGAACTCTAGTAGAGGGATCATACTTTCATTGTGTTCAACTCATCCTGTAGATTCTTGCAGTTTTCCATCATATTTATCCTACTCATAATTTTTTATCATCATCAGCGAACATTTAGAGAAAAGAATGTATGCCCTTTGGTAGGTCATTTACATTGATGAGGATTAGGATTGGCCCCAGTACTGACCCTCGTGTTACACCACTGGTTACATCTCGCCACTGATGTCTCTCCTCCCACTGTGACTCTGTCTTTGTTGTAGAGGTACTCCTTTATCCACTGGAGTACCTTCCCTGCCACACTTGCCTGTTTCTCTATTTTGTGCACTAGTCTTCTGTGGGGTACTGTATTGAAGGCTTTCTCATACCTCAAAATTATACAATCTGCCTATCCTTCTCTATCTTGTCTGATCTCGGTCACCTATTCATAGAACTTTATCAAGTTTGTGAGGCAGGATTTGGCATCTTGAAAACCAATCTGGTGTTTTAGTGTGTCTCAGTACTCTTTGTCATATAACACTTTGAAACTACTGATGGATTTGGCCTCCTCAACATTCTCACTTAACTTGTTCCAACCATCTACCACTTTGTTTGCGAAAGTGAATTTTCTTATATTTCTTCTGCAGCTTTGTTTAGTGAGCTTAAATCTATGACCTCTTGCTCTTGAAATCCCATGTCTCAAGAATTCTTCCATATCAGTTGTGTCAATTTGTTACTATTTTGTATGTAGTGATCATATTAAATCTTTTTCTTTCTTTTAACTTTGGTATATTTAATGATTCTAACCTCTCCTCATAGCTCTTGTCTTTCAGTTCCAGAAGCCATTTAGTTTCATGTCATTACACCTTTTCCAGTTTAATGATATACTTCTTAAGGTATGGGTACCATAAACTGCTGCATATTCCAATTTTGATCTCACAAAGGTCACAAACAATTTCCTTAGTATCTCACCATCCAAGTATTTTAAAGGAATTCTGAAATTGGAAAGCATAGCATAGGCGGCCGGTCGGCCGAGCGGACAGCACGCTGGCCTTGTGATCCTGTGGTCCTGGGTTCGATTCCAGGCGCCGGCAAGAAACAATGGGCAGAGTTTCTTTCACCCTATGCTCCTGTTACCTAGCAGTAAAATAGGTACCTGGGTGTTAGTCAGCTGTCACGGGCTGCTTCCTGGGGGTGGAGGCCTGGTTGAGGACCGGGCCGCGGGGACACTAAAAGCCCCGAAATCATCTCAAGATAACCTCAAGATAGGCTCCTCACACAATGTTCTTTATGTGGTCCTCGGGTGACAGTTTTCTATGTAGAACAACCCTTAAATCTTATTTATCTGAATTTGTTAAGCCTTTTCACATAATGTGTAGGTTGTGTGTGTGTGAGTTTTAGTTAATGTTAGTGCATGGCAAGGGAGAGAGAGAAAGTAGCACATGCAATGGAAGAATGTGAAGGAAAATAGGGAGAACTGAGAAGGGCAATTTGAGAGAAAATTAATAATTTCCATGTGTCAAATTGTGCCTGTGTTAACATTATTAGCTGTACCCCCTTATTATGTACATGTTATTATTTGTTCATTATTTCTGCACCAAGTATGTGGTTAGAAGTTTGAGGATTATACAACTTTTGGTCATTCATATATTATTAATTGTATTGCAAATTTAGATTTTAAGATGATAGATTAATCTCTTGATGCAAAAAAACAAAATAATCATACCCAAATACAGATACGATGATGGTCTGTAAAGTACTACACAAGTTTTTATATGTACTGTAGGAAAAGGAAGAAATAACTTGGCTGGAATTTTTTAATAAAAATTTATGTAAATATATATATATATATAATAAAAATATATGTTACATGTGGTAAATTGAAATTTAACATAAGTGTGAACAATTTTGTTTAGTCTAAATTAAAGTTTACTAAATGATTTATAACTTAAACTATGTTATAAGATTCATAGATTAAATCATGAACTTCAATTGTTAGGTGTTGAGATTGCATGGGGAGTCGGGTGTTGATGCTGACTATAATATATCCTGGAATGGTATGTCAACTGCTGCAACCTCCAGCACTTGCACTCCTTAACATGAGATGTATCCAGTGTGATGGTGAAACCATTGGGTTGCAACTCTGACACGTGTCACTGCACGGTGTGAAGTGATGCTAGGTCAGAGGTACCGCTCGTGATATTCTTTATATATAACGTTATAGCTCTTCATAATATGTGATGGCTTTGAACAAGCTCCACACATTCTATATGATACAATGGGGCCTCGACTTAAAATGCTAATCCGTTCCCAGAGACGGATCGTAAGTCGAAGTGATTTTTCCCATAAGAAATAAAGGGATTTGAATTAATCCGTTCCCCACCCTCCAAAATATTAACATAAAAATACATTTTATACTGAATACAATGTTTTTTCTAACTACAATACAGTACCTAAGTTTATCTTACCTTTATGGAGGGCTCTTGATGGCATATGGAAGATGGTGATGAGGGATGAGAGGGGAGGAGGAGAGTTGTTACTGTTTGGAAGGGGAGTCCCCTTCCATTATCACATCAGGCAGTGATGTTTTTTCTGGGATATTCTCTCTCCTACATTTTGCCTGAATACAACTAGGACCTGGTTGTGGTTCAGTGCTTGTTTGTCTCACTACAAATTTGTCAAGAGACATTTGTTTTTCCCTTCGTTTTAACATTTGTCTGTAATGATGCAACACTTTAGCACCCATAATGTCCTTTTTCTTAGCCAGTATGGTGGATATCATTGACTGAGATTTGTTGTACTTCCTAGCCAGTCCAACAACCCGCACACCATCTTCATATTTACGAATGATCTCTTGTTTCTGCTCTATGGTCATCCTGACATGGATCTCATATGTTGAGCCTTAACACTGACTTTCCTGGGACTCATGGCGTGATATATAATAATTACTTTAATATTCAAAATGCAAAAAATCACCACAAAAGCGAAATTTCTTATAGGCGCGATCGTCACTAAGCGGGCAACTGTAGTAAACTGAGGCAGGTCGGCCGCGTGACCGGGAACCGCGCGCTCGGTCGACCCGAACGTGTACCAACAAATATCGTAAGTTGACGACACCATATGATGTCGAGTTGCATTTTTCGATGAAATTTACATCGTAACTCGAAATTATCATAAGTAGGGGCAATCGTAAGTCGAGGTGCCACTGTATATGGCAGCCTGGCACACGGGTTGCCATGCACCATTTGCATCATCGTGAATGAAGAAGCATATTCTATGGAAAACAAGTGCTATAAGTACATCAAATCTGTATATCTTGTCTTAATGTGTAATTACCTAAGTGTAGTTACAGGATGAGAGCTACGCTCGTGGTGTCCCATCTTCCCAGCACTCTTTGTCATATAACGCTTTGAAACTACTGACGGTCTTGGCCTCCACCACCTTCTCCCCTAACTTGTTCCAACCGTCTACCACTCTGTTTGCGAAAGTGAATTTTCTTATATTTCTTCGGCATCTGTGTTTAGCTAGTTTATATCTATGACCTCTTGTTCTTAAAGTTCCAGGTCTCAGGAAATCTTCCCTATCAATTTTATTAATTCCTGTTACTATTTTGTATGTAGTGATCACATCACCTTTTTCTTCTGTCTTCTAGTTTTGGCATATTTAATGCCTCTAACCTCTCCTCAGCCCTTCAGTTCTGGGAGCCACTTAGTAGCATGTCTTTGCACCTTTTCCAGTTTGTTGATGTGCTTCTTAAGATATGGGCACCACACAACTGCTGCATATTCTAGCTTTGGCCTAACAAAAGTCGTGAACAATTTCTTTAGTATATCGCCATCCGTGTATTTAAAAGCAATTCTGAAGTTAGAAAGCGTGGCATAGGCTCCTTGCACAATATTCTTTATGTGGTCCTCAGGTGATAGTTTTCTATCTAGAACCATTCCTAGATCTCTTTCTTTATCAGAATTCTTTAAAGATTTCTCACATAATATATAGGTTGTGTGGGGTCTATGTTCTCCTATTCCACATTTCATAACATGGCATTTATTAACATTAAATTCCATTTGCCAAGTGGCGCTCCATGTACTTATTTTGTCCAGGTCTTCTTGAAGGGCATGACAATCATAAAAGTTTATTATCCTTCCTATTATCTTAGCATCATCAGCAAACATGTTCATATAAGTGTGTATGTGATATGTTGCTAACAGTCTCTATGTCCTGTATATTCCTGTTTACTCTTACACTCACATACACACATATGCACTGCCATTTATACCATATCCTCAGGGATTTGGCCCAAGAGCAAATGCATAACTGAGTTTTGTGAATATATATACTGTACATTGCTGGTAGGAATTTTTTGTATATGTGATGTGTGTATGTATGTATATGTATGTGTGTGTGTGTATGTATATAAATATATATTATATAGTTAATAAATAAAATCTAATGATAGACCATATTGAATGGAAAGGTTTTATTTAAGCATGCTTTCAGCCTCACCACATCACTTTATCCGAGACTAATGGGCACTAAATAACAGTTACAAGATAGGAAGACAGTCTCAAGAAGGCAGAAGACGATCATAAAGATGAGTCAGCCAGGAGAGAGGTTGACCAGACCACACACTAGAAGGTGAAGGGACGACGACATTTCGGTCCGTCCTGGACCATTCTCAATCGACTTGAGAATGGTCCAGGACAGACTGAAACGTCATCGTCCCTTCGCCTTCTAGTGTGTGGTCTGGTCAACATACTTTAGCCACGTTATTGTGACTCATCGCCTGCAGGAGAGAGATTGTAGTTGGCACAGAACAAAGGGGTTTGATGATAGTAAGTGCAGTATGAAACATGGATAAACATGTAAACATAAATGGGAATTAGGGAACAAGAAGCATATAGTAAGAAATAGAGTAAATTACTACTAATAAGAAAATGTTTCTTATACTGTACCTAATATTCACATTTTGTCCAGACATTTTCTTAGTAATAATTTTGCTCTATATTTCTTGCCATATGTTGCTTGTTCCCTAATTCCAATTTCAGTTTGCATATTTGTCTACATTTCATACCGCACTTGCTGTCAATAAATCCTCTTTTTGTGCCAACTGCCATCTCTCTCTCTCCCTTGTTGAATCATCTTCATGATCATCTTCCACCTTCTTGAAACTGTCTTCCTCTCATAACTACCATTCAGTGCCCAATTATCTCTGACAAAGGATGCAACTCCAAAGGCATGCATACATGCATATATTTAATATACAAGAAAAAATTACAATGAGGTGGAAGGACAATCTTAGTACAAGTACTTTTACTCTGCAAGGAGCCTCATCAGAGAATAAGGCACAGTGGGTAGCAGTCATGAGAAATCGCATAGTGTGGTACTATATCCAATAATACTAAAAATTAAAAACAATTACTTTGTATAAGGTACTATAATTAAAATACAATCTGAAATGCCAACAAATGTGAAAACATGACCCATGTATTTATGCAAAACCATTGAATGATAAATAGTCTTGTGGTTCCTATGTCTCATTGTTGGGGGTCATCTTTGCATGTCCTGAGAAGTGAATTTGTGTGTCTTATTTAGAAGTTTGTTGATTTTGCATAAATACATGGTGCG